TAAGCTGTGAAAAAGTATTTTTCATCTATTTGTAAACCTAAGACGTGAAAACGTTTTTCAATTTCTGTGACTCTAGATGGATATATTGTATAGAGTCTCTATATACATGGTGGCCTAAGAAGTATTACACTCTTACTACATGCTATACAGCAAATATCTTATGGAGCTGGTACATTCTTTAGCCAGTCAAGTTTTCCCAGACTGATCAAATGGAGGATGAGTGAAACAGTGTTTCCAATTAAAGTGATAGTAATCGCTGGTAACATTACAAGACAATTCAGTATATTCTTATCTAAGCTAGAAAAAAAGTGCATCATCACAGCAATTGATGGAGGCAGATAGGAAAGAAATGTAATAAGAATGTGGTTGAAGATGATGTTTGCAGCCTTCTTCTTCTGAGGGTGGATTTCCTTTCCTCCAAGTTTCGATCTCTTCAGGGTCCAGAGGACGCAGAAGTCACAAAATCCAACAACAGGGAGAGTGAATGCAAAAAAGGAGAGTGGGACAAACTTGGTCATACCCGCTTTGTGTTCAACCACGAAAAGAATTCCAAAAACAAGCGTCACAGTCCAAACACCAGCAGCCATCAGAATCCTGGGAGTCAAACTCTTTCTCACCCGATAAGTAACGGGATGAACCACGGCCAGGTAACAGTCCAGACTGATGCACGTTATGAAGAGAGGCCTCCCACACACATTGAGTGAAGCTGTGAAGTAAATAAACTGTTCAAACCTGAAGTCAACGTTGTTCGTCAGGAAAACAAAGTATGGGAAAGAAAAGACCAAAATCAGTGCATCCAAGAGACAGAGATTTGCCATAAAGACATCATTGGGGGTCAAAGAGGTTCCTTTTCTTCCTCTCTGAAATATGTCCAAAAGTACCACAAAAGTTCCAGGTATTGCAAAGACAGTCGAAACAACAACGGCACATGACAAGACGATAATCCCCTCAGGATGTTCAGAACACCGAGAGAGAGGAGCCGTTGCATTAGTGATGTTAAGTAAGCTAGACATTTTACTTGTGGGTATTGGTAACAAAAGAGGAAGCCCAGACCTTCCTTTCACCGTCTTATTGATCAATTGGAGGAACTCTACAGCCACCGACAATTTAAGCAGGCCTCTTGCTCCGTGTCAAATGACAAGACGACAGCTGTGTTTTAGTGGGTTCTCTTGATTTGAATGGTGCATGTGCAGCAGCGAGTGTTAAAGATGACAAGCCGCAGCATCACCTGTCACAGTGCCATTTTCCATCCAGATTTGAATTTGTTTTACTGTAAAATCTAGATGGGGAAAAATGATTAATGTCATTACATGATGTACCTCAGTTTAACCAAATAAAATAGAACCTGCACAGAATATATCATATTTGTTTACAGCCACAACTGATTAAATAAATGCGTAAAATCCACGTTCATCTTATAAACCATGACAATAAAAACACATCTGAAATCAGGGCTGATAAAATGGGATGGAGAATGCAAATATTTCCATTTCATTCCGTCCATTTCACCATCAGTTTTTTGTTTATATTGATGGTGATTCGGATCAATGGGGCAGTGATAAAGGACAACATGCTCCCAATAACACAGACATTATGAAATAAAAGCATAAACTGCAGAGGATTCCTTGCTCAAATTTACCTTCACAGGATTTCTTTTGTGAAGAATTTATATTTTAACTACTCTTAATTCACAGGCCGACTGGTAAAACTAACGATTCTCGTTACACAATATAATCTTTATATTAGTGTATTAGGGGGTAGGTGTTTACATTTTTGTGTCCCCCTGCGTTGCACAGTTAGTTTTGAGTTTATTCTGCGTAGAGAAATTGCATTCTTTTGATCCCTTTTTGAAAGCAGGCCGCCCAAACCACACCTAGACAATGTTTCCCCCTGTGCATGGTACAGTATCGTCCCTGCACCACAGGCCCCAAGAGCCTCATGGACTCGCCGCTGTATACACTGGACTGCGTTATGCATACGTGCTGCATGAAGGTCCGACACACACACTGTTGGCCTCAGCACAGAAGGACAGAATGAACAATGGGGGAAAATAAGGAGAAACAACAGGCAGAGACAGGGAGAGTGTGTTGGTGCCACAAGATTATTTATTTTTATAATAAATAATCCTTAAACATGATTATTTCTTTTTATTATGAATAATCCTGTGTCCCCCTGTCGGCGCTCACACACAAACAACCTCCACAGCCTTCAGTCCTCACTGAGTATCTCGATAAATGAGACAAGTCTTTCTCGTAGTGAGCTGGCGAGCGGGAAGAGCGGGCCGGGAGGAGAAGAAGTGTGCGAGGGGGCCGAGTGGTCGGAGAGGAGGGGAGCGAGTGGATGGCGGGTCGAGGACGGGGTCTAAGAGGCGGTGTCAATTTTGAGAGGTTTTGTTTATTATTTGTATTTCCTTTTATTTAATAACCTCACAGTCACGATTCACTGATCTATTGATTTTTGTGTGTAACTATAACATATGGCATGGAGACATAAAATAAACAAATATACATATATATATGTATAGTTAGTTGATAGACTTGTATCTCAAGATCAGGTCAGGAAACATTTATTACCAAAATATGTCAGAAATACAAGGAATTTAACTTGGCAGTTGGTGCATAACAGCAGACAGTTAGACAATGGACAACGAGACAGATGAGACGACATAGTGCAAGAGGAATAAAACTAAATAAAATAGAATATATGGCTATAGGTTAGTTTAAATATAATGGAATAAAATAAAGTGCACCAGCGAACAGACAGCCATACTCTACACAATAGGTCATAGCAATGAAATTGCAGTAATTCAAATAATAATTGATAATTATAGCGACAACATTAGTGGTAACAGTAATGACAATATGTAACTTAAGTCACTAATGTGTAAAACATTTATGATTAAAATTAAAAAATTGCCACTTAATCATTAGCAACCGTTTTACATGCCAGGAAGCCATACGTCCAAGTCAGTGTAACATTGACCGTTCATCTTCCCCGCTGTCAAAATGTCTCATGCTTTGAATATGCAAGTGTGTTCTAACTATCTAACTTTACACACTCATTCATCACCATATACTTTCTAGACAGTGTTTTGCAAATGGTAAAGCAGTGTTTCTATGCAGAATATCAATCATTCCCTTTATTTTAAGCTGTGAAAAAGTATTTTTCATCTATTTGTAAACCTAAGACGTGAAAACGTTTTTCAATTTCTGTGACTCTAGATGGATATATTGTATAGAGTCTCTATATACATGGTGGCCTAAGAAGTATTACACTCTTACTACATGCTATACAGCAAATATCTTATGGAGCTGGTACATTCTTTAGCCAGTCAAGTTTTCCCAGACTGATCAAATGGAGGATGAGTGAAACAGTGTTTCCAATTAAAGTGATAGTAATCGCTGGTAACATTACAAGACAATTCAGTATATTCTTATCTAAGCTAGAAAAAAAGTGCATCATCACAGCAATTGATGGAGGCAGATAGGAAAGAAATGTAATAAGAATGTGGTTGAAGATGATGTTTGCAGCCTTCTTCTTCTGAGGGTGGATTTCCTTTCCTCCAAGTTTCGATCTCTTCAGGGTCCAGAGGACGCAGAAGTCACAAAATCCAACAACAGGGAGAGTGAATGCAAAAAAGGAGAGTGGGACAAACTTGGTCATACCCGCTTTGTGTTCAACCACGAAAAGAATTCCAAAAACAAGCGTCACAGTCCAAACACCAGCAGCCATCAGAATCCTGGGAGTCAAACTCTTTCTCACCCGATAAGTAACGGGATGAACCACGGCCAGGTAACAGTCCAGACTGATGCACGTTATGAAGAGAGGCCTCCCACACACATTGAGTGAAGCTGTGAAGTAAATAAACTGTTCAAACCTGAAGTCAACGTTGTTCGTCAGGAAAACAAAGTATGGGAAAGAAAAGACCAAAATCAGTGCATCCAAGAGACAGAGATTTGCCATAAAGACATCATTGGGGGTCAAAGAGGTTCCTTTTCTTCCTCTCTGAAATATGTCCAAAAGTACCACAAAAGTTCCAGGTATTGCAAAGACAGTCGAAACAACAACGGCACATGACAAGACGATAATCCCCTCAGGATGTTCAGAACACCGAGAGAGAGGAGCCGTTGCATTAGTGATGTTAAGTAAGCTAGACATTTTACTTGTGGGTATTGGTAACAAAAGAGGAAGCCCAGACCTTCCTTTCACCGTCTTATTGATCAATTGGAGGAACTCTACAGCCACCGACAATTTAAGCAGGCCTCTTGCTCCGTGTCAAATGACAAGACGACAGCTGTGTTTTAGTGGGTTCTCTTGATTTGAATGGTGCATGTGCAGCAGCGAGTGTTAAAGATGACAAGCCGCAGCATCACCTGTCACAGTGCCATTTTCCATCCAGATTTGAATTTGTTTTACTGTAAAATCAAGATGGGAAAAAATGATTAATGTCATTACATGATGTACCTCAGTTTAACCAAATAAAATAGAACCTGCACAGAATATGTCACATTTGTTTACAGCCACAACTGATTAAATAAATCCTTATTCATTTTATAAACCACGACAATAAAATATTTTCATTCCATTTCACAATCAGTCTTTTGTTTATATTGATGGTGATTTGGATCGATGGGGCAATGATAAGGGACAACATGCTCCCAATAACACAGACATTATGGAATAAAAGCATAAACTGCAGAGGATTCCTTGCTCAAATTTACCTTCACAGGATTTCTTTTGTGAAGAACTTATATTGCAGGCCGACTGGGAAAACTAACGATTCTCGTTACACAATATAATCTTTATATTAGTGTATTAGGTGTTTCCATTATCGTGTCCCTCCACCTTGCACAGTTAGTATTTAGTCTATACTGCATAGAGAAATTGCATTCTTTTGATCCTTTTCCGAAAGCAGGCCGCCCAATTCTCACCTAGATAATGTTTCACGCTGTGCATGGTACAGTATCATCCACACTCCACTAAAACCAACAGAGACGGTGTGATATGAAAGATGGTGGATTTTATTTGTACTTCTTTATTCGTTACAGTCAGACACGATCACAACAGGAGGAAACAACAGTGAGCGGGAGGTGGAAGAGCCACAAACAAAGACTTTTTACCTTTTTTTGTTTATTTTATCACTACCCGCTCACCGCCTTTAACCATCTCTTTCCCGATAAATACAAGATTTTGATTTTCAGAAAATTGTGTTTACCTATTTTTCACTGCAACTTTTCCCTTTCATCCTGAGTTTAAGATAACAAGCAACGTATTTAAGAGCGGGGTAGGAAAACTATTATAGTTCAATACTCGCACTCTTTTACAATGGACTCAGACAGAAGGACAAATTCCATCAAACACTCACGTGTCAGGTTGAGACTAACAGACCACATGTGTCAGGCCGCTTTACTTGTTTCAAGTAAGCGACTGTGCGCGCACCACAGGCCCCGAGAGCCTCTTCTGGACTGCGTTATGCATACGTGCTGCATGAAGGTCCGACACACACACTGTTGGCCTCGACACAGGAGGACAGAATGAACAATGGGGGAAAAGAAGGAGAAACAACAGACGGGACAGAGACAGGGAGAGTGTCTTATTGCCACAAGATTATTTCTTTTTATTATAAATAATCCTGTGTCCCCCTGTCGGCGCTCACACACAAACAACCTCCACAGCCTTCAGTCCTCACTGAGTATCTCGATAAATGAGACAAGTCTTTCTCGTAGTGAGCTGGCGAGCGGGAAGAGCGGGCCGGGAGGAGAGGAAGTGTGCGAGGGGGCCGAGTGGTCGGAGAGGAGGGGAGCGAGTGGATGGCGGGTCGAGGACGGGGGTCTAAGAGGCGGTGGCGATCTTGAGAGAGGTGTATTTTACTCCTCCTCCTTCTCCTCTCCGTGTGTGATGACGTAGCAGATGTTCTTGTAGTCCACGTTTCCGGCCACATCGGGGGGGAAAGCAGCCCACAGGTTGGTCATCTGCGCAGGAGTGAACAAAGACACATTTTAGAACCCTGAGCAAGTGAAGACGGAATGGAAATATCAGAGAGACAAAGGTGGTTTAGCCCACCTCCTCAGCGGTGAACCTGTCGCACTGGGTCGTCAGGAGCTCCTCAAGGCTGGAGAAAAATACATCACATGGTTTATCTTGATTAAAGACCAACACAGAGAGCAAAGCCTGTTGTGATAGAAGGTGAACGTGAAGGCCTTACAATTCCTTCTTGATAGAGCCTGTGGCTTCAGGGTCCAACACCTTGAAAGCGGTCACGATAACGTCCTCGGGGTCAGCGCCTAAAGTAAAAGCAGCCAATTAGTCTCAGCTACAACAATGATGATAATCCAATATTAATCCTGAATTATATCAAGCATCTAATGTGAGGATAATGTAACAGATCAAACCAAAGTCGGCTTGAGCTGTGCGAGGGCACGCATCGACGTACCCTTCAGCTTCTCGCCGAACATGGTCAGGAAGACGGTGAAGTTGATGGGGCCGCTTGCCTCCTTCACCATGGCCTCCAGCTCCTCATTCTTCACATTCAGTTGGCCCATTGTGGCCAGCACATCCCTGAGATCGTCCTTGCTGATGATGCCATCTCTGTTCTGGTCGATGATTGTGAAAGCCTGCCGGGGACGGTGAGGTAAGACGAGAGAGGTCAGTCGGTAGATATAAATGTTTTGGATCTGTTGGGGGCAGCAGTGAATTCACCGCCTCCTCGGGTGACAATCAGAAGCCGCCAAAGCATGACCTTGAAATTAAAACAGGGGAAATTGAGATGATCACATTTCTCACATGTCCTGGTCATAAGACTTGATTGTTTGCGGGGGATAGCCTGCCAACGTAACCGTGTAAATTTGGATGCGTTCTCCACCTCTCGTCCCGCATAGCTGTCCGTAGCACCCTGTGAAACCAAAAATGGCCTCGCGAACATTTTGGGACTTGGCAGCTGGTTGACCACATGTCATTTCGAAGGTGTTAAAACGGTCTCGGAATTTGAGACAAGCCCATTGCGACATTTAAGAAGACGGTATCGATTTCAGCTGTCGCCCTGACCCCTTGCCTTTTTTTGTCTTGTGACTAAATCTGATAACACTGTCCCCAGTGTCATTCCAGACCATTGTATTCTCTTGTCTTTGCACCAGTATAATGGAAAGGTCCCTGAGAGAACCATGTAATCTGAACAACAGCAATGTTCTTGTTGAGAAAAGAAAGGTTCTTGAAGTAACAACAGAAACATTTCGTTCCTCTTGCCTGTTACTCTACTTCAGAATCTCCCATGTTTTCTTTTTCTTTCTACCTCGAGCTTCTCTTTCCTGCTTTGTTTAATACAAACAGCCACCAGCTGTCAGGCGGCATTACGGGTGGGGGGGTCACAGAACAAGTGTTTGAAGTCTCTGAGGAGGATTACTGAGCGACTCCAATGGAGAGGTAGCCGCTGTCATCGGAAAAAATGTGATTTAGTGTCCTGTCATGGTGACAGGGACATTCCTGCTTCTCTGCAGACACCCAATGAGGTCTATAGCTCCAAAGGTCAAATTATACATGCAGTCATTGCACTGCACAAAATGTCCCTGTCTTCACATGGACCACAAACACCTCAATCTAATGCTGGGAAACTTTGGCTTGGAAGTTCTAGAGATGTGATGAAGGACATATTTACCTCCTTGTACTCCTGGATCTGGCTCTGCTCAAACATGGAGAACACATTGGAGGATCCACCCTCACCCTGCTGCTGCCTCCTCTTGGCCTTCTTGGGTGCCTGGGAAATTACAGGTAAAAATAAAGATCAATCAAGGACATAAAGTGCGGTGATCTCAGCAAACTCAAGCAAAAAAACAATCAGACGGCTGTTGGGAGATGAGAGATCAAAAACAAAAAGGACGCAGAGAAGACTGAAAGTGCTTGTATCAGTAACTGGTCCAATGCTATTGTAGTTAAGATTAGATGTAGTTATTGGAAAGGATGTTCCAAATAAAAGTCAAGTAATTTAGCATATCTGGTGGTGTTTGCCAAATTGCCAAACAGAGATCACATCACTTAATGAAACATATTTTTTTTCCCCCATGAATAAATTAGACTGATTTTAAAACTATCATCCTATTCAGAGTCAAGTAAAATGTAATGGTTGAGAATTTAATAGTATGATAGTGATCCAAAAACATCTTGTATTTTAGTAATTCATCACAGTCAAGTTTGGAGATGTTTAGCTCAGGCCAGTAGAAAAAATTCAGACTGGGTCAAAATCCACAATTTGAGATGCACGTCTCAAGAGCCTGTTTTTTGTGGTCTGTTGGTAATCCAGACAAGAAATGTATCAGTGAGGCTTTATTCTCATCAAACATCCTACATCACTAGATCCCTTTCAAGCAACATGGCTGAACTCACCATCTCTCAAGTTTTTGGGGTTGTTGGTGGTCAAGAAGAGAAGCCTACGCCAAGAAGATGTGACTGACGTGTACGCACGGACCCCAGGGGCCTTATATACTAGCCCACGGGGGCTAACTTTAGCCACACCATCAGGTTTGGCTGGAAAACAGAGCCAAGGGAAAGTAAGAGAAAAAGGGGGAGGAGTGCAGAGGTGGTGGGCCGGATCGGCTTACCGATGCTCCAAATAGGCCTCTGGAGTCTTGGAATGAGGTGAATTCAATGCCAACAGAGTCCCGACATTGGTGTCATCTGTGGACTAATATGGCCAAACTGGCTGTATGGCCCTGCACACGTCTTCTTTCTCTCCTTGATACCCTTTTTGTGGCTATTTTTGTTTTTTCTATGTCCAACCTCAACATGTGACGACGAGCTGTGGCTACTCTACTTCATTGTTCTACACACACACACACACACACACACGGATTGGATTAACATCAATTAACAGCCTCAAGCCGCACAGGCTGTCAACGTATGCTCGTAGTTGGCATATCCTGAAGTCATCACCTGGCTACTTGATAGGTTTAGTCTGTGGTCCGCGGCGGCTACCAGATCACTGGTGGCCAGCCGGGTTTATAAACAGTCATGAAACCTGAAAACAGTTGCCTGATGGATATTGGACGCGTTCCAGCACGCCAGACACGCGACTAGCAGGCCTCATAGAACACTGACCTTGCATCAGTGAGAAATGTAAACAGTCCTGAAATACCGACACCGGTGGCAGGAAATACTTTCACATTCTGTTTGCTTTATAAAACTGTTGTATTTTTCATGTGGCTTCATCGCTTTGTGTCTGGTAGAGGTGCGAAACGGGATAAATGAGAATCCCGTTTTATAGACCACGGGCATGATAAATTCTGATAAGACTAAATAAGCAGATTTGGGTGCACTAATTCTGGGTGCTCCTGGAGGTTCCCAGTATAGTTGCTTTAGAACAGAGCAGCAATCCCGCCCACCCAACTCCATATATGAGCTCCAAAGGCCATCAATCACACCACTGTGCAGCTAAGGTACGTATCGGAATCCAGGAACAATGTGAAACGATTCTTTGTGACCGGTTGCCCTTGTCTTTACTTATTCTGATCCTAGAGCCTGCAGCTGATTACTAAATCCTAGCTATTTGTAAAGAGGGAAACCAAAGTTTAATCCAAAGGGAAGAAGGTCGTAGGCAGCACAGCAGTCGCTTCCTGTATGGGCTTGAAGGTGACAGAGGGTGAAAGAGATCGAGCTCTGTTAAAGACCATAAAACAAGACAGCTGTAGAGACTGAAATAGCCCTGCCTCCCCCCACCATTCTCTCTTCTATAAGGCCGGCTTTGCCCCCATACAAGTGCCAATCCTTTTTTTTACCCACTGTTACTGGCCTGCTATGGAGTAAAAGGGATTTGGAAATGTCATACACACAAAATGGGGAAATTAAGTCATTACTTTGCTGATTAAAAGTGATCAGTATTAAACCTGACTGTGATATGAAAAACAAGCAAGCCACAAAGCATCAAGCACCTCGTTATTCACTATATTTATTATTTGATTAGCTAGGACCTGGTTTAAAATCATACTATGAGAGATATCTGACCATTTTATTTTGGCAAACTTCTGGTACAGCTGTTTGTGTTTGGACAATAGCTATTGTAGAGAGACATGACTAAAATATTTTAAAGTATAATTAGATATCCACACAGAAACGCTGGTATCAAGTTAACACGAGTATCAAACCATAATTGCCATGTTGTGGTTAAACAGTTTCAGATTACGTCCATATCAATCCAAAAGGTCATCGCATCCTTTTAAATGTTTTATTATTATTTTATAGTCTTAATTGCCGTGTGAATTCCTGAGTAATGCCCCAAAAAGCATGTTTTGTGAGGTCACAGTGACTTGTGACTCTCCAAAAAATCAGTTCATCTTTCAGGCAAAGAAGACTTCACTGCCAGATCTGAGGAAATGTCAAGTATTGTTTCTTTCTTCTAATGATACTCAGCCAGACACAATGAAATTTGTAAGTAGACCAGATGGACCTTGTCAAGGATATAAAGAGCAGTTAGAGAGCGGCTAAGTCTGCTGTTAAAAATTAGGGTATCAAAGGTACAAAAATCAACAGAATAGTAAAAAAAAAGAAGTAAAAAATTAACAGTATGGTCTTGCACAACAAATATAGACAAATAAATCCTAACAACAATTGTTGTAGCTATAATTCATATATACATATATTGATATTACGGTTTAATTTCAGACTTATTCTCCAAAATCAATTAAGTTTTCATCCTCAGCAACGCCACTAGCGCCTTGGTCCTTCTTTGACCATTCAACAATCAGTTCCTTCACCTCCTTTCCAAAATCTTCATGCAACCTAGTGAATTCCTGCTTGCTGCTTAGAGAGAATCCCGACAAGTCCTTCAGCGGGGCAGCAGGGGTGTTAACGGGCTCGACGTTGGCGCTCTTCTTGGGCCGGAGCTTAGGGGATCTCTTGCAGGTCGCCTTGGAGGAAACCGTCGTGGGTTGAAGCATCTGATTGGAGCTCGGGCCCGCTCCCACGACGGCGGCGGCCGGACACGTCGCAGATCGCGCGCTCCGGGGATGTCCCGCCTCCGCCGTGCTGAAGTTCGGCATGACGAACGCGTTGGCCGGTTCAGCGGAAAACTCGCCGAGTGCATCTGAGGAAAGAAGTTACATTACCCCTCTTTTTCTTTCTTCGAGCTTACAGTAACCACTTTATTTTTTTTCGCGATGCTGCAAAATTAGAGGATTAAAAAAGGGTGTGACTCTTTCTCGATGACTCTTGCTTTACCATAACACCGTTGGCAGCCAAAGGTCTCCGCCTAAACCGTAACAAAAGGTTTCAAGAACGGCGCGAGAATGAATCACCTCGCGTTTACCTCATGAGGCATGACGCGCATGGCGTGTGACATGGAGGCTATGAACAGGGAGGCCTCACACAGCTGACCTCTCCAGAACAGAAGCTTCTTTCTCTCACGCACAGACAGAAAGAGACACGCAGCCCGTCTTGTCCCTCACCTCTGTACTTCTTCTCCAGGTCCATCACCAGCAGGGCCAGGTAGCTGTGGTTGGCCGACAGCAGGGCCTTGATCCAGCTCTCCTGACCGGCCTGGTCCTCGGCAGCAAACTTGTACGTCCGCAGTCCCGGTTCGCCCCACACCAGCGAGAAGGCGAACTGCTCCTCGGACTCGCACAGCTGGACGGTGCAGCCCTCCAGAACAATCACCCCTGTCACGTCCCGGTCGGCCGGCCGGTCCTTGTAGAAGAGGAGGTTCCCCTTCAGCACGAACCAGCGCTTCTGATAGGAAGTCTTTCTCTCTCCCTGCGAGGCAATGGTGCAATCTGTGGTTAACTCAACCGTGTACAAACAAGTCATTTACTTCATTTCTTACACAACAGTTGGTGGGGACACAAGCAACCGAAATGCTGAATGAGAAACTCTTAAGAAGTTTGGTGTTTTTGTAAATTTCCTGCACTCTTATTTGCCTAAATATGATCAATTCTGGTTGTGTAATATTTGAATCCTACATGTTTTTGTGCATGGCAGTTTGTAACTTTGTTTTGAAGGCTGGTTGGTAATAACTCAATTCACTTTTGTAAATTATTGAAAAGGCCAGAAGAACGACTGGGTTATTACATTTCCCTACCTTCTTGTGGAGGAAGCCTTCTTTGTCCACTTGGGAGGTGCAAGATTCAAAATAGGAGACAATTCTTTCGTGAATCTTCATTTCTACATCACAGGCAGCTTTGACCTGAAACCGCAACATATGAAACAACAACAACTTATCCTAGGTTACTTACCCATTAATTACTGGTTACGTCTGCTTGATAACTCATAATAACGAGCTTATTAACTCGCACGCGAGGATTCGTCGGAAACATCCCGGCCGCGGCGCCATTAATGATCGCGCGCTGTTTGCGGCGGTGACGTCTTTTAGCGCTCGCGCTGCACTTGCGCGACTATTTACAGCGCGACTCGTTCTTATTTGTAAAACGCTTAACTTTAACTGGAAGGAAATTGCGAGGCAGAACTATTTCTCTCTTCAACGTGGTTCTTAGTTACTCACCTTTCTATTGCAGCGTGTGGTGTTGTTTCGGTTTCCTCCTCCGCGCGCGCGTGTCAATCACTTCCTGGTTTCCAAGGTGAGGGCAGACCACTAAACCATTATGAAGTCACTTCCAGGCTAAAATCAAAAGTAATTATAAGTAAACGTGGTGCAAGGTTTTGTCCCATTAATTTATATTGTGCGTTATGTTTATACTTAAGAAAAGTAAAGTAGTGGAATGTAGTAGTTAGTGAAGAACTTTTGGGTGTTTCTGGTGCTGTGATGAAGCTGCCATGTGCACTGCACGAATAATTGACTTTTTCATTAGACAATGGACAATATGTAATACTGCCTGATAGAGTCAAGGAAATAACATTCTTCTACTACCGTTTTTACTTTTCAATTAATAAAGCCATGACACAAGAAACGTGTGTACGTAAACGAGCCTTTGAGTGTTGTTTACGAGACGCTCAGTTGTTTGTTTGTGGTAGTAACAAATTCATTTATTGTTTTGCTGAATGAAGAATTTTCCTGGCTTTCATCATTGACACCAAAAATAATTGCAATAAATATATCTAGCACAGCGAGCTTCGATCACTCTGAAAAAAATCATGCAACCCCCATTCTGAAAAGTCCAAAATCAATAACACTAATAGGGCATTTCAAATGTTATTGTATTACGTTTCCCTTCTGTATTGTCTGAAAAATTATTATGTTATGCATTGCAAAAAATAAGTTGACAGTTGTGACAGTCATTTACTCATTCCTATCTTAAAAGCCCTGCAGTTTTCTCTTATTCTGGCTGATTAGGTCTCTACTCAGTGAAATAGAACTCTTTATATTAACCAGAATGACAGAGATCTATCTTTGGGTGCCCTAACCGGTAGTAATGGAAGAATGACAGATGCCACAAATTCCTGAAATCTTCTCGACCACAAAAAATGAAAACCAACTGAATGAATGGTAGTGGAGGACCTTTAAGCAGATTTGTTTAAAACATCATGATGTGAAATTCCACAAACAACAAAAAATGTCAGTATGTCGATTGTAAAATCGATATACTGATAGTATCAGTGCATTCCTCGCTCTGTAAAGCTCTAGCCTCTGTGGTTAAATGATTACCATCTACTGCCCTGTTCCTTCACAATTAGAAGCACAAAAGGAGTTAAAGGCGTAACAAGCGCACAGCTGGCTGCACACCAGGACAGCAGGAGACTCCTTGTCACAAACCACGATTCCAAAATAGTTTCAATATTTGTTATCACTGCAACTATTTCTTAAACTAAGTGCAAAGTCCCTTCCTTCACAGGGTCTAAAAAATTTAGAGTCTGGCGTAACATTCATTGCAACTGTAAAACCTCTCCGATGTGAATCTTCTGATGTCTTTTCAGATTCTCCCCCCGACTGAAGCTCTTTCCACACTGGTTGCAGTAGTACGGTTTCTCCCCTGTGTGGACCCTCTTGTGTTTTTTCAGGTCTCCCGCCTGACTGAAGCGTCTCCCACACAGAATGCAGCCGTACGGCTTCTCCCCTGTATGACACCGCTGGTGGATTCTCAAGTTCCCCACCCTGCTGAACGTCTTTCCACACACGACGCACGAGTGGGTGTCATCTCCCCCGAAGTGCTCCACCCGGAATCTTCTCCCGTCGAACGCGCCCCTGTTGCTTTTTGCAAAGCCGTGCCTCCTCGGTGTGGCTTGTTTGGCGTGCGCGATCAAGCGTCCGTGCGGCGGCGCGGGGCCGACGTGTGACCTGTGCGTCCCGGCAGAGCTCTGACGGGAAGAGTTGCAGCTTAAATCCACACACCCACTGAATTGCCGTTGAAGAGGCGGGGGCTCCGATGCTGTGCAGTCGGTCAGTTCGCACTCTCTTTTGATAATCCCCGGGTTCAGCCCCAGTGAGGGGCTACACTGAGAGGCGCACGCATCATCGGGTGTGACGGCACTGATTCCGCTGTTTGCACTGGTTGACGTGTGGTCTGTCATTGCATCCGTAATCATGTGTGTCACCACCTGTTTTGGTTCTACCCAATGTTCTGTAGTTTGTGCCGAGTTGCACTCAGCTTGTGGCTCGGTGTTATTGTGGGTCTCCTGTGGTTTCAATTCCTTCTTCACATCCTTGACAGGTTTGTGGTTGATTATTTGCTTTTGCTCAGCGAGAGGGAGGTGCAGGTCCTGCCTCAAAGCGAGCATCAAAACCTGCTCCTGACTCGGCGCGTCTCGTCTTTCTTGAGGTGACGAACTACTTGTACGTGGAACAGCTGTGAAATCACGACCAAAAGAAGGAACTGTTGGATTAACAAACTCACGAGTAACACGCTTCAACCGGGACAGCAACATTATACATGATTCAAGGAAATGACACGTGTTACCCACCTGTGCTCGATCGTGTTAGCTGGTCCTGGAGCTCCTGCAGCTTTCTCTTTAGACTCTCGTTCTCTCTTTGTGTTCTGGCCGTTTTCTCCTGGTACTCTGACACGGTCTCCTTCACCACCCCGAGCACCTCATGCACCGCTTCAGTCAGTAGCTTGGCCACTCGGGCATTCAAACGGTCAAGTTTAGACATCCTGAAACAAAACGGCACTTAGGGTAAGAAATGACTGTGGACCGTTTGTGCAGAATCCTCTACACAGAGAGCGGAGTACAACTCCTATTGCATACTGGATAACAGGACGTTTCACAAACACTGATGTGTGACAACACTTCCTTTTGTAATCGCTGCAACCTGCACTGCTGCGTTTAACAAAGCACATTATGCAAGAACTAACTGGTCAATTATAGTAGTAAATAGTCACATCTTTAATCCCGAGTAATTATAATAGCGATTCTAATGCAGTTCCCCGATCATTTTGATATGCAACGTTTACATACATTGTATTAACGCACACCAGGGAAATCATGCCTGTTTTGAGTATTTGCAGTGGGGCTTTACATCAAGTAACGTGTTTGCTACGTATCACAATCTGATCGGCATTTCCCCTTAAAGGTCCCGTTATTTTTCAAGCTAAGCGGTTTATATGTTATAAGTAGAACAAACAAGTGTTGAATGACCGCGACAGTCAGTGGGCTAAATAACGTTAAGCATGTTAAGAGCCACTCTACCTGCAAGCTAGAGAGTAGTTAGGTCAGCGGTAGAACATGAGGATCTAACGTTAGCTACATTAGCTTTAGCTACATTAACGCTAGCTAACTAACGTTAGCTACATTAAATTGAGCTAACTCGGTGCGTTATCTCCTTTACAACTTTAAACAAACGCGTCATGTGATCGCTGTGTCACCGAGACGTCTTAGTAAGCTTAGTTTAGACAAACTAAACTAGGCAATATAAATTAACAAAATAAAAATGCAAACGAAAAAGCAAAACCCGAATCTGAACGCAACATAACAGCTCGTCCCTTCCGGAAGTACATCTGCTGTGTGAATCTGAAAATTTTCAAAATAAAATGGGGTTTCACCACATTAATCGATTTGCACCTCTATGTAAATATTATGTGATATATATATATATATATATATATATATATATATATATATATATATATATATATATATATATATATATAGGCGGCTACTGACATGTGATACCCAAAGCAATATGTATATATGTGTGTGTTTTTAGCCATCATAAAGATCATAAAGATATTAGGAAATGTATGTAAATGAACTGTCATCACACACCTCACCTATAGTCCATGCTGGTTTATTGAATCACACTTATTGTTTCACAGCTTTGCCATTGTTGATCATTTTATAGGTTACATTAGTGCAATGGTGTTTATGGATGTATTTAGCAGAGGACGGTTTTATTCCTACATGCCAGCAGTGTCCTCTAGGTTCAGTCTGTCAGTCTGCACACCTGCACCTACTGAATGTGTCATAGAAACCTGGCATGTTCTCCACAGGAAAGATCGCATTGATCCATGTAGAGTAAGTCAGTCTTTACTTTGCCTCCTGAAATTTTGAAGCAGAAGACTTAAGGATTGAGTACAAAGGTTTTAAACGAAATTGATTTATATTTTCATTTCACACATTAACGTCTGCCCACACATCTGTCCACAGACTGTTGAAACACGTTTATTGCGGTTTGTGATCAAGCTAGCCGTGAACTGGGTTTGATCTGTGTTTTTCAGGCTCACACTTAACCAAACCACATAACAATATGTAATAATAACATTTCTATTTTGACCAACAACATAAACCAATATCAATAAAATGAAATAAATGAAATAATTTGTCAATATGTTGTATCACAGTCATCTGGCAGTGTGTCTTACTTTTTTTACAAGCTGTAAGAAAGTATGTAGTAGGAAGCGACACATCTGGCTGTGTTGACTGACCTTTGAACCCAGCACCAAGCAGGGGAAGTTTATGGAAATGTTTAGATTTAGCAGCACCTTCAAATTAATTAATATCAAAGTTCAATATGTTTCAATCCACTGACTCATATTTTGCAGTTTTTCTCAAACAGACGCACCACTAACAGCCCGCACTCTTATGCTTAATGCATAAATGCATAAAGCGAAAGCTTCACAGGTGAGTCTGCTGGTGCTTCTTCATGTTGCTCGAGTGACTGAAACTTTTGCCGCAATGCCCGCAGCCGAAGGGCTTCTCCCCGGTGTGGTAGCGCAGATGCACCGTCAGGTAGCCCGACTGACTGAAGCGCTTCCCGCACACCGAGCAGCAGTACGGCTTCTCCCCGGTGTGCACCCTGCTGTGCTTCTTGTAGTCGCCCGCGTGTCTGAAGGTGCGCCCGCACAGCGCGCAGCTGTAAGGTTTCCTCTCGGTCCCCTGGAACGCTCTCGAGCGCGGGCCGCCCGTTTTTGTGTGTTGTTGTTGTTGTTGTTGTTTTTCCGTGTCGTTGTATCGTTGCCCCCCGTAGAGACCCGGGTGCGCGTGGGGAGGTTCTAGGTTTGGTCCCTGGCAGGATGCCGCGTCCGGCGCGTCATAGAGGCAATTGGTGGTGCGCGCGGCTCCTTCGTCCAAAAGAGGCTCTGCTTTCATTTTGTGGTCGTCTTCGGACATCGTAACCATGGTGATAGAGCCCACGTGGTGGGGATTGGACAGTGCGTCGCCTCCTACATGTGGTCGGGTGGTGGGGGAGAGGCGGGTGGTGGCTGACGATGAGATGGATGCTTCCAGGTCTTCGCAGACCGCCGCGAAGTCATCCTCTGCTTTCGGTTTCTTCTCTATCAGACGGAGCTCAGCGTCATCCTGCTGCGATGCAATCGACGTTCGTGCCACAACTCCTGCACGGCAATACAAAAATTGAAAATGCAAACCACATTGGAAGACATTTTTTCAGTGATAAAGAAAAATAAAATAAAAATGGGACTTACCATTGCTTTCCAGATGTATCTGCTCCTGCAGCTCCTGCAGCCTCCTCTTCAGACTTTGGTTCTCTCTCTGGGTTCTCGTGGTTTTCTCCTGGTACTCGGATACGGTCTCTTTCACCACCTCCAGAACCTCCTGCACAGCCTTAGACAGCAGCTTCTCCACCCGGGCATTCAGACGCTCGATTTTGGACATCTTTATTGGCTGACGGTTGTAAAAAATAAAATAATTAGTGCCGATCCGAGTATGTAGATTCATATATATTTGCAGGACACCAAATAGTACAGATCTGTAGCATCTATCAAATTGCTCATTTGTTATGATACGAGAAATATAAGCGCAGCGCACAGATTCATCCCCAATAAGCGCGAGCGCAAAAACACAAAATCTCACTATTTAAAGGGCTCAAACTGGTGCCTCAGCGATGCCACCTGACTGGAGGACCAGCAGCATACCTTAAACCCAATGCAATGTGGTGTCGCAATCCTTGATGACTCTCAGGTCGTCCAGCGGTCCAGATGAAGACGCTCGCTGTTTACAACACGCGCAGATATTCCAAATCAGTCTCTATGTGTTCCACAGATAACCAAGCGGAGCAGGATCATATAACGGTTTGGCATAGAAAATATCTCTAAAGATGGAATTATTTTCACAAAACATCCCCACCAACATCATCATCATCCTCTTCCTGTTGTCATGGGGGCTGGACTCTCGCGTGAAATGCGTTGCTGCCATCTACTGGAGGGCGCGAAAACATCTGGAACAGGTCTGAATCTACTCCAGCACCTCTGGGTTCGTGTTGAGTCCCGGGCCTGCTTGTGGGAAGCTGTTGATTCCCACACACAGGTTTTTCTTTCTACATGTTTGAAGTTCCTTCAGCCTGAAGCATATAGCACATGTTCAGTTTGATTCCCTCTATGTTTTATTTTTCTTCTGCACCTCATGAGGTTGATGAGTACACACAGCGGATAAGTTATTTAACATCACACAAGGTCATTTCAGCGACAGATTGCCTTTACAAAAACATAAAAAAGTGCTTTCAAGGTCTGCTTACACATTCAATCATTTCCCCCAAAATATATATTTTTCAAATACTCATTAAAAGAAGCTGTTGTAAGACTATTACAATATGGCAAAAACCGTTCAGGTACATTCAAACACAAGCTCCTCTTCACTATAGGCTTTGTGCTCACGGCTGTCCCTCCACAGCCGTATCCTCAAACAGACTGAGCAAGTTCTTTGGTTCAAAGTTGGGCCGCGGCACGGCCTCCTCGGTCCGGACCCAGTTGCGAGCGCCTCGCCGCGAGGACTTGCTGGACGACGATTGCCGGCTCCGCGTGGCGCTTTTGTTCGTGCGGTCCGCATAAAGCTCGGCGTGTGTGGGGCTCGCAGCGGGGGTCAGCGCGCGGCACGAACCATTTGAGTGGATGCTGGAAGGGGTGTGCGCCGAGTTGAAGGAGGAACAATCGCCCGGATTTGAGTGAGTGGGCGTGTGGGCGGGGCTTTGCCGATAGCGCCTCGGGGAATGCGGGAGAGGAGTGGACGTGCTTTCCACCGACAGTCTAGATTTAACCCTGCGGAATGTACAAAATAAACTTGAACAGTAAGCAGGGAATTAATAAATGTCATTTAGCTAGGGAAGGTGTCAAGGGAGTTTTCTATACTATATAACATCATATATTAGCTACATTTTCTAAAACAAGGGCCTACCTGTGTGAGAAGGTGGGGGAAGGCTCCGGCTCTGTGGGATCCAGCAGAAACACAGCGTCGTCCTCTGGGCTCCCCGAGTCAGCGTGCATGGCGCTGAGGGGAAGGGTTAAATCCTTGTCCCAGCTGCCATGAGGAGGAGTCGAGGGCAACGGCTTGGTCCAGTGAGGAGCAAAGGACCAGTGAAGGTACGATAGGAGTCTACACCCGAAGCGCACTGCCAGCTAGGAAAGAACGAGAGCAGAAAAATGCAACGTTCGCATTTGTTTTACAAATTTAGGTTTCAAGGTCCAATAAGACGCCAAACCTGATAGAAGGAGACCAGTGTCAGCGCGGTCTCGGCGGCCAAAAGATAAATGCGCCTCCTCCACCGGTGTTTCCTGACAGAGGGGAGGGAGAGAAGCTCGGAGACCGTCGGCCTGTCCGACGGTTCCGGGGCCAGCATCATCCGCAGCACCGACTGAAGCTCGGTTGAAAGGCCTGCGGATGCAGACAGCAGAAATAGATTTTAAAAAAAGAAAAAAAAGGTAAACGGAACAATTTACGGAGGAGTTAAAAGAATTTGCGTCTCACCACCGGTAAACTCCGAGGGGAGGCAGCCTTGTCGGAGCTGCTGCCAGCCCTCGCCACCATTTGGAACCTCCATGTTGCAGGCAAGCTCCAGAATAGAAACACCCAAACTAAATGAATTTAAAAAAAATATAATTGGGAACTAATTCAAACGAGTCAATCAGTTCATCTCATCATGTCATTTCATTTTTGTTTGTACCTGAAAACATCTGCAGCAGGGCCGTACTTCCCACGGAGCAGCTCGGGGGCCATGTACCTGGGATCTCCCTCCTGGACGTCGTCTTTTGCTTTGCCCTCCGCGGACGCCGTGCTCTGTGTGAGCTCAAGCAGCAGCCCAAAGTCCCCCAGCTTAAGACGGCCAGAGTCGGTGATGAGGACATTGGCGGGCTTCAGGTCCAGATGCACGAAACCACGAGAGTGCAAGTGTTGCAACGCTGAGAGGAGGTCGCACAGGTACGCCCAGGCTGCCGGCTCATCTGGAAAACGAAAAGCCAGGTCAGCGCGTCCGGAGCAAGACTAACGTGATACGACATCTGGGCCAATTTACCCGTGTCTTTTTAATTAATATATATATACCTGGGCCAGGCGGCTTGTTCTCGGCGTGGAGGAGCAAGCTGGTGCTGCACAGCTCTGTTTGGATGTACAGTCGGCCGCACTCCTCCCACGCCGCCACGAAATTCAGGATGTGAGGGTGAGGACAGAGGCGCTCGTGGTTCCTGGCTTCCCTCATGCCGCGGTTCCTGTCACTGTTGCCCCTGAAGCGATGAGCGGATCGCTTCACTGCGTACTGACGGCCGTCCTTGTTGCTTTCCACCTGGGGGAAAAAAGAAATATATAAATATATTTTAGAAGAAATGAAAAACTAAGCAAAAGAATAAACCGCTTAAATATCGAAGCTTCATAATACAGACTCGTATGGAGGCAGCGGTGTCAAGCGTATGCGTCTTATGGCAACATACTCACAAAATGAATGTTAAATACAAAAAGTCCTTAATGTAAAGAAACATGTGATTCGTTAAATGCAATTGCGCCACATACATGTAGAACATGCATACATATACAAACTTCTCCCACCTTATAGACCTCTCCGAAGGATCCTCTACCTAGAAGGCCCAAATTAGTGTAGCACTGGCTGAAGTACGACTGCTGTTTGCTGGGATCGTACTCGGAATCTGGAGGGGGAGACTCGCTGAGGGAACGCGACAGGGGGGTCCAAGGGGACAGATGCTGGGGAAACATCCGGCTCAGCGGGGGGCCCCCCTTGGATGGTGGCAGCGGGGGCAGAGAATGCGACAGCCGGGCCGGGGAAGAGAAGGACGCGTCGGACGTGGAAGAGGAGGCAAAAGGGAGGCGCCGCTTCTTGAGGGAAAAGGACTGCTCTGCGTGGGAGAAGTGGGTCGGGAGGGGGAGCGGCACTCTGGACACTGTGGTCTCCACTGTCACCGACATGGTGCCGGACCCCTTTATTCACCTCCTTTCCTGAAAGACAATGAGCTGCAACATTCAAAAGAAAAGTAAAAGTCAGTTTGCAATAAAAACCCAAAGGCCCAGGCACCAAACTGCACTGTGGTACCAGGAAGTAGTGGAGGCTGCATGACACTCATCCTCCATTTGATACATCTGACATCCTGAATATCTCGTTTGACGGGTCATCCGATTGTCTGAAACACGTATCGTCGATACATTCTCGTCGATCCGTTGAGGCTCGGCTCACTTGCAGAGCAGGTCCAGGAGGTACAACCCGAATGTGGCGCAACTGACTGTATCCACGGGAACTCCTACACGTGCGATAACGTCAGTTTCACCCCGGTGTTCATTTCAGTTAACGTGACTTTGCTGAATTCGCCGTAATAAACACAACTCGGCTAACTTCGGCCGCGCCGAGTAAACAACACGACAACGTAACCTCGCTAGCTAGCTGAACTGCAGGGAAACAACGTTGACAGTTCCTGGTTAGAAGAGTAGAATCACATGAAGGGACTTCGTTACACAGACCATAATCCGCTGTTTAGGATCGACCGTCTTCAGAGATAAAAACAAAACAAAAACAAAGTAGGGCTCAGCGAGTCGAGGGTCCAAATCAAACCGCTCGTAGACGCTACGTGTAAATAACGAGACCTCGCGCCAAATTCTCAAAAAAAAAAAAAAAAATACGCACCGCTGCGCACTTTCCTTCCGTGAATACGGAACGCTCATCTGAGTTGCGCAATTTCCGCAAGCGGTGCAGTCTGGGGTTCTGCTGCACTACACAGGGCTGGCGCAACTGGCTAGCTAGCTGAGCACTTGAAATGGTAACTTTATTATTCTTACCGGTCTTTTTTTTTACCTCGATGCCTGGATACAAACACGGAATAAACGACGAGCGCTTCGTTCAAAAACATTCGCGCCTGTAGTAACACACGACGGCGACGTTTATAGGCATGTGTGTGTGTTCTCGTTTACGTTCGCTAGCAGGCTAACGATGCTAACGTCGCTACGTTAGCTTCGCCTTCTCATCCAGCGCTAGCGATAACGTAAGATGTAACGAGAGTCGCAGAGTAACTTGTTTTTATTTTAGCTCGGCTAACCTCGGAACGGATGTAACGTTAGTCAACCAACCCAGTTAGGCCGGTCGGGTCAGCCGCACGTCCCACGGCCATCGTCTGACCGACACTCCGGCGTATATTTTTTAACTGTCATTTAACTGTTTTACTCTCAAACACGACAAGGCTGCGTAATGCTAACGGAGCTAACAGCTAACGTTAAATAGACTGTTCGCCGGTTCTCGGTAACGTCAGCTCATGAACCAACGGGTTGTCGGTAGTGTTGCTAAACTTGCCTGACACGTTAAGCATATTCACACACTGAAGCTCAGCCTAACGTGACATGCAGTCATAAATATTAGTTATACGAAGATTAAAGTTGTTTTGAATAAAAAGTGGTCGAGGACCTATAGATTCCTCTATAGGTCTACTATGTGTTGCCAGTCTCGATTTGGGAGCAACATCAGTTCCACCAATTTTTAACCCTCATCTACAAGGTTAAAACCCCAAATCAAGTTGCCTTGGACACAGGTTATAATAATATATTCCTGCCCACGCTTTCCCTCAGGACGTGTTCTTGATGATCCGGCGTCACAAGACCACAATCTTCACGGATGCCAAGGAGTCTACCACTGTGTATGAGCTGAAGCGTATTGTTGAAGGAATCCTAAAGAGATCACCTGAAGACCAGCGGCTGTACAAAGTGAGTTTGGTAACAAGTATGCTAGTGATGCCTAACTAATTAAGTCCCGTCACATCTGATAGCATCACGATCCTGTCTAAGGGATGCTAGTGGCTTGTAAGTCGTCTTTCCAAAGAGGTGATTCGAACATTCCTCTGCAATACCACACATGTACATCTTGATCTTCGATTTAAAACCCTACATTTTAAGCCATTAGTGGATCCTGTGACATTTTCAACTTTTTGCCCACAGGATGACCAGTCGCTAGACGACAGCAAAACTCTTGGAGACTGTGGATTCACCAACCAGACTGCCAGACCTCAAGCGCCAGCTACAGTTGGTCTGGCTTTCCGCGTAAATGGTGTGTTCAGTCTGGGTTTTGTGTGCTTCTGAGAATTGGGGGTGTTTCAGGGGCGACGCCGAGGGGCAATTGGTTTGAAGAAGGGCCAAATACGTCCATCTGGACCGATTGATAAAGGGATTCAATGATCGACACACATGTGAACTGAAACATGATTTGTTGGCGGAGTGATACAGCCGCCTGGCAGGAAATGTTCTTCCTGATTCTTTTCTATTCATCATTCATTTATTTTTTGTTAAATATCAATCTGTGGTGTTTGCTGCCATCTCAAAGGTCTTATGAAATAATGTTACTTTAATCTGTTGTTCTGATTCCACATCAGTCTTCGTCCCTTAACCTTGTGTGTGTTACTGAGTTCGCCTTTGGCTATGCAACTTTTTAGTAGAGAGCACATGGTTTTGCAGCGGTGTTCAAAAGTCCTAGAGTTTCAATAGAGCGAGAAATCCGATGCAGACACGCCATCGTCTTTTAAAACACGTCGCACGTAGTCCCATGCGACCTGTCTCGACGCAGCTAATGGTTCCCTAATGTCCTCTGCCCTTCAGATGAGATGTTTGAACAGCTCCACGTCGAGGCCTTCTCCAGCCCCCCGGAACTCCCCGACGTGATGAAGCCCCAGGACTCCGGCAGCACGGCCAACGAGCAGGCCGTGCAGTGATGGCGGGGAGAGGAAAGGAGCGAGGACAGGAAAGGAGCGAAGGGAGGAAGGATGGAAGTGGGTGTGTGTGGATTAACTGCAGTGGAGAAGTAGCAGGGCGGAAGATAATGTAATATAATTTACGTTGATGGATGGGGACATTATAGGTAACCGAGCCTATCCATGTTACCGTCACGCTGTCATCCCAACGTCTCCCATTCTTTTCTTCTTTTTTTTTTTTGTTGAAAACTCTTTGATAGTTTCCACAGCACGTTCTGCTCCTTGACTTTGCTCTTAAGCACCAACTGGCTAAACTTCCCGAGTGAATGTGTTTGTTTGGATTGTGTGTGTGTGTGTGTGTGTGTGTGTGTGTGAGAGAGAGAGCGAGTGAGCGAGCGTTATTATAATTATTGTCTTTAATATTTTGGAAAAGTGTAGTTGTGTGTCACAGTGCTCTAGAAGTAACAAGCCTCGGTAAAGAGTCGGGTGTGTCTGGCGAACTGCATGAAGAAAATTCAAAACCAAGGCTTTACAGACTAACCGTGAACTGCTGAGTTTACTTGGTGTGATTCTGTTGTACATTTCTGATTTGATTCCATACCAGGAAAGAAAGCCTTTATAATGATTCTACGTTGTTGGGTGTCATCATTTTGATTTCAGTACTCGTCAGCTCTTGGTCGGTTTCACAGAAAGCTCCTGGGACAACAGGGGGACACGTTGGGTCCGAGGACACACAGGATACACAGGAGGAGGGTTTTCTGTCGTTAAAACTTAATCACCACATGTCCCCAACTTCTATGCGGGACCTTCCCCTAATCACACAAACATTGCCTGTAATTGTGAGCTTGCATAATTAAAAGTTCTTCCTGTTTTGTTTTTTACACTGCAGGCTGATTTTTAATTCTTATTATTTTTAAATGCAGGATTACGTTAACATTTATTGAAGATGATAGAATTTAAGCGGTCTGTCTAATAAGTTGCGTGGGGCTTTTAGAAGGCTTAATCACAGCAGACATTTTGAATAATTGGGAATTTCATTATTTACGCTTGTGCTTTTCTTGCTGTGACGTCAAAAAGTCCAAAGTAGATTCTTTTGTATATAATGTCTTTCACCCACTGGGTTTTTACAAAATGAAATCCAGGCGTTTTGTTGGAATGCAGTTTAACACATTCATTTTATTATATTGCTCACATGTTGCATTTCTGTTTTGTTTCAACAAATCCCCTTAAACTATCTTGCATACAGCAAACCTGGGGAGCAACGTTTGGGAACTTCAAAGGCAACAAGTGCCCCAAAAATGTTTTGGGGATAAAATACTAAATAAAAGTGTATTTCTTAAAAGATTCTCAAACCCTCACTGATTAATTGTCTATGTTTAAAAAGTAAATTTTTGTAAGGCGTCTGTTAATTCCTCAGATATGGACTAATATTCATATCAATCCTGTCAATGCCGGTATAAAGTAAGAAAACATTTAAAGTAAAAAGTGGAGAACATCTGCCCCCACATGAGCATACATCCAAATACGAGCACTTAAGGGCTCCGCCCCTCGAGCCTTCAGGAAGAACCCTACGTGCACCACATGCACATCATGCATTAAATGCACCACATGCACATCATGCATGAAATGCACCACATGCACATCATGCATTAAATGCATTCACCCTGAATCCGACCCTTCAGTCCGGTGGTCGCTGCAGGACGCGGAGCCGCAGTTTGCGCCGCTCGCGTCGACACCAAATCCCCCAAATTTTCTTCCTTCCAAATATGGACCTGGAATGTCCAGGATGACGTCGCGTGTCCGGGGAATGCGGGGTTTGTAAACCACATTCATTCACTGCGCCTTCTTCCAGTCTTTGGACCCTGGTGGGCATTTCACAGGAAGAGAGGCGTGTAGGGGGGAAAAAGAAAGAAACGGGACGCCCTCCTTCTCCTCATCCTCCTCCTCTTCCTCCTCCTCCTCGGCGGATAACGGTGTCCAAGAAGTTCCTGAGGACCGAGACGCAGACAAAAGCACCGGGACTAGTTTATCTTGCGGGCGTCGGTTCGCGTCCATCACTTCCTATTGATGCTGTGCGCGTTGTGTCACACGAAGAGGAAAACACTCGTTTGAAATCGCACCATGGACGATCTGGGTGAGTGTGGGTGCTGCTCCTCTGCTCCATGGTCCGGTATCTTCAGGGGGATCTTTGCGGGGAAGGGGCGGTGTGCCCAAACAGAGGAAGCGGGGTTTGTTCACGCTGGCCATCGCGGTGGAGTAGAATCTCCCTTTTTGTCCACAAGGACAAGCAATGGGCTGAATAGTGAAAAGGGGATTTTATTGGCTCGCATAATGTTTGAAGGGAGGGAAAAGCTACAGAAGCATCCTTAAATAAACACATGTGTCTCTTTATCCCGTGATATTATGTGGGATCTCTCTCCGCAATGTGCTCCGGGCCTCTGGAGATTTAAAAAGTTTGTTTTTCTTCCCGTTGTTGCAGAATTGTGTTCACCTTTTTCGAGCAAACAGGCCACGAACGCACACATACTCACACAGGTAGCACAGGAACCGGTGCTGACACTGAGTGCTCTGTGTACGCCCTGCAAATTCAATGAATTTGTTGTAAATTAGATTAAAAGGAATCCACGGCGGGCTTCGCCATCCATTAGTGTTAACAAGTCGGGCATGGGGAGAAGCCACATCAGGCTCCGCACAGTGTTCCATTTTGAAGACATCAAAGAGGCGTGTGACCAACGGCTGGGCTATTTATATATATATTGACGATTTTGGATGAAACATAATGAAAAGCTCACTCTTTGTGTGTCAGAAAGGCCCTGAAATAGCACCCGGGGCCACGCCGCCACTTAGAAAGAGAGAAACTATTCAAAGCCTTTTTGGCCTCCGCCGCCCGTTTGCTCTCCCGGGCACTTTAGTCCACCTCAGAGTTTAAGGGGGTTTGTGCTTTACAAGCAATCCTGGAAGGAATGACTCCATGCAGCCTGAGCACATCTGGCCACATCTGGATCGGATTGCACACGGAGAGAAAGGGAGAGAGAGAGAGAGAGAGAGAGAGAGAGAGAGCCCCACGGTCACTGGGTGAGCGGCAGACAGGCGGTGGCCATGTTCCCGGCGCTCCGTTTGTGCTGTTGTCTAATGAAGTTGTACTTTTTAGGTTTTGGATCCGACGAGGCTTTTCTGTGTGAGGGACCACTTGTTGGAGAGGCTGCAGGGCCAAGACAAACAAGTGGACGGGCAGCTCTAAATATGGTCACGATTTCCATTGAGAGACGTTTAGCTCCTTATATGAGCACATCGGTCTGTGGAAGTGTGTGTGTGTGAGAGAGAGACACACACACACACACAGCGGCGAGGAGGGCAAGTAGTATGTGCTCATGTTTCTCGCCACATGTTCGTTCCAGATGTGTGAGTCATCGGTGGCGGAGGGGAACTAATGCCGGTCACACCGGTCACGTTCATCGTCATCGTCTTCGTCAGTCGTCACGAGAATCAGAGAACCAGAGATTCTTTTTAGGGGGCAGCTTCGTTATTTTGGTGAGACAGACGGAGGAGACAAACGTTCATTGTTGACGTTGGAAACATCTCCTACAACTATAATTTGATGTTCCGTTATAAGAACAAACCAAAGTTAAAGGGTGGATATGTGATGAGGGTGTAGTTCAAGTCTTTCAACAAGGGACAGCACCGAAAAGCTTTAAATGGAACCTCGTGCCTCTGGTTTTATGCCTAATTAGCGGGAAGGTCAAAATAGATAAAAGGTGAACTTGCTCCAACTGGTAGTGGTGTGTGAAACTTGTATTTCAAAAAGCATGCGAATCCATCTAGATCAATAAATAGTGCAACAGGAGAAAACGGTGTGTTTTCTAGCGAAAACAGCAGCACTCACTCGTATTCAGCCGGATTCTTTTTTCTTTTTTTCCTCACAAACTCTGGGCCTCACGCACTGAATGCGGCCGCTAACCTTTGAGCGTGTTTCTGCACAGCCTCCCTTTGGAGTCAGTGAGCGACGTGTGGGTATCTGTTGCTGAGCACTCTTCCTCCTCCGCTTCCTTTCAAAGCCGGCATGTCGGGGATAATTGTGCAAACGTCTCGACTGAGGACGCTCGCTGTCCTCCGTGTGGGCTGATACGCTGCTGCTGTGCGTCTGTGTCTCCTTAGGAGCGACTGAGCCACCTAGCTACCCTCTCAGTCCCCGTATTGTTGTGTTTGGTACGTAACTGCCTGTGCATGAGTTTGTGCACGTGTTTGTGCACGTTTCATTGTGCCCGCCGGGAACTAAACTTCATGCGTCTGTCTAACACCTGGTGTGTTTTCGTCTCCACCGGCACTGCACGTCTGAAAGAAATCAGTTTCTTAGTTCACATCTAGTTTGTTGTTTATTTCCCATTAATGCTGTTTAAACAAACAAGATAGTTTATGGCCTAGTTGAGCGTCTTTCATTTTCATCATCAACCCAATCTGAAGCTAAATTGAATGAATGAGTCCGGACTTTGACCATTGGATGAGTTTCTTTCCCCTGGTTTCTCCCACAGACGCCCTCCTCGCCGATCTGGAGAACACCGGCTCTCCTCTGGCTCGGTGTCCCGTCCTGCTCACCTCTGACCCTCCACAAAACGCTGACCCCGACGCCAAAGAGCCCACCGCCGCCCGGCCCCCGCCGCCCGCCTACACCCCCCAGCAGGTAGACCGCTCCGTACGACCAGGGAGGGATTCGTTCACTTGTTTACACCGCACATTCACACTTTCACACTTTGTGGGTTTTTGTCTCTCAGACAGTTTCTGCTGCAATGAAATCCTCCCAAAACTCCAACCCAGACAAACTATACAGGTAATTCCCTCCGGCTACAGAGTCTATAAAGAGTGAAAGTGACCCGCTCTCTTTGTGTTTGCATGTGAAATATCTGCAAATTCAAGAAAACCAATATTACAAATATTACAAATGATGAATGTACTTATTTTTGGCGATGAGCGTGTTGGGATCTTAACGCACTGCTATGGACACATGAGAGCAAGAAGAAGCAACAAGCACATCAGCGCAGATGTTTAGTGGTCCGTGTTCATTCGGGACGCCGCCCGTTGTGCCCTTTTCTTACAGCACGGTGTGTAAACCGCGCTCGCCGCGCGCAACGGACCCTCCGCCGGCCTTCTCCTCCTCCTCGCTGCTGGGAGGAGGTCTGAGTGAACTGGACCATCTGTTGCAGGAGCTGAATGCCACCCAGTTTAACATCACGGGTCAGCGTGTGTTCTCGCCTCCCCGGACTTAACTCTGACGTGAGTCTTTTTCTGCATATGACCTTGTCTTTGTCATCAGATGAGATCCTGGCCCAGTTCCCTTCTTCTAAGAAGGATGACAGGGACAAGATGAAGGACAAGGCCACGGGCTCCTCCTCCAGGTAGGAAATCAAATTCAATTGAGTCGAATCTAAAGAACCGCCAGAGCTCGCTGCGAATCTAGTGCATGGAGAGTCTTTGAGGAAAAATAAAGCTGCACAATTGAGTCTGAAATAGATTTATTAATCAAATAATGCGCCGTTGGCACGGTTGTTTACATGTGTGGAGCCTGTGAGAAGTAATGTGAATCGAAATATAAGGCATCATTTTGAGTTATATGTCATACAGCGGGATACTGTTTTGCCAAAACGTATTCAAGGCGGGTTTTAGTTTTTAACAACTGATTTGCAGTAGGTGAACTTTCTTGATTGGCTTCAAATGCAGGTCTGGTTATTTGCAGGTTATACATTGTTGAAGATAGATTACCTATTGATGTAGTCGACCATCAACACCACATTTCTTTCCCAGCAATGTTCACAAAGTCAAGATATATTGTTGGCAGCGGTAAGTAAAATCTGATGAAATTGTGTAATTGTCGTCCAATTAGAGTTATCTTCTTTATTCTAGCTCTGCGAAACCTTCAGCAACATCGGCCACACTGGAGCTGGACAAACTGATGGCTTCCCTGTCGGACTTCAGAGTCCAGAGTACAGTAAGCGTCTGCACAGAAATCCCCAAAATCAAATGCATTTTGTGCGCAAATCAAATTGTGCTCAAATTTGCCCTCGAGAGCGTGATGCCCCCCCCCCCCCCCCTCCCCCCTTCCTTCCATCATCACTGGCAGGTGTTCCCGGGTGTAACACGCTGATTCATTGTGGGTCCATGAAGATGTTCACTTGACTTCGCTGTTGCTGGCACATGACTCCTGGTTTAAATCCGTCACCAGTTAGAGCCCGAGGAGGCAAATTAGTCTCGGTGGAGATATTTTCCAGCCCCGAGAAAATATCTCCAGATAGTTGAGAGTGTTCGGTGTGTCACATAAGCCGGTCCGGCATGTGTGTTTAAAGTTTGTGTGGTTCCAGTTTGCAGTCCAGCTGTGTGTCGTAAACAAGTGTGACCCGCAGTTTATGGGAAAACTCAGACGCTCTTTACTGATTTAAGGTTTGATTTACAAAGATTTGACAAAATGTTGATTCCTCTGGTTTAGCCGCTTTGATACAAACTGAAATATTTAAAAAGAAATACACAAGGGATTGTTGGTATATTTTATACTTTTCTTTAAAATCTGCATTGATTTTTAAAACTTTTTTTCAACCGTTTTTTGCATCGGACAAAGTTGTTTCTTTTTCTATTTTTCTATGCTCTCCATTTCCCTCTTTTCCCGTTGATGTGTTTGGTTCGACGGCCTCACAGATCTTCAGCTGTCAGTCTCGTCTCAAACCAACTCCCGATTACGTTCTTTTTTCTTTTCCTCTGTCACCAGCCAGCTGTGCCCGCTGTCTGTCCAGTGGTCACGGCCCCCGTGGAGCCCTCCCCCCCCCCACAGGCCTCCTCCGCCGGCTCGCTGGACAGCATGCTGGGGCTGCTTCAGTCGGACCTGAGCCGACAAGGAGTTCAAACGTCCTCCAAAGGAAACTGTTCGGCTTGTCAGAAGCCGGTCGTGGGACAGGTGAGTAGCTTCCGCCGACTCGGTCGTGCTCACATCGGATAGAGCTTTTCAGCACGAGGCCCGACGGGACTTGTTGGGTTTTTTTCTTCTTCTTCTTCTTCTGTCAGGTGGTTACGGCTCTGGGGAAGGTCTGGCACCCGGAGCACTTTGTGTGCACCGAGTGCGAGGCGGAGCTGGGGAGCCGCAACTTCTTCGAGAAGGACGGGCGGCCGTACTGCGAGTCGGACTACTTCACCCTCTTCTCGCCTCACTGCGCGCAGTGCAACAAGCCCATTCTGAATGTGAGAGGCTCGGCCGCGTGCCACACCGTCCGCTCCGAATTGATGGCCCCCGACCCGCCTGAAGGCGTTTCACTTTTCGTTCCTCTTGTGCTTCAGAAAATGGTCACGGCTCTGGATAAGAACTGGCACCCGGAGTGTTTCTGCTGCGTTAAGTGCAGCCGGGCGTTTGGAGAGGAAGGTGAGTGGGCGCCACCGACTGCATCCTGTCTGGGTTCGACACAGAACTGTTAACAATGAGCTTCAGGAGGGGGGGTCGCATGAAATAAACAGTACTCAAAAAAAACTGCGTGCACATTTGTGAACGTTTTAACCTGCAGTGTCTTTGATTTTTCGAGCATCCTCCAGGTTAACCAAACGTTTATCAAAGAGACTCGTCCGACTTGTGAAAACTGTGGCTGTATCTTGTGCAGGTTTCCATGACCGAGAGGGGCAGCAGTACTGCCAGCAGTGCTTCCTGACTCTGTTTGCCTCCCGCTGTCAAGGCTGCACTCAGCCCATCCTGGAAAACTACATCTCCGCCCTCAGCTCCCTGTGGCACCCGCAGTGCTTCGTGTGCAGGGTGAGTGCTTCCTCTGTGGCGTCTGAGTGCGTTGTTTGCGTGCACGTTTGCTTGACGCTGCTGTTTGGGTCGCCACCACCTCGTGCGCTTTTGCACGAGTCGAACAGAAGCACTAAAGGTCAGAAAGGTCAGGATACCGGTACGTTAATCCTGAGGTGATCATGAATGCAGAGGGTTAGGGTACACGGATACGACTGAGGGGAATTTGTAGTTGGCCTGTTTATAAGGACATAAAGAGGAGTTTACTACAAACCTATTGCACATGTGGAGGTTATTTCAGGCTGACTTAATTAGTTGACTCTGTTTGACCTTGTTGGGACTGCTGTAAGCCAGGAGCTGGAGCGGGTCATCCACACGTGGGCACATTGGTGGTTTTAATCCCAGACCTCTGAGATATTGGACGGTGAATTGCTCTCGGCGAGACTGTGTTTGTGCGGGTGAAAGATTATATTAAATCCTGCTGGACACGTTGGGCCCCTTGTGTTGCAACTGGCGCTCGTTGGGCCAACGCATCCGCCCGAGGCTGTGATGACATTGCGCGTGTAACTGTTTGAGCAGCACGTTCCTGCTCTCTGAAATACCACCATGGAAATGAAAGGTTTAGAAAAACTACTGCATGTCACGAGAAAGTGTTCCACGAAGCAACCGTCTAATTAGAGTTTCACGGGCTCTCTGCCTGTGTTCCTCAGGAGTGCTACACGCCGTTCGTCAACGGCAGCTTCTTCGAGCACGAGGGTCAGCCGCTGTGCGAGGCCCACTACCACCAGTCCCGGGGCAGCATGTGTCAGGCCTGCCAGCAGCCGATCCTGGGCCGCTGCGTCACCGCCATGGGGGCCAAGTTCCACCCCCACCACCTGGTGTGTCACTTCTGCCTGAAGCCCCTGAGCAAAGGCTGCTTCAAGGAGCAGGAGAACAAGCCCTACTGCCACCCCTGCTTCATCAAGCTCTTTGGTTGAGGACACAACGGGACTTTGCCTCCCCCTCGTCCCGCTCTGGGTCGCCGAGCGAAGATGCTCTGGAGTCCTCAATTTGTTTTTTTTTGTTTTTTATCATGGGAATGAGGGTGGAGCTGGTCTCTTTCTTGGTTTTAAAATAATTAAATATTGATAGGGAGCGGGGAATAAACATTTTTTTAAAGTAATCCAACCCAATTAATTTCAGTTTATTTGAATTAAAGTGCATTGCATTTAGACTTGCGGTGTGAAATACAACTGTAGCATTGGTTAGAAGAATGATGCCAAATGATAACGTCATGTATGCAAAATGTATTGATTCAAATTGAATATTGAAAATTGAATTATTTTGCCAAAGGTAGAAAAGAAACAGTATATTTTGAGCAAATGTAGTGTTTCAGTGAAGGACTTGTGCAAAAAATCCCCCTAATATATTTGCTTTATATTGCAAAAAGTGCCACTGCGATTGCATTTCTATGTTGTATGCTGACTGCTATTTGCTGTATGTTTTATGTAAGCTCTCATATGTTTAATGGCAGATGTTTTACATTTTACATTCACTGCTGCTCTATGCAATTTGCCAAAAACTATTCCAAAGAATGAAATAAAGGAGAACACAATTGTTGTGCTGTTTCATGAGTGAATATTTGCTCAAATTTTTTTTCAATCTACACATCCTTTATGTAGGAAGTAAAATATAAAAAATGAACTAGAACAGAATAGAGAATAAGATAAGAGAAAAAGAAAAATGTTGATCAGTTGTTTGTTAGAAATTGATCGCATGGGTGGATATTGATCATTTACTTTATTTTAAGTATTGAAACGGAATGGAATATAGTAGTATCCACCCGTTAAATATAGAGATTAATATGGTGCCTAGATATGTTGACGCTGCAGTAAATAAACACTAGATGTCGCTGTTCGCTCACTGCTGTCAGCTCGAGCGTAACTTTAAATAAATCACTGCCAGCATTCTGAGTGTGTGCAGGTTTTTGAAAAGGAAATGTAGATCTAGAACAAACTCTAGAACAAAAAAAAGGGAAATAAAACATTAACATGACGGGGGGAGTCGAGCTGATGGCTACGTAATGCGTGATGACGTATGCGGGTCGACTCTGACTCCCACAGGTGAGTTCATTTAAAAGTTAATGAGCTTCCCCGTTCGTTTGACAAGAGAATGCAGGAAACCTTGTAGGAGAAAGAAAGTCACCGTGACCCGTCGCCGTTAAATGTAAACAAAATCTAAAATACACCATGAGTGATTCAGAGCAGCCAGAAGTAAGTTGGCATTATTTTGTCTGTTATTAATGTGTGAGTATTGTTTCATTGCAGTAGCCGCATGTCTCAAACGTGGCCGTGACGTCACACGTGATAACGAGCTAATTAGATATTCTTTTTGATTTAATGCCACGAGGGTGATTACCACAATGGCAGTGGGAACTTATCCTAATAATTAATAGGTGTCATTCATTCCTTTTTTTTAATTTGAGCTTTTTTCACATGGAGCTGCCCTTTACTGTGTGGTTTTTCAAAGGTTTCTGCTCAGTATCTCTTTGGTCCCTTTTTTTTAATTTTCATGATATATTTATATTTTATTTTGGCAGGAGGCTGAAAATGTGTCTCAGCCTCAGTGGCCTGAGAACGGAGAGGAATGGAGTGATGGAGAGGACGGCACGACCATGGACTGTGGGCTTCTGCAGGCCATGGCCGAGGAAGATGATGAGATTGACGTCTACAATGAGGAGACGTTTGGAATGGGTGCGTGGAGTGTTTCCTCAAACAGTTTCCACCATTTCCCAGTTTAAAAAAAATATATATATTTTTTTTTTTGTCCTTAGATGGTCCGGCCCCTTCATCTCCTGCAACAGGTGTACTGGTGGAATATTTCTTTACTGCCCAAAACATTTTAAAGGGTTGACATTTTGGGTATAATAAATAAACTGCGCCATTAGCTGTAGCTTAGCATAAATACTGGATAAATAGCGAAACTTCTAGCCTGGCTCTGCCCACAAGTAACCAAATCCACCTACGTAGAGTTCTTCACATTTTTGCAAACAGCGTTTTTTGGGCAGGTTTGATGTTGTTGAACTTAAATGATTCCATACAGCCAAATGATCTAAAACGTGCAACAAATGACACAACTAAAGAAATACAGCAAACTTTATGTAAAGGATCTCTGATACTCTTACATTACGTTTACTCGGGTAAACCGAATCGCCTGTTTTGTTGTCACAGCCAAAATGTTAAACATTATTTTATTGTTTTGTCTGCATGAGCATTCCATCGGGTATCTCCGTGGAAGAAGACCTTTCGCAAAAAAAAAAAATGAACGCTTCCCTTTTACTGTGTTTCTATATGTTCGTGTCATAGAACTTGACGCACGAGGGACCACCGAGGACCCCGGCAGCGAACTCCTACAGTTTGAAGAACAACCTCCTTCACCGCCACCGCCTCCATGCACACCTCCACCAGCCCCCAAACCATTACACCGCCACTGCTCCCCCTCCCCCCTCAGACAGAGCCCACAGTATGTGCCCTGGGCTCCCCCGGGGCAGCGTGGCAGAGGATGGGGGCAGAGAGGGGGGCCCGGTAGGGGCCATTTGTTTGAAGACCCAGCTGTGATGAGGATAGTGGAGGGCCGACCGAGTCTGAAGGTGATGCCGAATTATTAAGAGAACAATAACATCCATGAACAATTTGCTGCCTGTAATGTTCTTCATAATGTGTTACCTTTTTAATATCATGCACTGTTTACTATTAGTTTCCATTAGAAACCATGTTTTACATGTTTTATACGTGGATAAATGTGGAAACTCTTCTGCTTTTTAAGACTCTTGACAGTGCCATAGTGGACCTTGGGAACACCATGTACCGGAAGACCTTGGAGGAAGACGTAAGCGTCGCTTGGTCACGCTTTGCTGATCCTGCTAAAAGTTCCCTCTTGTTGTTTGACGTGTATTTTCTTCCCTTCAGTACATGTCGCCCTCTTTCAGAAAGGCCAGAAGAATCTCAGGATCAATACTTCAGGTCAAGATCCTCCTCTTCTAAAAGCACCTGTTGTAATCTGCATGACGTGGGACTAAAACATGCAGCTCTGTTATTTTATTCTGTTCCATAGGACAGTGCTGTAGTGTGTGTGATTGATGGTCACAGAGGCCGAAGTCAACAGCTGACCTCCAACTTCCCGGATTTCCCATATCCTGTCTCTTCCTTCAGGGGCAGGAGAGAGGAACCCAGAGGATCCTATGCCAGAAGACAGTTTGGCGAAAGATTCCCCGCTCAGGTGGAGGATTAATTTGATAGTACTGTGACACTTTTTGTTGTTGTTGTAAAGCATTCCTTCATTAAATTTGAGCTTTTTCTTGCAGATGCATGCATCCATGGCACCGGGATCCCCAATCTTCTCACGTCAACCACTAACCCCGCGGCAACATTACAATCAGGTTCATGTCATTATTAACTTAATCTGGCACAAAAAACGGCAACTCTGTTCATAAAAAGGTGATAACGTGACTGGTGACGTAGTTCTGTGCGCAGACCGGGGGCTTCATGTTCCCGGCGAACCGGCCGTGTCCCTCCACTCCCCAGTCGCTGACTCCCAAGATGATGCAACTTCGCTTTGGCGCCAACTCGCCGAGGCCGTCCCCCTTTTACAGCCCCTCGTCCAATCCGATGCAGCACTTCAGGTGTGGCCTGAGGAGTTTGTTTTGTGGCCTGAAATAGTCGCCGGTGAAGTTAAAGTGGTTCACTCTCGTTATCGCGGCTGAATTTTAAAATGCGCAAATCTGGGCGGGCGTTGAAAAACCGTATTTTTCCATAAAGACAAATGCGTGCTTTTTCTCTAGAAATGTTTGTCTGACCCACAGGAACCCCGGTCCTGTCACCCAGCTCCACCCCCAACATAAACGACTTCTTAATCAAAAACAACACATATTCCAAAGGTTGGTGGTTCCTCTTGGATGCATTTTAAACGCAGCGCTTTTATGTGGAGGAGCAGCTTCTACCTCAAGCGCGAATGGAATCCCTCCCTTTTGCTTTGGCGAAACCTGTCAGGTCGTGCATGCGAAAGATTCATTCATGGCTAATATTTTTAAAACATGACTGGTAGAAAAGCAGAGGACTGGGACCCGTACTGTAATCTCATGACGGCCAAAGAGAAGGAGTGGATCACCAGGCTGCAGATGATCCAGCTGCAAAGTGAGAATCCATACCACGAGGACTACTATTCCCAGGTAGAAAAATGAATATCTCGAGTGTCTTCACCTTCCATCGGCTAGCTTCTAATCCGAACGTTTGCTGAAGGCCGAGCTTTTCTCGTCTGCTTTATTTGAACCGCGTCACAGGAGTACTACCGGCGAATTGAATCAAAGATGGCGGAGGAGGAGCTGGGCATCAGGAGCAAGAGGGAGCCCCCCAAGCTTACCACGCCGTACATCACAAAGACCGACGTCTACGCACCAGGTTCTCTTCTGTCCCTTCTCCTCGGACCGAACCGCCACCACTCTCTTGAGCGACGCATCGGATTGTACGCGAGCTTGCAGTGGCCTTGCTGTTTTTGGTAATCAGTCTTTTGGTCTTCCAGTGGTGCACATCGAAGGCTCCCTCGGCCAAGTTGCCGTGTCCACGTGTTACTCCCCTCGCCGGGCCATCAGTGCGGTTCATGCAGTCCAAGCTCAGGGTCCACTAGAGGTGACTTGAGTCTTCCAGACAATGTTTGGCACCGTGAAGCTGTTTTATCTGCCTTCCCTGACACTGAGCCCTTTTCCGCATTCAAGGAACAGCAAGACATCCGACAACAGCGATTAGAGGTCTTCAGCAAAATAGAAAAGGTACCCGCTGATTGCGCGATCAGACGCTGTGGGATTCGTTGCTCTCAAACCCTCGTCCCGCCCCTGCAGCTGTTCGTGGATCTGTTGGAGGTCGAGGAGGCGGAGAGAATGAAAAGTACCATTTTGTCGGAAGCAGAGGAAAACGGGTTGATGGCGAAGTCACAGGGAAAAGTGGAGAATATCTGCTCCCAGCTGCAACATCACAACCCCTCGTGAGTTATGCACACCCACTCGTATCAAGTAGTGATATCTGTGAATTATGGACTATCAAGTAGACACATTTGCATTAGGCTTTTTAAAACGAAGCTGTGCTGTCATCGTAAGCATTTTGATGGATGCTGAATTTAAGTTGTACATTTTCTGATATGTTTTGATTTAGCGATTCAGGAGTGGAGTTTCTTCCGTTCCTGCTGGTCTCAAAAGGCAAAAAGCTGCTTGCACGACTGCTCCCGTTTCTGAAACAGGAGACCGCGCTGACCATCTTGAGCATCGTGACCTCTAACCTTCCCACGCTGATGAGCAGAGATCCAGAAGAGGTAGCGGAGTACACTTGTGTCGAGATCAAATCATCATAGTGATTGGCATCCTGTTTTCTTTGCATTTTCTCTGAAACGCTTTTTTTAAAAAAACATTATTTTAAGGCCCTTCCTGTGCTCTACCCGCCCCTTCGAAACGTGATTGGGGGCCTTACGTTCAGTCAGCTGATTGTTGTCCTCAAAAATTTGACGTCCTCTGAGTCTGTGACATACGAGTCGCTCACTCTGGCCTGTCAGAACAAGGTCTGTGCTTCCCTTTTTTTCCTCTTTTGCATGGAACTTTTGGGGCGTCTTCTCATGAATCTCTTCCTGACAGTTCGGACTGTCGCTGCTGTATGCTCTGCTGTCCCAAGGGGAGAAGCTGCTGTCCTCTGGTGCCCCCCTAGAACCCAGCATCGGTGACTTTGAGAGCTGGTGGGGATTTCACAGCCAATTGTACATGATGGAGATTTTTTTTGACATCCATGTGAGATATTGACCACAGTTCCTTTTTTAAAAAAAACAAAACTTTTAGGACGGACACAATATTCCAGGTGGCGGGACAGCTGTCCCAGTGTTCACTGGTGGAGCCGCTGCTCCTGCCCTCAAACCTGCTGACCCTCTTCTGCCGTTACCTGGACAAGCGCACCGTGCATCAGCTGAAAAGCAACATGGAGTAAGTACTTTTTACCTGCACATCGTAACACCGCCTACAAATCCAATATTTAGCACGTGGCCGTTGACACTAATATCTTTATTTAGGTCTGCAACCGGATTCGTCGCTCTTCCATCGTAAGGCGGACGTTCCATCTTAAGGTTCAACTGATGACCCGGTTCTGATGGACACTAGTTGTCGGAGCAGAAGTGCGGCCGTGACACAAACTACTGTGTTCATCAGCGACAGACATATGTCATTTACAAAATGTTTTTTCCCTCTACCTCCTTCCCTCACAGTTTTGCACACAAACTGTTTCCTTTTTTTTTTTTTTTCCTTATCTGATCTTTTTCCGTTCCTCCCTTTGGTCTCCTGAAGGTCACGTCAGTGCAAGTTATTCGGAAATCACAACCTGATGTTTTTCGTTCTTTTAACTTTCCAAAACAAGTGTTGCCGTCATTTTATGAGATTACCATTTACAGGGTTGGTAACATCACATTGACTAGTAGATGGAGCTGATTTCATTGAGTCTCTGTCCAACTCCAGTTAAAGGAACAAAAGAAGCTGGAGGTTTCACTTATGGAGAAAAATTTGTTGGATCAGATGTTGGTGACCAGGTTGAGGATTGTATAGTAATTTATGATTGTACAGCTGAACTTATTTGTTATTAGAATCATATCCATTTTGGAAGTTGGCGTTGTCTATCAACTTAAGCCATGCAATTTTTTGTTTTTTGTAAAAAGGGTTGTGTATACATGTGTAGCAAAACTCAATATGTATTTGTAATTTTTTATTTATTGATTTGGAAACGGGAATAATTTATATTGCACCCTTGTAGAGCACTTGCAACACAAATAAAAAAAAAATTGAATTGCTGAACAGTTTGATAAAGTCTTTATCTAAAATTCATATTCGCCTTCGGTGACAAAATCTGCTCCTGGTCCAAAATACTGATTTTAAGAGAATGGCTGCGAATCAAATTTGCACGAATGATTCCGAAGCCAGATGTTGAAACCTTTGTTAACAATAGTCTTTGCTGGCTTGCAAATGTTTAAGACTTTATGGTTTTAGTTGGAGTTTTAAACTAAACCAATAAGCCTCCGAGCTCTGTGCGGAAACGCAAGAGTGCGACATTCCTAAAGGTCCAAACCGTTAAGTCTACACAGCAGAACTTCTTAAAGTGGTCGTTCACTGAGAAATGGGATTAAAAAATTCACAAGGACTGTTTAACCAAAACTACCATAGTGAATAATTGCAGTTTACTGATGAAAAAATGGTAAAGGTTGAAGCGTAAAGGAAATGGCCTAAGAAAACGAGTGGGTGAACATAACATCTGATATTTGTATGATCATTGTGTTCTGGAGCACCAACACTTTAATGTTCGCATGGTCTGATATTCCTGCTCATGTTCTACATTACAACAAAAATGTTAAGCATATTATCAAGGAATCTTGTTTGTATTCCAATAAGAGCAACATTGATTTCCCTTACTGGTTCCTCATACAATGGTTAGTAAATTATTCCTGTTTTATAGTTCAATCAGGTTATTGGTTAAGAGGTGAAGTGTAGTTTCTTTGTTTCCTTGCAGCAGCTTTAAAGCAACATTTCTAGTCGGCGTTGAGCACTCAACACTTGAGTCCACTGGCTTTCCACCAAATACCGACTCAAAACCCCTCTGGCCAGCCTGCCTCAAACAGCTGCACACATCTGGGCAGTAATGCACAGGGCAGACATGGCCTTGTGCAGTCGGAGAATCCTGGGTGAACAGTGGTTCCCCTGTGGTCCCCAGGAAGGTTTTATTTTCTTTTTCCGGTACACAGAGCGTCAGGACAACATCCTGACCACCACCCTGAAACCCCCCCCCCCCCTGTAACATGTGCCATGAATGTCCGATTTTGTAGGAATCCATCCATTTTTTTTTACTCAATTAGACACATGTCACTATTTTAACATCCATGTCAACACAAACTATTTTTTCTGCTCGTCCCTCCGTGACATTGGATCCACCAATGCTGCTTAGTAAAACCATGACAACTTACACATTTCCACTGATCAGAAGCTCGAGGATGAGACTGGGTGAAGGACACATTTGTTGCGGGGTGGTTAAAAGTCAGACTGATGCCTTTGTCAGTCGCGACGGAGACGGTGAATGATCTTGTGGAGGAGCCAAGTATGTGAGAGGTCTGGGTGGGCCGGGAGGTGAGACGTTAACCTCTCCTTGACCCTGTGAGATGAGGATTTGGGCTTTGAGTGAGGAATCTGTGTGAAAGGTGAGATGTCTTTCTCTTTTTACTCGCTTTTCCTTAAATATACAAGGGTCTCTTACCAACTGCGTGTGACCGTGGAGACGTCACTCACGGACGTGAGTGGAAGTCGAAGCTTTTAATGTCGCTCACTTTCCATCTTTAAACTGGCTCGTCTGCACCTCCAAGTGACGTCATTTCTGTCGTAAAGTCCATTCATAAATGAACTGGATCTTTATGGTATTCTAAATAAAAGTTCACAGAATCATTTCAAACTAAATGTAAGCATCCCCGCAAAAACCTTTATAACCCAGAAACTGGTCTGAATGCTGCCTGCTGAGAGGGTCTGTGTTTCTGTAACACATTAATTGAGAACCATATGTGTCTGCAGGTGTTGAATTCAGCAAGTCGGTGTCCACGGTTGTTTTTAGGCATAATGGTGTGTTAATACGAGTGACTTTCAAATGTTTAAGAACAAACATTTATTTATGCCAATAGTTTAGTATCCAACGTTTTGATTAAAAAAATACCCACGTTCTTATTCAAATGTGACTACGTGATTGACAAAGGACATTGGGTCCAATCCGTCCTGTGTGATGCACCGACCAGTTAATCAGTCAATGTCCTCTCTTTGCTCCTCTAGGTCTCCCTTAAGTGTGAATTCACTTTAACCGCCCAATTATTTATTTGGCGTGCTTACACAGTGTGGAGTCTCTCTAGGGGGGTCTATGTGGAACAGTAATCTCTGCATACAATAAAGAGTGTCACGTCACTCCATAGTGTATTTCATTCCCTATCCGTCGGGGTTCGTTGCCCACTCCAGGTTCTTCTGCTCTCCTCTCCGCTCCTCTCCTGCCGGGTCCAACGCATTTTAGGCGGTAGTTTCTCTCCAGGTCCACCATGGTGGCACAACTACTACTTCAGAGCGCAGCAGTGGTCCTTTGGCTGGTGCAGGCGGCACACACGGGCGGTGAGTGGAGTGATGTGGGGCCGAATATGTCATCTTGGTGCACTTGTGTGGGATTTCTTCAAAACAGTAGCTGTGAATCTTGTGTTGAGGTGTTTGCCTTGAATTAATGTGAGGACTGGATTGGTGTTTTAATTGGATACTTAAGTCTCACTGCTACTGGAATACTTCCAGAGGAGTCACCACTGAATGGGGTCGCTTTAGATCTGTAGAGTTACTGTCTTCCAGTCGTAGAGAGAAGGTAAAACACTCGCCTCTGGAGTTATGAGCTGACACAGAGCCAAGAACGATGATGATCTCTCCTCATCTGGCACACCTAGCTCTCTACCATGTACTTTACTGACAGGTGGCCACTAAGACTACATTGCCCGAGTGGAATTTACATTTTCTATTGCAATGATTTAAATAGAAATTGTTACGCCCCCCCCCCCCCCTCCCCCCCGCCCCCCCCCCCCTTGAAATTAAGTCCATTTTTTTATTGTTTTAAAATGCGCCACCAAGCGCCGCATGCCACAGGTCCTTTTGATTGGGAGAATTCATGCCAGCTTTCCTTCAGTGGCAGCAGCCGTCCAAATGTGACATCCCTCTGGAGGAGGAAAGAATGGTTTTACTGCTTGTGCACAGTCGCTCCATCAACTCACCTGGTTGCAAAGCTAAACATTGTGACGCAGATCTGTCAGTTTAACATTTAATGTCCATGTTCAAGGTTACGGTGCTGCGTCTGGGAGTGTCCAATGGACAGGCACCCACAACCACACGGTAAACCGTCAGACTTTACATTCTCTGTCCTTATTATTATTAAATTATTGCATTGGTGGATTTTCAAAACAAGCGGAAGCTTTTGTTCACAGCCTTGATGTCCTGATTGTTCTAGGAAACAAACCTCAGAGTGGTGGAGGTGTAGGACGAATGCTGATGCCATCAAAGGGTAAATTAATGAATTCCTCTGTTTCTCAGGATGTGTTTTAACAAACAACCTCATTTTCAAGGTGTGGTTCAGGCAGTGGGTGCACATGTTTGGATTCCATAAATGTGCATCACAATTTGATCGGATGTTAGAAAGGCATTTTCGAAGGTTCTGCTCAATTGATACAAATGGCATGGAGGCAACTCTTATTAATGCAAGTAGCTTATTCTAACTACCTCAGCCCATTTGTAATCTATTAAAGGCTACGGAGCAGCAGCTGCTGGTGGGGCCAATGGAGGAGGGATGAAAGGTAAACTTCATGTACCTGTGTTCACTCTACTTCAGCTGATCAAGTTGGAGAATCCTTTGGTTTATTCATCCATCCTGTTTTTAAGGCTATGGAGCAGCAGCTGGACAAGTTGGACGACCCCGAGGTTGGTGATCCAATGTGGACCTCACTAAAACATGCATGATTTGGCAGCAAATGCTGGATTTAAATTTGTATTATACATCACTACACCTGAACCTCACCCATAGGCATGAAGTCATGCAGCATATTTGTTACACAGTTTACATCTAGTTTAGAAATTGCAGTGAATATTTACTGTGACTTTACAGGATATGGAATTCCGGTCGACCCAACCAACGGACAACAAATGAAAGGCTACGGTACGAAACACACACAAATAGACACACGTTGAACTGTTGCTACACATTTTTTGGGTTGTTTCTATTTGCAGGTAACGGTGCTGCAGCTGCTGCTCATATTGGACTTGGAACAAAGGGCAACGGTACGATAGCTCCTCCAGCATTGTTGTAACATGTCTATATATACTGACTGGATGTTGTTACAACAATATGCTTGTGTATGGTGGAACCATCAACACACAATTACCTGTATGTACAAACATTAAGTGTTATGTGACTAATTAAAAGTATTTCTTTACCAGGCTATGGTGCTGTAGCTGGTGCAGCTGACGGAAATGGGGCTAAAACCATTGGTAATGTGTCCAAAAACTAATGATAAAATAATAAACAATCATCTCTACAGTATCAAAGAGAATAATATTCCTTCTTTAGGTCAAGGAGCCAAAGCTGGCCCATACAACGGCAATGGGGCCGGATCAAATGGTAACACTGGTCACACCGAGATGGTCACATGATTCGCTTTGATTTTTGACAACACAAAAAGCATTTTCATCTTTTTTTTAATGTAACTTACGCATTTCTCTGTTAACAGGACAGGGGGGTCAGGTATTGGGTGCACAACATGGATATGGTGGATACCCCACAAAGGGCCAAGGTTAGTGATTACAAATGTTCACATTACATAAATCTGCATGAACTGATTTTACAAATATTTCCCTACTTGGACTCATCATATATAGGTTCAAATAGAGGCAACTCTTATTAATGCAAGTAGTTTATTCTAACTACCTCAGCACATTTGTAACCTATTAAAGGCTATGGAGCAGCAGTTGCTGGTGGGACCAATGGAGGAGGGATGAAAGGTAAACTTCATGTACCTGTGTTCACTCTACTTCAGCTGATCAAGTTGGAGAATCCGTTGGTTTATTCATCCATCTTGTTTTTAAGGCTATGGAGCAGCAGCTGGTGTAAACAATGGACAAGGTGGACTACCCCGAGGTTGGTAATCCAATGTGGACCTCACCATTAAAAACATGCATGATTTGGCATTTAAGATTTTCATTTTCTGATACGTAACTGAAACTAAGCTTAACGCACAGTCATGTTGTTACTTCACTTTTTTTGAACACACTGCAGCAACATATCTGTCACATGTGTCTTTCTACCAGGTCACATCTAGTTTAGAAACTTATCAATATGAATATTTACTGTCACTGATGGTTTTGGCAGGATATGGAGTTAAGTCTGGCCCAACCAACGGACACCAAATGAAAGGCAACGGTACGATAGCTAATTATATGGACTGGATGTTAAACAATATGGTTGTGTATAGTGAAAGGATCCACACACAATAATGTGTACGTACAAACATTAATTGTGATGTGACTAATAAAAAGTATGCTGGTGTAGTTGATGGAAATAGGGATAAAACTAATGGTAATGTGTGCAAGAACTTATCGTATCTACAGTAAAACAAATCTAATAACCATCCTTTAGGTCAAGGAGCCAAAGCTGGCCCATTCAACGGCAATGGAGCCGGATCAAATGGTAAGACTGGTCACACGGTTGTTATTTTTCACAACACAAAATATTTTCATCATATTTTTCAAGGCAATTTTTTTATGTAACTTAAGAATCTCTGTATTTAACAGGGCAAGTAGGTCAGGCCCTGGGTGCACAAAATGGATATGGTGGATACCCCACTAAGGGACAAGGTTAGTGATTACAAATGTAAATGTTATATAAATCTGCATGAAGGATGGAACTGACGACATTTTATCTACTTACACTCACTATTTATTAGGGGTGTCAATATTTTTTTTTAAATGGACTAATTAATCACACATTTTGAAATTCATTAATCATGATTAATCGCGATTAATGACTGTTGTTGTTAATGAATGTTTGTTTTTCTTCTAAAGACTAAATCTTACTGGTAATAAGTAAGTGATCACTTTAGAAAGCGTGTATTTTAGACACTGCTGTTTAATTGTTTTTTAAACACAAAACGACACATATTTGATCATCTTGGAGGACGAATTCCACCAGGTGGAACATGTCTAAATAGCGACTCTTCCTGCTGTCCTCGTGCACTTTGCTCTCAACTTCATCATCTGACGGCTGTGTTTGAAGTGCAAACAACCTCCCCACGTTTAGCCCAGTCGCGGTCCTCTGCAGACGGTGTGCCGCGCAGGGTAGATGAAGATGAAGATGAAGAAATAGCACAGCAGCTAGCTTAGCATAGCGCTCCTTTAAGTGGTCCGTTTGCCACTCCTTCTATTTTCTTCTGCACAGTTCTCTGCTGTATGTTGCGCCACTGTTGTTAAGTTGTAGAATTTAGGAGGGAGGTTGGAGGTTTATTCATCCATCTTGTGTTTAAGGCTATGGAGCAGCAGCTGGTGTAAACAATGGACAAGGTGGACTACCCCGAGGTTGGTAATCCAACGTGGACCTCACCATTAAAAACATGCTTGATTTGGCATTTAAGATTTTTAGTTTCTGATACACCACTACAACTGAACTCAACCAACAGGTATACTTTTGAGTCATTTTTATGATGACACTACAGCAACATATTCGTCACATGTATCTCTCCACCAATTTACATATCATTTAGAAATAGTACATTTTTTTGTTTTGTGAATATTTCCTGTCATTGTGATGGTTTTTGCAGGATACGGAGTTAAGTCTGGCCCAAAATACGGACACCAAATGAAAGGCAACGGTACGATAGCTCTTACAACATTGTTATAAAATATCCATGTATATTGACTGGGTGTTAAACAATATGGTTGTGTATGGTGGAAGCATCAACACACAATAATGTGTACATTAACAAACATTAATTGCGATGTGACTAATTAAAAGAATATCTTTACCAGGCTATGGTGCTGTAGCTGGTGTGGTTGGTGGAAATGGGGCTAAAATCAACGGTAAAGTGTGCAAAAACGTGAGATAAAACAACCAAACGTGTCTGCAATAAAACGAATATAATAATGATCTTTTAGATCAAGGAGCCAAAGCTGGCCGATACAATGGCAACGGAGCCGGATCGAATGGTAAGAGCGGTCCCACTGCGATGGTCACATGTTTCTCTTTTATTTTTCACAACACAAAACGTTTTCCTCTTTTTTATGTAAGTTAAGAATTTCTGTATTTGACAGGGCAAGGAGGTCAGGCACTGGGTGCACAAAATGGATATGGTGGATACCCCACTAAGGGACAAGGTTAGTGATTACAAATGTAAATTTGACATAAATCTGCATTAAGGATGGAACTGACGACATTTTCTCTACTTGCACTCACTATTTATTAGGGCTGTCAATGGATTTTAAAAAAATTACTAATTAATCAAACCTTTTTAATGGCGATTAATCACAATTAATTAATGTTGTTTTTGTTGTTGTTACAATGTTGTTATTAATGAACGTTTGTTTTTCTTCTAAAGGCTAAATCGTAATAATAATGAGTAATGACTTAGATTCGCATAGATCAACGCGTCAATGTTGACAGCCCTAGTATTTATAGGTACCAATCAAGGTAACTTTTATAAATGCAAGTAGCTTATTCTAACTACCTCACCACATTTGTAACCTATTAAAGGCTATGGAGCAGCAGCTGCTGGTGGGACTAATGGAGGAGGGATGAAAGGTAAACTTCATGTACCTGTGTTCACTCTACTTCAGCTGATCAAGTTGAAGAATCCGTTGGTTAATTTATCCATCTTGTTTTTAAGGCTATGGAGCAGCAGCTGGTGTAAGCAATGGACAAGGTGGACTACCCCGAGGTTGGTAATCCAATGTGGACCTCACCATAAAAAATGTACATGATTTGGCATTTAAGATTTTTAGTTTCTAATACATCACTACTGAACTCAACCAACAGGTATCATTTTAAGTCATTTTTCTGATGACACTACTGCAACATATTTGTCACATGTATCTCTCCGCCAGTTTATATATGATTTAGATATAGTTATTGTTTTATTTTGTGAATATTTACCGTACCTGTGATGGTTTTTGCAGGATACGGAGTTAAGTCTGGCCCAACATACGGACACCAAATGAACGGTACGATAGCTCCTACAACACTGTCATGAAATATCCATGTATATTGACTGGATGTTAAACAATATGGTTGTGTATGGTGGAAGCATCAACACACAAAAATGTGTACGTACCAACATTTAGTGTGATGTGACTACTTAAAGTACTGGATGTGTTTACCAGGCTATGGTGCTGTAGCTGGTGTAGCTGATGGAAATGGGGCTAAAACCAACGGTAAAGTGTGCAAAAAAAAATGATGAAAAAATAAATGAACGCCTCTACAGTATCAACAAATATAATAATCATCCTTTAGGTCAAGGAGCCAAAGCTGGCACCTACAACAACAATGGGGCTGGATCAAATGGTAAGACTGGTCACACTGAGATGGTCACATGATTCTCTTTGATTTTGCACAACACAAAACATTTTCCTCTTTCTTTTAATGTAACTGAAGCATTTCTGTTAACAGGACAGGGGGGTCAGGTATTGGGTGCACAACATGGATATGGTGGATACCCCACAAAGAGCCAAGGTTAGTGATTACAAATGTTCATTTTACATAAATTTGCATGAAGTATGCCTCTGATTTTAGAAACATTTTTCCTACTTGCACTTACTATATATAGGTTCAAATAGAGGTAACTTTTATTAATGCAAGTAGTTTATTCTAACTACCTCACCACCTTTGTAACCTATTAAAGGCTACGGAGCAGCAGCTGCTGGTGGGACCAATGGAGGAGGGATGAAAGGTAAACTTCATGTACCTGTGTTCACTCTACTTCAGCTGATCCAGTTGGAGAATCCGTTGGTTTATTCATCCATCTTGTTTTTAAGGCTATGGAGCAGCCGCTGGTGTAAACAATGGACAAGGTGGACTACCCCGAGGTTGGTAATCCAACGTGGACCTCACCATTAAAAACATGCATGATTTGGCCATTTTTCTGAACGCACTACAGCAACATATTTGTCACATGTGTCTCTCTACCAGTTCACATGTAGCAAACTTTGTGAATATTTACTGTCACTCTGATGGTTCTTACAGAATATGGAGTTAAGTCTGGCCCAACCAACGGACAACAGATGAAAGGCTACGGTATGAAACACACACACACACACACACTCACACACACACACACACACACTCACACACACACACACACACACACACACACACACACACACACACACACACACACACACACACACACACACAAACAAACACACACGTTGAACTGTTGCTAGACATTAACAGGCTACAGATCCTCCTCAAATGAACCAAACTACTGAATGAAGAGATCTTCACAATTGCAGCTCAGTCTTGCAGTTGTTGTTGTGTCCACCACTCTTACCCGGTGCAGAGCTCAGTGCCATGAGACACCTTTAGTGCCGTGTTGTCCAATTCTGGACTTTATTTAGTGCGTCACAGCGTGTCACTTATCTAACGTTCATCACTTATCTAATGTTCCAGGCAAAGTGCTTACGCCATGTTTGTTTTCTGAATTCCCAGTTTGACAATATGTTCATCACTCAACTAATTGAATTACTTTTAAATTTTTTCATTTTGCTTCTATCGATATAACAAAAATACTTTTGAACTTGATGGTGATGAATGAAAACTTTTTTGGGTTGTTTCTATTTGCAGGTAACGGTGCTGCAGCTGCTGCTCATATTGGACTTGGAACAAAGGGCAACGGTACGATAGCTCCTCCAGCATTGTTGTAACATGTCCATATATACTGACTGGATGTTGATACAACAATATGCTTGTGTATGGTGGAACACACAATTACCTGTATGTACAAACATTAAGTGTTAAGTGACTAATTAAAAGTATTTCTTTACCAGGCTATGGTGCTGTAGCTGGTGTAGCTGATGGAAATGGGGCAAAAACCATTGGTAATGTGTCCAAAAACTAAAGATAGATAATAAATAATCATCTCTACAGTATCAAAGAGTATAATATTCCTTCTTTAGGTCAAGGGGCCAAAGCTGGCCCATACAACGGCAATGGCGCCGGATCAAATGGTAACACTGGTCACACCGAGATGGTCACATGATTCGCTTTTTACAACACAAAACATTTTAATTTTTTTTTTAATTTTAAGTTAAACATGTGTTTCTGTATTTAACAGGACAGGGGGGTCAGGTATTGGGTGCACAACATGGATATGGTGGATACCCCACAAAGGGCCAAGGTTAGTGATTTCAAATGTTCATTACTTAATTCATAACTTAACATTACTTAAATCGGCATGAACTAATTTTACAAACATTTTTCCTACTCGGACTCATTATATATAGGTTCAAATAGAGGCAACTCTTATTAATGCCAGTAGCTTATTCTAACTACCTCACCACATTTGTAATCTATTAAAGGCTACGGAGCAGCTGCTGGTGGGACCAATGGAGGAGGGATGAAAGGTAAACTTCATGTACCTGTGTTCACTCTACTTCAGCTGATCAAGTTGGAGAATCCGTTGATTAATTAACAGGTCACATCTAGTTTAGAAACTCTGTGGATTTTTACTGTCACTTTGATGGTTCTTGCAGGATATGGAGTTAAGTCTGGCCCAACCAACGGACAACAGATGAAAGGCTACGGTATGAAACACACACACACGCACACACACACAAAAATTGTCATTACAGTATCAGAGTTTAATTTTCCTTCTTTCTTCCTCACAAAACATTGGAATCTCTATGCAGCAGGAGGAAGTAGACCTATTAAAGGATATGGACGACCATTTTATGGCTCAGGTAACTCACCTTCTGGCGCTCTGTATTCAGGATATTTGTAACATTTACTTAGACACACCTGTACTTCTTTAACTTAAGGTCCAGGTGTGACAACGGGAGGCTACGCAGGTATGGGAGCACCTCAGCCAAGGAACCAAGGTGAGTGACGACGACCTCACAGCTCGGAGATCACCACTTGAGTTACAGTGTGTTTGTTTATTCTTCCAGCACGGGACGAGGAATAAAGCACAATTACTCTGTTAATGTATATGTGTGTTTAATGAATTAACAGGATACAATGGCGGTTACGGCAGCGCTGGTTTGGGTCTGGGAGCTCGCTTTGGAAATGGAGGAATGAAAGGACCAAAGCTTGGTAGGCATTCTTATTATTCTTGTTATTATTATCTGATCAAAGAGCGATACAACCTTTGCAGAACATGCACCAAATTTGATAGATTTTTCTTTTTTTAAAGTGATTTTTTAAGAATATTAGAGACATTGTCTCTTGCACAATTTTTCACAGAATTGTTATAAGGCTCATTAATAATTCATTTTACATTTAAAATAGGAGACTCTCTGGATCTGTCTGTAAAGCAAAGACAAATGTGGTTTTGTTTCTCCAGGTTACAGGAATATTCCAAACGAATATGGCGCCAGACCCAACGGTAAGGTTTTTTTTTTTACATTAAATTGAATAATATAAATGTGACGCACAACAAGGAAAAAGTTAATTATGTTGAGGATTTGGGGTTATGACAACTTGTTTTAACCACAGGTGTTGGAAATGGAGCCATTCCCAATGGATATGGAACCAGACCCAACGGTAAATAGTTTTAGGTTGAGGTGCTATAACCGACAGTGCGATGGTATTTTATGTAATATGTTTAACCCGAGGTTATGGAGCTGTGCATTGAGTTAAGTTCCTTTGCTCGCCTTCATGAAAACATTAGTTGGTGGTTAGGTTAGTAAACCTACGCCTGTTTTTCATTTAATCAACATAGAAAATACATACATCTCACGTTATTTTTTTATTTAGGCATTTAAGAACTTAAATACAACCAGTCCTGTTTCCGTCTTGTTATTATTTTTCTAAGGTCATGGATTTAGAAATGGCGCTGCACTTGGTGGATATGGAAATAAACCCAACGGTAAGTTCCAGCTATCTAATGTAACTAATTAATTTATTAAATATTAATCTCTAACATCTAAATATGTTGTTTTCTTGTAAGATGTTCCCATATTCTTCAATTAAAAGCATTTTTGTTCACATTTCGGTTTGATTCTCAGGCTACGACATGGTGCCGAATGGGAACGGTGCAAAGAGCGCAGGTTGGTCCAATGAAAAAAGCCTGAAAGGTGGACTTTTCTCCCCCGACCAGCCGAGCGAGGCCCTACGGGACGTTGTTGCGCTCCCACAAGGAATAACTCCGGGTGCAAAGCCAGGTTCCCCCGAGCCGACGAGCGGCGTCCTTGTAATGGTGACGCAAGACAAATATCAAAAGCTGCGTTCCCCTGTGACACACGGAAAAAGCTACAAACAGACACCAGAACCAGCACCAGCGACCCCTCAGGTCAAAGGCCCAAAGGCCGCACCTGAACTAGGACTCCTGGGCCCAAAGGGTAACGTCCCCATGGCCGCCACATCCGACACACAGCTGGAAGACCTCCTCCCTCAAGGCAAGCACCCCGAACCGGAATCCGTGCAAAGCCTTGGAGGCAGGAGAGAAACCCTCCAATAGAGTTACTTAACTACCATCTCACAGCAGGATATTTTCTTAAAACTCGCGTCGGGGTTAATTAGTTTCTGCAATCACGGTGCATGTGGAGACTTTTAACTTTCACACACTGCTTTATTTTTGTGGTAAGTGTAAAATTCATCGGATAAAAGTCCTGATCGGACGGTTTGTCTCTCCTGGTTTTCAGAGAACAGAGGAGCTTCTGTCTCCAAAGGGCAGGAAGCTAAACCAAACAAACCAGGTAAAGATGTCTCTCCTTCTTTGAACAACGCAATCCGAGTCCTGTCCCACAGACATCCATGAAGGATGAAGTGTAACTGGAAATTAACTTTTTACTTTGTGTTGTGCTGTTGCTCTAGACTGTGGACCATCAGGCGTACCAAATGGACAGTGGATGAAAATACCACGATCTGGTAAACCTGGAGTTTTATTATCTCAAAAGAGAGGTTATTTTCCACATAATTCTGATAGTTGCAGCTTTTTTTTTTTTTTTTTTTATAAGTCTGAGTTTACTTGAATATCAACAACACGGACGAGGGGGATTAATCAGACTCATTGTACTCATTGTGTTTGTCGTGTCAAGGTTATAAAGCAGGAGCATCCACTGGCACTAACATAAAAGGTGCAGAACTGTTTTTTTGCATGGACAAAGCAACAATCATTGTTCATATAATTGATTATTGGCGTTTGAATCATTTGTTTTTTAGGTTATGGAGCAGCAGCTGGTGTTCCAAACAGATATGATGCTAAACCCAACAGTAAATTAAATTGTTCTTTTTTTCTTCATTGTCAATTTTCAAATGTATGAAATGTTCACATTGAAGTTTGGTCACGATGATCATTGAATTGAATTCATTTTTTATTCACCCAAAGGTTATGGAGGAGGAGGAGGATACACTGCCCCTGGACACGGCAACGGATATGGTAACATTTACTCTTAATATGAACAGACAGGGAAACTCTATATTTTCCTTCTTCACTTCAAGGTTCAGATGTGTTTTTCAAAGTACTTTTATCTGTGCAGGAAACCTGGGATATCCTTTCGCGGGGAAACCAAAGCCGCCGGGTGAATGTTTTATTTGATTAAAGCAACTCACATAAGGAACGATGATAATCTTAAGATGCATTTTGATAATTGATCTGAATCATTTCAGGTTACGGACAGGGGGCGCACCTCGGAGCTGGAAACGGAAACTCATATAAAGGTAGAATATGAAGGGATGAGCTTTAACAGTTGCCCTTTAATTCAACTATACGCTGATGATAAATGAGGTTTACATTGCATTTTCGCTCAGCATGCTGGTGTTGAAATTCACAGCACTGAGGTAGTTTATGGTGTCTTTTTTGCAGGCAATGGAAATGGCTACAGTGCTGATGTCCAACCGGACTATGCAAGCAAGTGCTCTAATATTACATTTAGTTCATTTTACATTATGGGAATTACAGTAAAATTAAGTATTTCTGTATTTTTTAGGCCTCGGCCAAGGTGCTAATGGAAAATCAGGTATGACATGTTCGGAGGAATGAGGATGCATTAAAGTTAAATATAATATAAAGGTAAAGGAAATTAGAAAATAATCAATTTTTGTCCAATTTACTGCTGATTCTGCAGGCGTTGCCAGACAGATGCCTTACAATGGAGCTCCAGTGGATGCTGCTGGAATAGATGGTAAAATATTAAACAGTCTGCAGATTAATCAACTGCATCTGCAGAGAAAAGTATCTCAGGTCCAGTTTGTACATCTGTGTGTATATTCTGATCACTGCTTTGAGGACCGTGGGTCACATTTGTGGACATTCATCTCAAAGTGTAAATGTGAATGGATCCATTACGCAAACATTCCCTGTGTCCTCGTGCAGGAATGAGCCAGTTTGAGCCTCAGTCCGCGGGTCTGGATCCAAATGGGAAATTAGGCAGCATGTACGGTGGTATGTATACATTCGCCTTCTTTACAAATCTTCAATAAGGCGGGAAAACAACACGCCTGTACATCACAACGGTGACTTACCGAACTAAATCGCCCTCCAACGCTACAGGAATGGGTGGCTCACCCACCGGGGGGCAGACGCTGGGAATGGGTGCGGAGAATTACAACACCAAGTACGGTGAGTGCCTCCCGGTTGTGTTCCGTGACGGTACTTTAGTGTAGCGTGGGGAGGGAGGTTTATATACGCCGTCATCAGTCGGCAGCACGTTGGTATTTAGAACTCATGCAAATTTAACTTGTTTGTGCTGCTGTGCCAATCAATGCTTCTCTCTACCCAATCGCTGCTCACTTTGATTTAGGCATCGGCGGGCTGCAGTTTGGTGAACAACCCCTCAGTACAGAGACCAATGGCCCAGGAAAGTATGGTATGTCCATGATGTGTTACAATTACACAAATTCCTTCTGTGTGTGAATCGATACCAGCACGCATGGCGTGTTCAATGAGTCCACGTGTGTCACGACTGTCTCCACCCGGTCCAGGTTTTGGTGGGAGCCCCTATGGGCCCGCTGGCGATGCCACATATGGTGAGTCTTTTGTTCCGTTTGTCTCGGAGTGGAAGTCCAGCCATGCTTATGGCCCAATTTCTAGGTTGATATGTTCGTGATATTACTTCTAAATATGTTGCAGGCGGTGTTGGTGCCGGCATGGGAGGGGAGCCTGCGCCCCAACAGTACGGTCAGTATGGTGGATGAAGAAGGTTTTTTTTCCATTCCTGGAATCCAGTCTACACATGGCTGTGAAAAGGCTCCTCCTTTTTACTGTTTTTCCTTCCGTCTCTGCGCAGGATACGGTGGGTTCCCCGATGGGGGGCAGCTTCTTGCCAGTAATGGAAATACAGCCGGCAAATATGGTGAACAATGCGCCTTGATGTCGCCACAAAGACCCAACCCCCTTAACCTTCTATTATCCGTGATTATTTGTGCATCGTGTCCACAGGTTACGGAAGGATGCCGTATGAAGCACAACCGGCTCCTGAAGCCATTTCTACGGGCCAATATGGTAATAACTTGTTTACACCAGACACACACTCAACCTGTTGCATTTGTTGTTGAAATTCATTTGATTATGTGCTTTCTTCCAGGTCTGCCGGGGTCATCGTATCAGTCTGAACTACCTGGGCAGCGCGGAATGTTGCCAGGCAAATACGGTGAGTTTGAGCAAACATGACAGCCACCATCTAATTGCCCCTTGTTTGTTAATGTATTTGACTAACCTGACATCTCTGTGTGGTTCCCATCGGCTAAGGCGCTGGTGAAGTTCCCTACGCACCACAAACTCTTGGTTTTATGAGTGAAGCTACACCTTTTGGGGAATATGGTACAGTGCGTCCATTTAGTGTCCTTTTTTGTGCCAGTAGTTTTATAACATTTTGGTAGATAACGACTTTAAATCTCTCAACAGAAAACCAGAGGCCATACGAGTCGCAGGCCCTCGAATCGGCTTCTGAAAGCAGATCCGGTGGACAACACGGTATTTTGGCAGTATTGCCACTAATCTCATCTTATATCAACTCCCTCCTGATCTTTTAGTTAACGGAGAAGTACTCACACCAGCAATTGCGGCTGAAGGCGAGCGGATGTCAGTCAAAGCATACGGTAATATATTGTGTGCGTTTCAGGTAATTCAGGTAACGTTTAACCGTTTGTCCTTTTTCAGAAAACAACGGCTACATAAACGGACAAGTGCGGCCAGAAGGTAAAACTAAGAAATGTAAATTTAAAAGAGCGGCGTGTAGTTCTCACTTTCCTTCACAATTCTTCAGTTATTTTCCCCACCTGTCTCCCTCCACAGTTGTCGAACTTCCCGCGACTCCCACACCGAGCCCCCCCCCGGCTCCCCCCTCCGTCACATCCCATCGGCCCGCCGACTCCTTCGGGCACACGTTGGCGGCCGATGTCGAGGACCCACCTGAGCCCGCCGGCCTCGCCTCAGACTCCGCCCCCGCTGCGGAAACCGAAGGCGTGGCTCAGGAGTCGGAGCGGGCCGACGACCTGCAGCAGCAGCTGCAGCTGCCACGTCAGATACACATTCAGCAGCATCTCAAACTGCATTTTCACCCACAAGGCAAGTCCTCCAGAGTTAAAAACACGTAAAGCTTCTTAAGTGGTATCAAGATGAATAAGTGTATTTCACAAACATTAAAATGGGAAATGTTAAAAGTCCATGAGTAATAAGTATTTGACAGTTGAATTGTTTCTTTTTCATTTTCTTCAGGAGAAAAAAACAACAAACATGACTTGAATGGCTTCTTTGGGAATAGCGGCTATCAAGGTAAGAAGAAAACAGAATTAGAAGAGTGACATGTTCAGTGTTCAACCATCTCTACACTCTTTCTCCACACAGGCTGAACCCGACGACAGGCGGAGTGTTTTACCTTCGAATGTTTCCTTTTTGTATATTTTTATTTTGATTGAGTCAGTCGCTTTTGCCTGATGCAAATGAATACCGTCAAACATAATTCAGTTTAATTTATTTGCTCATGGGAGGGATTTCTTTTTTTACAACTTGCGACAAACGTCTGTTTATTATTGTACAGAATTTGATTAAAGAAAACCATCAGTGAACATGTGTGTATGTGTTTCTATTCATTTATAATAAACAATAACAATGAATAAATGTTAGTACTGAAATCCCCAGATCATCCTGCATGCAGCGCGGTGTCATACACGCTTGGGGAATGGGAACATGTGTGCAGTCTGTAATAAGGGAAATTCCAAATAAGTCGAGGTGTCGGTCAGTTACGGGCCACGACCAGGAGCAGCTGCAGGTGGTGCACGTGGCTTTTTGTGAGGATTACCCCGGCTTAGGGATAAGGGCCCTTTGCTGATTGGCCGGTGGGAAAGCGTGCCACTTGGCCAGCTCAACCGTCCGCTCGCTCAGAATTACACCTGTCCAATAATGGACTTCATGGAGCAGAGTTTCCGGCTACCTGTGGACATCACAGCGCCTCGCAGTCCTTAGAGTGGACCCGTCTAGGATGTAAATGGTGAGGGGTCCTGCACTGTCGACTACGTGCGAGGGCGTTGGCTGCAGGAGGTTGTGATGGTGCTTCAGAGACGGCCGCGGCTGTTGGATTTTGCAAAGACCCCCCAACACCTTCGGTTTAACAAATACGTCCTGACGGGTTACAGGCCGGTCTCCACGGCTCCAGAATGCCTCAGGAGCCTCTTCTACGTGCACAATGAGCTGGGCAACATCTACACTCATGGTAAGTCCAGGAAATAACTGTGCACGGCTTAGTGTGTCAATCTGGATTTCATCCAAAATTGGCAGCAAGTGTCTAAATTGTCCAATTATTGAATTATATATATATATATATATATATATCTACAGTAAAAGTTTTGTTTTAACTCACGCAGGTGATGCACAAGCAAAACGGGGGTCACATGTCCACTACTCTCACTTCTGACCAATTACAAGTGCACTTGACCAGAGCGTCTAATGAGGATATGAGGCATTAGCTGTAATCTGCCCTGGGAATCCTCATCCTGGAAATATCCTCCTGCTACCAGCTGTAAATACCCTTAACGGGAAAAGCGTCCTGAGATGCACGTGTCTGCTTTAGTTGAAAGCAATTACAAAATGATCTCAGAATAATTCTAAAATGTGTGCTTTTGTAAGAATGTAAGAATTCAATGACGAATTGCTACCAGGCTTACATTTTACAAAGATATGTAAGAACAACAAAAAATGAATTGTGCATGAGCCAAAAAAAACAAAACAGCTGTACTTTGTACGTTTGTACTTCTGAGTGCATCCGCCTCGCGCTCCAGTTGCTCGTGGGCCGTCCCATAAGTTCATTAGGGCTAACACTCTTACTAAGGGGAAGTAAAGGGCATTAGCTGTAGAGTCTCGCTTCCTTTTCCTGCAGAACTCTTTCACACTGTTCCTGGTGAAGAATAAGACTTTTAAATTCCTCATTTTGCTCTGCATGATGTGATATTATAAACATCTGCTCAATATCCAGGATGGAGGCCAGTAGCTTCCAACAATATGTCCACCTCATAGACTTTTAAAACGCTTGGACTACGTATGTTTCTCATTTCTATTTTCTCCTCAGGAGTCCCTTTTTTCCTTTTCTTGGTGCTGCTGCCCTTCAGTATCCCCTGGATGGAGGTGGACAGCGTCTGGATCTGTGTGGTCCACTACCTGGCCTGCCTCTGCCCCACCGTGGGCTCCGTCGTCTACCACGTGTTCATGAACCACGTGGGAGGAGAACACGTGTACGACACCTTGCTCTCACTGGATATGTTCGGAGTCTGCCTGGTCAACACCCTGGGTGTGTGCTTGATGCAGCTTACGATGAAGAACGCTCACACGTCTATTGTCTTTGGAAGCAAATTGCGAATCTTTTATCGTCCCTCAAATGCTGATATAGAAGATAAGCACCGCTCCCTTCAATATGGAGCTAGAGCAGTGAGATCATTGCAGTGACTTAGCATAAAGACTGGAAACGGAATGATAGGGCTAGCTCTATAATCAACGCTTTACATATTGTTTGTACAAAAAAGAGCCAGGTGAGCTTCTTCCCCGTTTTTATGCTGAGCTGTGCCATGCAGCTGCTCGAAGTACCTTAGGTTCACACACAGCGGCCTTTTAAATTCAACTCAAAATAAACTAAAGCCTCTGAGTATGTACATAGTTTACCTGCAGTTTATTCACATGCATGTCTTCCGTCTGGTCCCCAGGTGCACTCCCTATCATCCACATCACCCTTTATTGCTACCCGGCCGTACGACAGGCTGCCCTGCTGGCCTACATCCTCCTGTCAGCCTACGGCATCTACTGCGCCACCACGGCGCGCACCAACATCCTGCGCCTGCAGGCCTTCGCCTGGCAGGCCGCGTTCCGCTTCAGCCTCTTCCTGTTCCGGGTGTTCGGCAGCGGCGCGGGAAGCCCCGACTCCCTGCGCCTCTTCGTCATCATGGACTCTCTGGCCGTGGTGGGCGGGCTGGTCAACATCGTCCAGGTCCCTGAGCGCTTCATCCCGGGCCTGTTCGACAACTGGGGCAACAGCCACCAGATAATGCACGTCATGGTTATCTGCTCAATCACCTACCTGCACTGGGGCACACTGGAGGATTTAGCCTGGATTAAGACCTACCAGTGTCCTGCTGGGTGAGGTGCACATGTATGTGCACTGATATAAATGAGATTTAGGGTTTTGTGGAGGAGGAGTAGAGCACAAAGAGAGGCAAGTTGATTTGCAAAAAAAAAAAGCACTTTAGTCTTAACTAGGGACATTTTTTCCACATGGGAAGTTTGCAATTGGACATTTTGTATAGACAGAATAAAAGGAACTTACAGTGTTGTAACTGTTGAACTCAAAGAACAATACACCAAATTTAAAATCCTGAGCACACTTGATACTTAATTTTTGGAAATGGGTAGTCACCCATAACCATGATAGTTATTCAATTGAAAATTGCATTACTGTATTAAAACAATGTACATAGTTGTAATAAATTATATATTTCTACATCTTGCTGAAACATTTATTTCATTTGTGAATGGTGAAAAGGTTTAAATGTGACAAAGTAAAATAACACACATGGGTGAAGGATTCTGTCATTTAATTGCAAGAGCTATATTGTATATACACGTGGAAGGAAGATCCTCTATTGCCAACTGTCGATCAAAACTTCAACAGCATTCATGTGGACTTGGCAACAAGTGTTTGATTATTTCCATCGGCATTTTGAATCAGAAACGGCGTTGAATCCGCCGCGGTAGAGGTGGAAACGTGGCGGTGGTGGCGTGCATTGAGTTTAGCCCGGTGGGTTTGTATTGTTTTACAAACGCACTGTGTCAATGCAGTCGCGTGTTATCGGCCAGCGTCAGTCCTCGTCTGAGCTGCTGTCGTCCTCGGGCTCCGACAGGTCGGCGATGGGAAACCGCAAGATGGCCGCCACTCCGCTCAGCTGAGTCAGTTCTGTGGAGCGAGCAAAGGACAAATCGAGGGGGGGGGGGGCGGGGCGGAATTTATTTTTAGGAACAAAAGAACCATGCATTTTGGCGAGGAACACTACAAAATCAAATTGTATAATGTCAACTTCAGAAAAATCTATTAAAAGAATGTGTACGGTAGAATAAATAAAAGTCTTTATACTTACGTTCACCAGACACATGAAGGCTTGAAAACATCCTGCATGAGAAGAAGAAGAATGTTTGACAAAGGATATTACGACGTTAACGTCCTCATCTTTTAAATGATGATCTGTACCTGACGGTGCCGCCATTGTCCCTCACGCTGTCCACCAGCCGAACGTAGCGGCTCCTCGTGGGGACGTCCTGATGTCTGGACGTGCGGACGGAGACACAAAACATGCATTGTTACCCAGACCTGATCTGTTTTTACATCACCGTTATGTTTGAAGTAAAACAAAGTGAGGAAATATTTGAATTGCTGAGAATGAAAAACATTTCCTGTGAATTTTGGATCTTTTAAATTATTATCTAACAATTATTATTATTTTGATTCCATAGAAATGAGGCAACACAGGAAAATACTGTCTCCTGTGTAACCCAACCAGTCTGTCCCCCAAACCAACACAAAACCCTGATTTCAAGTGGAAAACCCGAGGAGCGGCTCAGCATGTACCTGAACAGCTTATCGCTTATCAACAAGGTGTCGATGGCGAGGGCATCCACGGCTTTCTCCACGTGAGCCACTCTGTGAAGGCGCAAAGACGCACATGTTGTGGATTATCGGTGTGAATGTTGAGGGGTGCGCGGGTCACTTCCCGTCGACCTCTGTGGTCTGTCGTCACTCACCCATAGAAGGCTCGGTCGGGCTCATGCTGGAGCATCTTGTAAAAGTCTTCCAGGGCTTTCACCTCTCCGGCTGCCTGCAAGTCCAACATAAACAACATGGAGCCGCCTTCGTCCTCTCGTGAGCACTTTGTTTACAAGAGGAGCAGGACGCATAGTCACCTTGGTGTCGGAAAGCCTACTTGTCACGCTGGGGTCAGTGAGGATTTCTGAAAAACAACAAGCTTTCCACTGAGTTTCCCCCGTGTGATGAGATGTAACGGTGTCATGCCTCTTCTACGGCGCCCCAGCGAATACCTTTGAGCGAGTACTTGTGACCAGATGACGAGTGGACCGGCATGAACTTGGGTCGATTCTCCAGCAGGATCTTGTTGTCCTGACGCACCGCCTCTCTAAAGAGGTAGCTGATGAACTGGTCCTTCACGAACCCGGGACTGGCGATGAGGATGCACTTTACAACTAGTAGAAGGCAGGGAACAAAAACAAAAACAACACAATCAACACTGTCCTCATTTAGAATTTTGCGGAAACGAGAGCGGGCTGAGCGGCGACAACAATCAAAAGCAGAAGTGTGTGACAGGGAACGGGAACATACTGTATATGCGTGCATGTGTAAGTGTGCATGGGTCAGGGTCTACGCGGCAGCACTACCATCGAAATTGATGTGGCGAAGAATGGCCTGCATCACGGCCTCGTAGAACCTCTCCAGCGCCTGCAGACGGGGAGGACAACCACTTCACATCAGCCCACATGACTCACACAGCAGGTCCCGACTGGCCGCATCTCACCCACATGATAATGAGACAAAAACTTCATTTTGCATCCGACGCACACTCTCACTCCCGAGTCCAGGCAGTAATGGCCTGTGGTCATTCCTTCATGTGAAATGACGGCACCAGACGCAACAAGCACAACATGTTTGGCACCTGTGATATTGGCCTTTTGGGTCAATATAGTGCCGACTGAGATTACTTTTGGGGATTTCAAAATATGATTGTACTATTGATTTTTTTTTCTTCTGTTATTGATCTACCCCGGTTGTACTTTCAGTTTGCAGCTTTCCTTTGTCCGAGCTGGTTACGGCAGTGCGTTTACAGAAAGCGGGCCTACCTTCTCGTGCTGGGTGCAGCTTCCGCGTCTCTTGCGAGGAATGGTGACCTCCACCTTTGCGCGGACCAGAGTCATGGCGGGGGTCACGAGCACCAGGTTGGCCAGACCCTCCTGCATCACCACAGCCGCCACGTCTGCCTTCTGGGTGGCATCACACGCCTGCTCTGTAAGGGTGGACGAAGCAGCCATAAATATGAGCTTCAGGACACCTTGTGACATCAGCACCCTTAATAAATAGAAAGGCTTTTATGGTCGTGGTGGACCTGCGAGGATTTGTGGAAAAAGAAAAGTACCAAACACAGAAGAATGGAAGCGATATTAACAGCGGCGCCTGCTTACCGATTCTATCCAGCACAACGCTGTCCCAGCTCTTTTTAGCCAGAGTGAACTTCCTGTTGAGCTCGAGCTCGATGGTGTGGTAAGCGCCCATCTGATGAACGAAGCAGAGAACACAGTCACAACATCTTATATCAGACTTAACTCAACACATGGTACTGGATTGGATTGCTTTTTCAAAAGGAGAGAAACTCTTAATGTGAATCCTCGCCTCCCTTATTTCATTCCTCTAGTCCTCCCCGTCCCACTTTAAAACATTGACGCATGTGACGTGATGGGAGATCTCATACCTTGACATACTGGTTCTCCTCTAGGTTAGTGCCCTTTACTCTCAACTGGCAGGCCTGAGAGTCAAAGTCGATGGTCTCCACACTCAAGGTCAGAGTAGTGCGAACTCTGGAGCTTCCCACACTCCCGGTAGCCGACTCGGTCTGCACCTTCCTGTGGGAAGAGGGGAAAGGACCCTTAGTCATGTGTGTATGTGTGTAAACATCATCTACATGGAGAATCGCTCTCCTCATCATCATCTAATGGAGCTATGAAACGTGAGGTAAAAAGATGTTGCTTGGCCAGTTCTTCACTTCACGCAATGGAACATAGGGGTCACCTGATAGTGGAGGCCCTCAGGCTGTCCCCCACCTGCAGCAGGTTGTAGGTGTGCCACATGTCCTCCGCCTCCTCTGGCATCAGAGTCACCTGGCTGAAGAAGTGCAATCAATAAGCTCCGAGTCGTTTTCATCCATTCAGGTTATGATGATCACAACATTAAACTGAGGATATGTTCAGACCTAAAGACGCCTGGTGATTAGTGAGGGCAATATACATCAATGCCGTATGCAGTAATATTACAGATCGATTATAACACGTGGTTTTTTGTATGTGCTTCCTTAATGTTACTTCATACGGGACGTGCTCTGTTGTATTTCGTGTCATGCGAGTGTGTGTGTGTGTGTGTTATTACATAATGAACTATGGGCCTGTATAGCTTCTTCCCAAAACGTTTCCACATACCGGTAAACGGTGAATCTAAATCACATGTTGAAACTTACCACGACTAAGTTAGGGTTAACGTAACAACCAGCTGCTAAATAGCGTGCTGGTTAGCTAGCAACATTAGCTCACTCACCCGGCATTATCTTTTTCAATGTCTTTATGTAGCAACTTCATGGTCGGATGGTTGTATGATACACAAACAATACTTCTATCGTAAAATCGATAGTCTCACGTGTGATCGAGTTAGAGTCATCCTTCTATTTCAGTCAATTGGGAAACTAAGTAACTTAAAGCCTTCTCTACACTTCCAAATGAATCATCCGTTGCGAGGTAGCAGGCGCTAGGACATTGCGTCAGGCCAATACGTCATCAACTCTTCCTATCTTGGTCACTTCCGTGGGTGTCGCTTTACTGCGCAACAAATAATGAACGATATGAACACCAGTAGTTAAGCAAATGGGGTCAAACTCGGTTTGTCTCACAACGTTGAAAAAAGATTCAAATAACGGCCAACAAAAACGGGACTCATACACAAGAACAATTGTTATTTTTATATTGTGGTTTGAGATAAGCAAATGCTGACCGACGTTGAAAGCTGCCAATCTAGAATAGTAATGGCTCCCCACGCCCCGCCTATTTGAAAAACGGACCAATGGGAGCATGGAAATGGGCAAAGCTTGTTCCGTTCAACCTCGCTTTGAGCTAACGCTCGTCTAGCCCTTTTTGTCGATGGCATGGTGTTAGAAGCTACTGCAGAAATATAGCTGTCACGAGAAATTACGAATACTTGTCATTAATTCGGATGTCTGATGGGACATAGTTGAATAAGGCGGATTTCTGAAGTACATGACAGCAATTACATCTTAAACAATCCAGCAGCAAGCCTCACATTTTGAGGTTGACAATTCTGCCCCAAGGTTAGCAAGCTAGCGGGCTAACGATAGCCGATTAACGCTAAACTATTTGAGCTAACGGTAACTCGGTATTCAGTCAACAGTTACTAAGTAGTGTATTCGCAGGAGTGATTAAAAAAACAACCAGAATATAGGAATAGCATGGCCGAAGCCGACAAGCTGAACATCGACTCCATTATACAACGTCTGCTGGAAGGTAAGACTATTTCGCTCGATAGTTATTCTCCGAGGTAGCCATTTTAGCTAAAAGATGCTAGACAACGATAGCCACCTATGCTATGTTAGCACAGTTCATTTCTGTCTCTTTGCTAACGAACACAGGCTAGTGACCGCCAGTTATGTTTGGTCAGTAGCATCCTTTCTTCACCACGTTAACCTAGTTACTTCTGCTCATTAGTATTTAACACCGACTAACGCCAACCGTGGGGTCTTAATGGTCATTAAAATAGTCGATTTCGCTGAATTAGCATCACATTTTCACTTCCAATGATGTATTTGGAGCGATGTTATAAACCTTTCGGCAAATTCTGTTGCCCACGTCCTTCCCGGCTTTAACGATCCTTGGACGTAATTTACTTTTCTTTGTAACCAAATGCATTTGAGCAGAAAGGTCAAAATATGAATACAACACAAAGTGCAAATTGGTGCGTAATATGTCTCTCTGCATATCATCAGGTGGCTCGTTGTGATATTGGTAGTTCCATTGTGGTTATTAAAGTATTTTTGCTTTAGATGCGACAGAGTTTCATTTCTGGAGAAAGCTCAAAGACTTATTGTGGAAAAAATCCCCACATTCGTGCAACAGCAGCCGTTGTGATTGTAGAAAGTCATGAGTTCAACATTTATGGGTCAGCTCAAGGATTCGTCTCTTAAGCCTCTACTTGGCTGAATTTAAAGACATACTAGACTATTCATAAATTTGCGTCTAACATTTAAATGGTTGTAGGTTAGTACTTCGCGTTCAGTCATTTCTTGTAAAAAAAACAACTACAGTACCACAATTCTCTTCTTTAATCCATTGGAATTTTGATGAACATTAAACTCCACTACGTTGACCATCTATTGTTTCCACTGTTTGATTTCTTTTGTTGTATTTCCCCAGTGAAAGGCTCCAGACCTGGCAAAAATGTTCAGCTGACAGAAAATGAAATCCGTGGTCTCTGCCTCAAATCCCGGGAGATCTTCCTCAGTCAGCCAATTCTGCTCGAACTCGAGGCGCCCCTCAAGATTTGTGGTGAGGATTAGTTGTTTTCTCCAGAGTTCAGGGAATTAAGACTTGTAGTCAAAAAGCGTTCACAAACACTCATAGATTGCAGATCATGGTGCCGTACTAATGATGAGAGCGCTTACATTCACGCTGTAGAACGCATGGCTGTGATCTCGCTACGTGCATACAGAACAATAAGGATGGGGTTGTGAAACTGGCTTGCCAGTGCACGGCTCTTTCGCACCTCAAGTCTCCCTGGATTTGCCCTCCTGCGTCATACTGCCGATGCCTCCTAATGAAAAATGTTTGTTTAAAGAAACGGTCTACAAATTTCAGGAACTGGCAAATAATCACATTTGGTATCACTCTGAATGCACACGTGCACATTCAGTTGGCTCGTCACCAAAAATCTGTCAAATGCCAAAATAGCAAAGTGTTAATTTAAAGTAATTCATAACCAATGGTTGTATGAAGTGCCTTTTTTAATTTGCAGTTTGCAAAGTGTTGTTGTACCTCTATCTAGTTCTCTTGTTTTTTGTTGTGAGTGAACAAGGATAATTACACCTTTGACCATTTCTGCATCCGTTCTAATGCTGCTTCTCTCACCAGGTGATGTTCATGGGCAGTACTACGACCTGCTCAGGCTGTTTGAATATGGGGGCTTCCCACCAGAGAGCAACTATCTCTTTCTGGGGGATTATGTAGACCGAGGCAAGCAATCCCTTGAAACCATCTGCCTGTTGTTGGCGTACAAGATCAAATACCCAGAAAACTTCTTCCTGCTGAGAGGAAACCATGAGTGCGCCTCCATTAACAGAATATATGGCTTCTACGATGAGTGTAAGTCATTTGAGATGCTTAAAGATGATCTTTCCATTTCTATCTAAAGAACCAAGCCATTAGGTGTATATATAATGATGGGTTTACATTATAGTTATACTATAAATATAGGTAAGACTTAGCAAAAAAGAACAGCTAGCTTAATTATAGTAGCTAAAGCCACAACGCAGTAAATAATTACTCACCTTTCTCTGCCATCAGTCATGTTTATGGAAAATATTGTGTTTCTAGTGTGATGCAATATGTTCTGCTAATTGTATTGCTCTCTAGATTAGATTGGGATCATGTGGTTTTGGTTTCCTCCCACAGGCAAGAGGCGATACAACATAAAGCTGTGGAAGACCTTCACTGACTGTTTCAACTGTTTGCCGGTTGCAGCCATTGTTGATGAGAAGATTTTCTGTTGCCATGGAGGTATCCTCTTCAAACAGTTCATTTGGCTCCTGTCCAGAGCGTGCACACACAAACCCGCCTCTGCGCTGTGGTTACTGTCAACATAACGGTCAAAGGCCGGCAAGACTGTGCGGGATCTTAATATGTTGTTTGATTATTTATATGTTCATGTGCTGTTCAGCAGTCATGGCTGTAGCATTTTTTTTCTTATTTTTACTCCCACCTACAGTGCCTTTTACAAGTATGTTAATAACTGGTCTCATTCATGTTCAGTTTCTTTCAGAGTGTCTGTAGAACAAAAAAGCAGAATAAATTAGCCTACGGTTTCAGACAGCATGATAAACAGCATGTCGTGTTTCTCTGACCCACAGCAAAATACGCGTAAACAGGCCCCGATAGTCACGGGGGTCAACACGCTGTCCCCTGGCACATAATAAATTACATAATGCAAAACACACAAAGGATAATGTGTTGGCAGGGATTTTATGATCTGTTGAGCCTCAACACCTGATTTTGTTTTTGATCATATAAATAAACACACAAATAATCATAAGAGCTCAAAAGGAAGAGGGGATCTAAGGAAGTCATTTTTGCTTGAATGTATCTCAAACGGATGCAAATGAAAATCTTCATCAACAGACCAAAAAAATTAGTTTATTGCAAGTCTTATTATGGAAATGTATTTTGTGATATTACATTTCTACAGATAATATACTGACATAACGATGGTTGTGTTCATATTTTCTTTCTCACAACGCTGTTCCGGTATGCTTTTTCTAATTGTTCTCTGTTGACCGTCCTCAGGCCTGTCCCCGGACCTCCAGTCTATGGAGCAGGTGCGGCGGGTCATGCGCCCCACTGACGTGCCCGACCAGGGGCTGCTGTGCGATCTGCTGTGGGCCGACCCGGATAAGGACGTGCTCGGCTGGGGCGAGAACGACCGCGGCGTCTCCTTCACCTTTGGCGCCGACGTGGTCACAAAATTCCTCCACAAACACGACATGGATCTCATCTGTCGGGCCCATCAGGTCAGTTCTCAACGTTGATCCCGAGGTCGACGTGTAGGAATGCAAGCCGATCGAGATAAACAGAACCAGTGAGGAAAGTAGTGGGGGTTAGTGGCTCAATCTGTGTCCCTGCAGTGTTGTTGTGTGGTGGATTTTTCCTCCTGCGTTTTACAAGTAGTAAAAACAAGGCTCGCGCTTTTACCAGACAACCGCTCTGGACTTCAACCTGTTTTACTGATGACCAGGCAGGGAATTTAAAGCGATAGCAATGTATTTCTGATCTGTGAGAGCCTTTGACGCTTTGTTAATTAGTTACAGTGTGGTTTGTCCTTTTTGACTCACCTATTGTCAAACGGTGAGAACAAATGTTTGAAATCGGCGTCCTTGGAAACTCGTCAACCCGTCGTACGTTTTTTTCAGGTGGTGGAGGACGGATACGAGTTCTTTGCCAAGAGGCAGCTGGTGACGCTGTTCTCGGCCCCGAACTACTGCGGGGAGTTTGACAACGCCGGGGCCATGATGAGTGTGGACGAGACCCTCATGTGCTCATTCCAGGTAAGCGGGAGACTGCAGAGAAACTTCTGACGTTTTGAGTTTCATCCTTCCTCGTGCTCACTTTCCCTCTTAACCCGTTCATAGATTCTGAAACCGGCGGACAAGAAGCTGTTCTACGGCGGTGGAGGCGGAATGGGCTCTGGCCGCCCCGTCACTCCCCCCAGGAAAGCTAAGAAATGACAGCAGTAGTTTGCCCTCGACCTGCGACCCGCCCTTCCTGCCCTCTCTACCTCTCTTCTCCTTTCTTTCACCAAACAGCCAGAAATGAAACCTATACCCAGGGCTTTTTTCCTTTTTTATCTGTACTTCTTAAAACATTTAATGTTCTGAATTGTCTGAGTGAGTGAGTTGCGTGCGCGCAGGTGACAAATGTGTCTCGTCTGCCGGCGAGCATTAAAATCATGTGTGCACGTGTACAATTGGTGTGAGAGTATTAGAGATTTATACTTTCCCCTCTCTCTTACCACTCCTCCCGTGAAAAGGCTGAAACCACAGTGTCTGTACATTTTGAGTGAGAAAGCAGGGTTTGGGGGGCCGTGGGAGATTGCTGACACGAATTTAGCGGCGAGCCGCAGCAGGTGGTGTGCGTCTACTCGCGGAGGGAGGGGGGGGCGAGTGTTTTGTTTTCCCTGTCCTGTACTGTAAAATCTCCATCACAGGTGTGTGCATGTGCGCGCGTGCTTGTGGCGTCTCGGCGTCCTGGAACAGGAGCGCGTCCCCTTGTCTCCAGAGAGGCGCACACAAGCACTCGCACACAAACACACACACGCATATGATTCTTCAGATTCATATGAGCCAGAGCTGTAAAAAAAAAACGTACAGTTTAGGTTTGTACAGATTTGATTACTTGAAAGAGATTTTTTGTGAATTCGTTTTGTAGTCTTTCATCAAGTTGACCAATAAAGCGAGAATCTGAGCTACAACTTCTAACGACTTTATTTATTTAATTTTTTACCGTAACACTGAATCTGCTTTGTGGCGACGTGCATTTGTAAGTGAGTGGTTGGGCGTCCGTCCACCGTGTCCCGAGGGGGGGCGACTGCTCGGCTGTCTGTATCAGAGGCCGGAAGGAAGGTTCATGACTCGGCTGAACACGCGTTGGCGCCAGGACGCAGGTGTTTGATTTTAATGATGCGACTTTGTCATCATCAACCAACGGACAGGCAAACAGTTCCTGATAGTCAGGATGTCAATCGTTTCTTGTAGTTGCCTGTTATTTCCAGGAGGTGGTGCTAACCGCTGCAAAGTTAGAATGGCGCCACAATGACGTCGTGACCCTGCATTTATATATTCCCATAAGTGCTGCTCGATGCACTGGAGATAAATGTTTGACCCAAGGAACATCACTTGTGATGTTTTTGGTTAATAAACATGTGATTATTTTGCATGTTTTTCCTTCTCCCTATAATTATTACTACCTATTTGGTTGATATTAAACAATGTCCGTGTAAATATTCCTTAACTTACCATACTCTTTATTTTAATGATGTAACCTATTTAAAAATATACGGTCCCTGACTAAGAAAATTGTATTCAAACGTGATATTAGCAGTTAATAGCTCCCACAATATTAAACATACGTATGATTGCAAAAAACTGACCACAACCAAACTACAGTCCAGTTGTATTTTGCTGAATCACACCTCCAATAATGTGTTTGTATGCATTGATATAATCCATTTGAGAGGAGTGGCAGCGTAGAAGAGTCCAGAGCTCTTTTACGTTCCTTATTCTATATTTATCTAAAAAAGGGTCCCATTTCTTTCTCAGGTATTTCTCTGGCTCTTTTTCATTCATTCGTCTTCCTGTCATCAACGCTCCTCTTCAAGACGCTCTGTCCATCACTTGGCCGTCCTTTTACTGGACCAATGGGGTGTGAGGTGAAGGGTACTTCTGAGGGGGGGGGGGGTTGGAATAAAAAGAGCCCTGAAACCTTTTTGAATGGGATTTTTCTTCCCTGTAAATCCAGTTGGATATAAATAATTGCAAAAAGTCCAGTCAAGGGAGATTCCCATAAAAGCGTTCTTTTCGAAATGTCTTCATGTCTGCTGCGTTCGCTGAATTCAAAGCTGTTAGAAAAGGGTGAAAATCCAACGTTGGCTCACAGATTCCGGCCTGCGTTCAATTACAGCGGCTGCCAAACACTCGTAGTAAACAGCTTCTAAATAGTGTCATGGATAAGAGCACTCAAAATAGACAAGACATTGAAGATTAACGCGTTCATCTTTCAGACGGCACCTGATACAGCGCATACTTGTTCACACAGCTATGCTGGCCTGAAATACTAAATAGTTTTATTTATGACCGCTATTATGAATCTCCAGAAGGACTTATGTTCATCTCCAAGCTCGTCTGTGCGGCCTTCTGTCTCTGGAACACAGCTGCTGTAAACGTAGAAATGAGTATTCACTAATGAAACATAATCTCCTTGATGGTTGGAGCTGTGCGTGTAGCTTTATTGAAGACTGACGTGCGAGTTTAAGGCAGGATGGTTACTCGGGTAGAGGTGAACGTAGACTCTTAAAAGGTGCAGTGGGCTTAGTTAATGTAACTTGTTACTATTACTTATTATTTAACTCCTGCTGTAGACCGAACTCTGAAATGTACGTTGACCGACTTGAAACAGCTGCGCGACGAATCGCAACCGGACGCTCCGCTTGATTCTGACGATCTCGACTTCTCCCGATAAAACGTCTCCTCCGCTCGACTCGGATCCCCTGAAGAAATGCTGATCGGGCCGAGGAACTTCAGGAGAGCCGAGGCCACGTTTTGATCAACGGGCTCACTTTCCTGTCGGCTCCCCCGAGGCCCGCGCAGCAGAGCCCCCCCCCCCCCCCCCCCCAGTAGGGAAAGGGGGGGACCAACGGGAGCCCCTCGTCCATGCTCGCCGCGCGGATACCCATGACACGGTGGCGTCGAATACCCCCCCCACCCCCTCCTCGACGTCCCGGTTCTGTTTTCCCCCCCAATAGTTGAAATTTAGACTCATGAGGCCAGAGCTAAAGGTCCAGTATTCTGAAATAAAAAAGCTGCAAAGCCGCCGCGGTGCCCGTGCCCCCCCCCCATCGCCCGGTGTCACCTGCTCTATTTATACCACGCCAGGAATTTTGGATTCAGAGACTCAGCTGCCACTTCTATTATTACTATTAGCTAATGCTGTAACAAGCACCCCGCGTGACTGTGGCTCCCTCACCCGCAGCCTCCTAGCCCGATGATGCTAATGATGTCCTCACTGTCAATCCCGCACGCGTGTCCTTTGATTTCGTACCGTAAATCTGCACTGTTTTGTATCCAATGTGCTTGAAGGCTCGAGTTTGTGATGGATGCCGGACCGCGCGACACCGATGCTGCACGGGTCGACCCGCTAACTCCTGTGGATTTGGAGAGTGATATTCAAATCGATATGTCACTCAGGAGATTTGTAAACCCTCCACCGGCCGGACTGCGGCGATCATCTCACGGAATGTGCCCTCAAACACGATAACCTTCTGTATGGAATATGTACGTCCTAGCGGGACAAATGTCCCTCTCGCCCTGCGTGTGCTGTGCACGTCAGCAGAGACGGACTTAGTTGCCGCACCGCCGCAGTACTTAACACTCGCACAGAAATGGGAACATGTATTGAGTTCACATGTGCGGCAGAGAGGGCCGGAGGCGGGGGGAGGGGGGGGGGGGGGCGGTTAATGCAGCACATGGTGATCCCTCAGCCTGGCACGAGGGGCGTGGCGTGTTAGCGTGTTAGCGTGTTCCCCGATTTGCAGGGGTCCACGCCGTAGTAGTCCCCTCACCCGCAGGCCCCTGACACCACAGCAATACATGGTGGGGACGGAGGGGACGGGGGGGGGAAACCTTATCCTTCTGGGATATTGAGTTAAATGTCACTGCGCTGCCCTGAGGGACACACTGACAGGCCGACCCCTATCACGGCTCCCGAAATCTCAGAGGTCAGAACGCCTGTACAACAGCTGAGGGCCCGGAGAAGAGCCGGCTGCAACATGCAGAAGAGAAGGAGGATAAATTGTTAAAAAAAATTGCTGACGCTGAACTGATAAGATTCACAAGTCGAATGCACGTGCAGCCGTTTGATTTGGCTGTAGATGTTTAACAAATCGTTTGTGGATTGTAGGTTTTACCACCGTTTGCACGTTTGTTCTACATTTCAGTCAAATTCAAAGGAAATTATTACACACTCGAATGTCCCTCCCAAGCTTTGAATAGTTGAAAAGTCAATACACTTCATGATGGTAATGAAAATTGAAACATGTCATTCAGCCCCGATTGCAGCTTTTACTTATGCAAATGAATAAAAAGCAAATTCTTTCTGCTCTTCTACATGATGCATACATTACATACATATAAGGAATTGACCCCCCCCCCCCCCAGCAGGCCAGAAGGTCAGGTCACTTGGAAAACAGTAGCTCATCTGATGCATGAAAGCTGTCACAAAAACAACTTCCTATTTTAGAAACTAAGCAGCACAAGTTCATGTTTGTGTTACTTATTTATATGTTTCACGTTTTTTTCTCTATCATGTGTCCGAGGGTCGTTGTGATTAAAAAGGCTGGAGGGAAATCCTCCTTTTCAATGTTTATTTGACTCATTTGTCATTTATTTTCAGTTGACTCTTATATACGCTGACGTCAACCACACATTAATCGCACAAAAGGGGCCTTCACAAACACGTTTTCCATGTATGTAGGCTTGATTGAAAAGCCCTCGTCACACCCTTTTGTTGGCTAGTGAGGAGTCGTGTTAATCCTCACACTATGTTGTTACAAATTATCAATAAATAATTAGACAAATACAAAGATGGGTCATCGAATGGTGAAATTGGCAACATTTGTCAGCTATAAAGTAAAGTATGAAGTATAAGTCTAGTGGTGAACACGGTGTTCTATAAATATGAATTATTGTGATAAGTATGAGCAAAAGAAAAGAAAATGATCATCATTACATCATTCATCAGACACTTCACCCACATGTTATTTGTCATTGCATGCTGGTCAGCGTTTTACCCTTTCTAAAGAAAATCCTCTTTTTGTACAAATAGTTTGACCTGATTGGTTTGAATTGTTTTGACCATCCAGTTCCTGCGTGAGGGCCACCGTCTGTGACACTTTCTATTCCAACGCAAACGTCCCTCAAAGTGGCTTCCAAATGAAATATGACACATTAAAATCAATCATGTAAATACCGTACATCACCGTCCGGCTGACACGGGCAGCTGCCTACATTTCTCTGGAGCGGTTTGACCAAGAATAAACTCTAAAGAATGCAAACATATATGACATGCAGTAACTGCTGACGCGCGCATCGAGAGTAAGGCCTCCTAAAAAACCTAAAACCCCCCAAAAATGATTGATTTAATAATTCGATTTGCAGTGAAAATGGGCCTCGTAGCTTTCCCAGCTGCCCCAGTGTTGGTCCTCCTGGACTTCCTGTCCGCGCCGCGCGGGGGCCTGTTTGCTGCTGTTAAAACAGACGGTAAATCAACACATTTTACATCCAGTTACACTTCACGTGTGCAGGGGTTCAGTGCTGGGAAGCGACCAGCAGAGGCCAACGTGCCTCACGGAGCGCTCGACTGGCGTCTCCCGCAGCCGTCCTCTGCTCATAAAAAAAACGAGAGATAAAACCTGATCCTCCCGTATCTGCAGCTTTTCCTACGCAGTGGCCTGGCGTGACACGCTGGCTGTCCCCTCGGCATTCCTGTCCCCCGAGACCCTCCTCCTCGAATACACAGGCGTATTCCCAGGCCTTATCGTGAGCTGTTGCTCGGCACGACTTGAGTTAAATGGACGTTGTGGATGACGTCGGGGGGGCAGGAAGTTCATTTTCCCGGGTTTGAACTTTAAACTTCATGTGCTGATTGTGTCTGACTCCCATTCGCCGGGTGGAAAGACCAGCTAATTGCTGTTCTGGATCATTTGTCCAGCGTCTCCGTCCTTTAGTCCCTCTGGCTCAGCCACCTTCCTCAGCAGAAACCAGTTGAGCCATCACTCAATATGCCCCCACCCCCATGGAAGCGCTCCTGTCTCGCTCTCTCACCTTCTCCCTTCTTCCTATTCCACTGACCGTGCATGTTCCAAAAACAGATCTCATTTTCCTCCACGGTGTGACGCCCCCCCCCCCCCCCCCCCCTCCCTCCTCCAGCCCTGTCCTTTCCCAATCCAAGCCTCGTCCCTGTCCATGTCCACCATCCCGCCTCCCTCAATTGCTCCACCTCGAACCCCCTCCTCTCTCGCGCCCCAACCGTACCCTCACACGCTGGAATTTGGGGGGGCGTGTGCGGGGCGGGGTGTCCACCAATCCCGGGCGGCCTTTGGTGGTATAAAACCCTGGACCTGTATGCAGTTAATCGCTCTTTCTGTCAGTCCAGTACTCCTGAATTGGAGGGTGCCGCAGCTTCTCGGTGAGGGTGGTGGAACAAGGGAACAAAAACTGCAGAGAATAACTGAGAAGTAGAAGAGCCCGGATAAGCACGGCTAGACGGGCGACCCCCTTGTCTGTCCAGAGAGGATGGAGAACGCACACGCAAAGTCCACGGGCGAATGCCTGACGTACTTCGGTGTGAGCGAGGCCACGGGCCTCAGCCCCGAACAGTGCAAGAAGAACCAGGAAAAGTACGGCTTCAATGGTGAGAGATCCGGGGCGTCTGGGTCGGGGGGCGGAGGGGGGGGTGGCAGGATGGGTCGAGGTCACGTAGAGAAAGTTCACACCATATTCGCTGGTGCAGTCTGTGGAGTCCACACAGAGCTGAGAGACGCCCGTTGGGTCGACTTTTGCACGTGGCGCCTTTTTAGACGGGAGTCGCAACAGCTGGTAGAAACGCAGAGACATTGAGAAGCAGAGACTTTGAGGGCTTTCAATAGCTATTTAAAGACAGCCAAAGAAGATGGCTGGAGAGCGAGGGAGACAGGTGACGGCTCCTGGGTGATATATGGTTTCGGGCGTCAACAGGACGGATGGGTAATTTTAGGCCGGGCAGAAAGGGGAGGTCCTTAGATGGCTTGAATGATCCGTGTTATGTTTGCTGATCAATAACCGAGCGCGATGGCAAATGCGACAAGGGAAGACTCGGTAATGCGGTGTTAGATATTCAACTTTGGCTGGTTTTCACGCTGATATTCCTGCTGCCTCGTAACATTTCAGTGAGCTGTCATTAAACGTAATGTTTTATTTTGTTTACATATTTAAAAAGTGAACAGACTCTGAAGTAGGTTTAATTAGGCCGAGGTCAGAATTCAAACCCAATCCAGTCCAACACAGTAGAAAGGCCTTTTCATTTCAGCCATTCATGAAGAATAATTATCTTCTTATGCTAAAAAGTATTTTCTCCCAAAGTTTTGATGAAAATGTTTCTTGATGAATCTAACGAAACGTCCCTTTTCCTTTCTCTCCGTCGCCACGACCTTTGCCCTCCTTGATCCTTGTGTCCGACCCCAGAGCTGCCCGCTGAGGAGGGTAAGTGTTGATCCACACACTTTTACAGAACGTGTAGATTAGAAGACACTTGATTCAGACCCAGAGGGGAAGACCGTCATGAATACTCCCAAAAGGGCTGTGATCATAAAGCTGATGACATCACACTCAATGCACCAAACATTTCACAGCCAAACTTACTGAATTTGTACTTCTTCTGAATCCAAGCTTTATGTAAAAGCTTTGCACAGAGATACATTTTGGCATATTTGAGTAATTGCATTCACGTCATGTGCGAAGCGTCCGTTGATTTCTCTCGTTTTGTCGGCCTCGTCCAGGTAAGAGCGTCTGGGAGCTGATCGCTGAGCAGTTTGAGGACCTGCTCGTCAGGATCCTGCTGCTGGCCGCCTGCATCTCTTTTGTAAGTAAACAAGCGCAAACCAGTAAAGCAAAGCTAAACTCTGGTCAATTCCTGAATGTCCGCTTGCTGGATTGATCTAAATATCTAAGGTAGCAACACACTCCTTGAGACGGTGAATCTACACGAGGTTTCTCTGCGCTTTTATCTGAAGAAAGTAAAGGTGTGTTTAAAAAAATATATAAAGATTTATAATAGAAAGGAAGAAAGAATACTTGATATTTGTTGCCACAATACTCTCTGAACCCTCCTACATTATTGACAACCATCAAGAACACAAACTCTTCCTGAAAACACACACACACACACACACACTTCCCCCCCTTGACCGTCCATGTATTTTTGAGGATGACAACTTGAGAGGAGGGAGACGGATTGCAAGGGTTTGTAGGAGGTGTATTAATCCCCACAGCCAGCTTTCACCCCTTCGGGCAGCTGTCACGATGGCCCTAGAAGGCGAATGTTGAGGAGCCAGTGAGAGATTGGGGTCAGGGGGAAGTATAGGGGGGCCGAGGGGGTGTGGGTGTATTTTAAGAAAGCCCCGAGCTGAGGAGGGAAACTGAATCCTTCGAGGGAAAGGTCAGGCCTGAAGGAAGGAACGAAAGGGCCCCCGCAGAGAGAGGGCTGCAGTCAGAAAGGGGGGGGGGGGGCGAGGAGTCCTGGGACATGGGGATCAAATAAAAAACAATTACCTAATCACATTACGACACACACACATATGTCATCTAATGAACATTAGGAGAGAAAGGAAATGATTAAGAATGATTAAGAATTGACACTGTTGCAGGTGGATGTATATCCACATGCTAAATGCTCACTAAACTAGAAACGCTCTTCCCTCCTCAACATGGACCCTTACTGTTCAGACTTTAAACATGACATACGAGGGTATAAAGCAGTGAGGAATCTTTTCATTTTCAGGACAATCCCAACGTTTACGGTGTTGACCGTCCGTTCAAAATGAACCCCAGACAGAGTGGAAGAACGCTGCCGCGTCACCTCAACACTGATCTACTTTTTGGCCTCTCTGACCTCAGGTGCTGGCCTGGTTCGAGGAAGGCGAAGAGACCGTCACCGCCTTTGTGGAACCCTTCGTCATCCTTCTTATCCTCATCGCCAACGCCATCGTTGGCGTGTGGCAGGTCAGTGATGAGGCCCGACGTGTCGAGCGGTTTCAGCCTTGTTTTTCCACCTGGGGGAGGTTGCTCAACTGCAACATCTTGTGTTTGCTGTGATTACGGAGAGTAAATGGAGCTGAACAAGATTAACTTTGAATAGAGAAGAATAACATGATATGACACTTGGTAACTTAAGAGGCGGTGAGAAACATCCGATCAAGGATCTGACCTTCTCGCGTGTCATCAGTAGGTTGCGTATCGGTGTTCGGTGTCGGTTCGTAAAGCATGCTCGAGGACATTGAGGACTCATACCAACAAGAGCATGGGTCACATTTCCGTATAAACAGGCGCGTGGACACACATCATTTTGTCCGTGCTTGTAAAGCTGTGGCTCAAAATGCCTGAATGTGAAATTTAGCTCGCTTGTGGTTTCCTCTTTAAAGGACTTTCCTTTGTGTGCGTGTTCCACAGGAGCGTAACGCTGAAGACGCCATCGAGGCTCTCAAAGAGTACGAGCCCGAGATGGGCAAGGTTTACCGTTCTGACAGAAAGAGTGTGCAGATGATCAAGGCCAGGCAAATTGTCCCCGGAGACATCGTGGAGGTGTCAGGTAAGACGCGCCAGGATTCTTCTTCGTTTTTTTTTGTGGGCGGAACATTGTAAATGGAGGAACAAGATGAGCAGGATCGCACACATGTCTTTCCTAACGATAAGAGTAGAGACACAGAGGATTAGCGTGTGTGTGTGTGTGTGTGTGTGTGTGTGTGTGTGTGTGTGTGTGTGTGTTTCTTTTTAAGGCGACATGAGATCTGGGGAAACATGCTGACTGAAGGAAAGCAAATTCACAAGTATAAATTTCCTTATTGGCGGGTGTCTTCCCCCTTCGCTGCCACTGACTGGGGTCCGTTTGTTTATCGGAGGACCCCTGTTGCCCCCCCCCCGCCCCCCCCCCCCCACCATGCGGGGTTCATTCTTAATGGGTTAAGGAAAGTTTGGAGACTGCCGCATTATGAATTTCATTTAAGTATAGAAAGCAACTCATAGCATTTGGCTTTAACTTTTTAGAACAATGTTTACCGTAATGTTGCTAAAACGGCAGAAATAATCTGACTTTTCATTTCATATTCAAGGAAAACAGTTAAAGGTTCATGGATAAACTTTGTCAATGTCATTCTGTTTAGAAATGTAAGCATTTGGAAAGCAATGTCTGCTGTCTTTAGAAACGTTTAACATTATCAACATATCGTTAACATCAAAATCCGATTCATATGCATAAGGTTTACTACTGTCATTGGATGCATATCACGGTTTTGGTGTGGACTTATGGAAAATAAATGGCGAACAATCTCTTTAACACACAATCTTATCACTATTCTCCATAAGCCTATTGATGATGTAATTATAGGCAACTATTAAAATTATATATAATAAAATAATAATATTATAATAACACTTAAATGTTCAACTGTTGTCAAACATATTTACACTCACTGTGAGTCTAATTTAAATAAAACATATATTGAAGCATTCTATCTCAAATCGGTAAAACGAACAAGAATGATTTTAATGATGAGGATTTCATTGCTAATGACGACTTCTCTGTGATTCCCAACAGTTGGAGACAAAGTCCCCGCTGACATCAGGCTTGTGTGCATCAAGTCCACCACCCTGCGTGTTGACCAGTCCATCCTTACCGGTAAGGTGCCATTAAAAACCTTAAATCGGCCGCTAGGCGTCTCCCCGTCTCAACTCCATCCGTGGTTTTGAATGAACGTTTTTCTCTCTCAGGTGAGTCCGTCAGTGTGATCAAGCACACGGATGCTGTTCCCGACATGAGGGCTGTCAACCAGGACAAGAAGAACATGCTTTTCTCTGTAAGTGCCTTTACTGATACGTATATGTTTGATCTACAAGCCTTTCTTCCCCCATTTTAGCCAGCATCACCTGTTTGATTTCCTACACGTCTCTGCTCGTCTCCTCTTTAGGGCACTAACATCGCTGCCGGCAAGGCCATCGGAGTTGTTGTGGCCACCGGAGTCTCCACCGAGATCGGCAAGATCCGCGACCAGATGGCCGCCACCGAGCAGGAGAAGACTCCTCTGCAGGCCAAGCTGGACGAGTTCGGCGAGCAGCTGTCCAAGGTCATCTCCCTGATTTGCGTCGCCGTCTGGGCCATCAACATCGGCCACTTCAACGACCCCGTCCACGGAGGCTCATGGATCCGCGGGGCCGTCTACTACTTCAAGATCGCCGTCGCTCTGGCCGTGGCTGCCATCCCCGAGGGTGAGGGAACCAGAAAGGCACAGTCTAAGTCAAGGTGTGTGTTCCGCCGCCGCGTGTTCATTGTGTCACTCACTCTTCCCGCCGACGTTCGTCAGGTCTGCCCGCCGTCATCACCACCTGCCTGGCTCTCGGTACCCGCCGTATGGCAAAGAAGAACGCCATCGTCAGAAGCCTGCCCTCTGTGGAGACCCTGGGCTGCACCTCCGTCATCTGCTCCGACAAGACCGGCACCCTCACCACCAACCAGATGTGTGTGACCAAGGTGGGTGAAGCATTCGTCGGACTCGCGAAGGAAATGGTGTCGCCAAAAGTTCGGACACAGTTGTGACTTTCTTTTTGTCCTCCGCCACAGATGTTCATCGTCAAGGGCGCCGATGGCGACCATGTCAGCCTTGACGCCTTTGATATTTCTGGCTCCAAGTACACCCCCGAGGGCGAGGTGTAAGTTGGTTTTCAGTATTCAAACATAAAAGTGCCCACGAACCGTCACCTCATTTGTTTCTAATTCTCTCTGTGTCTTTCAGGACCCAGGGAGGTTCCAAGGTCAACTGCAGCTCGCACGACGGGCTCGTTGAGCTGGCGACCATCTGCGCCCTCTGCAACGACTCCTCTCTGGACTACAACGAGGTAAAGTCATGCACTGTGTTTCCGCTACACTGACAGCACACTACCTTCCATAGGTCAACCAACAATCTCCATCTCGCTCCTTTCCTCCAGTCCAAAAAGATCTATGAGAAGGTTGGTGAGGCTACTGAGACTGCCCTGTCCTGCCTGGTTGAGAAGATGAACGTGTTCAACAGCAACGTGAAGAACCTGTCCAAGATCGAGAGAGCCAACGCCTGCTGCACTGTAAATCTCCTCTTGCCATTGTTTTCAATTTGGGATTCATTTATACAGCTGACTTGTGAAAACTTTTGATCAGTTAAAATTTTCTAACTAAGGCCGATCTGACAGCATATCTAATAAAAACAACCTTTCATCCAACAGGTGGTGAAGCAGCTCATGAATAAGAACGTCACTCTGGAGTTCTCCCGTGACAGGAAGTCCATGTCCGTGTACTGCACCCCCACCAAGGGCGACGGTGGCGCCAAGATGTTTGTGAAGGCAAGTTTCTTCTCTTTTTGTTTTCCGTTACACATCTTTGGCATTTTGACAATACGCCAAATGATCATTTTGTTTCCTCCTCAGGGTGCCCCCGAGGGTGTAATTGACAGGTGCGCGTATGTGCGCGTTGGCACCAACCGCGTTCCCCTGACCAACGCCATCAAGGAGAAGATCATGACAGTCATCAGGGAGTGGGGTACCGGCCGTGATACCCTGCGTTGCCTGGCCCTGGCCACCCGTGACACCCCCCTGAGGATGGAGGAGATGGTCCTTGAGGACTCCACCAAGTTCGCCGATTATGAGGTGAGAAGTGAAACACGTGTGTGGATTTGTGCTGGGCAACAATAAAAACAATCAATTGCGATTAATCGCACAGTAGTAGTTACGTTTTTTCTTCTAAATCTCAAGTTTGAGTATTAATGTTCATTGTATTCTGACTCCTTTTCGAACCTCTCTCCTCAGACTGACCTGACCTTCGTTGGCTGTGTTGGTATGCTGGATCCCCCTCGCAAGGAGGTCTGTGGCTCCATCGAGTTGTGCAGGGCTGCTGGAATCCGTGTCATCATGATCACCGGTTAGTATCATGTGGTGGATTTTAATTTTTATTCCATAAATCCACTGCGCCGTCTTTTACACCTCGGGCACACACCGCCTCTCCCTCAAACTTCTCCTCCTCTAAACCGCAGGTGACAACAAGGGAACCGCTATCGCCATCTGCCGTCGTATTGGCATCTTCAAAGAGGATGAGGATGTTGAGAACAAAGCCTACACCGGACGTGAGTTTGACGACCTGCCCTCCCATGAACAGCCCCAGGCCGTGATCAGGGCCAGCTGCTTTGCCCGTGTCGAGCCGTCCCACAAATCCAAGATTGTGGAGTTCCTGCAGGGTCATGATGACATCACTGCTATGGTGAGAGCCTGCCGGCGCGACATGCGTACCAGCGCCGAGCGCGTTTTCGGCCGTCCTGTTCGTCCCAATGGGGATGAGTGTAGTTTGACAGCAGTTTAACGGATGCTTCCCCTCCTCCCCATTCCAGACTGGTGATGGTGTGAACGATGCCCCTGCCCTGAAGAAGGCCGAGATTGGCATCGCCATGGGCTCTGGCACTGCCGTTGCCAAGTCTGCCTCTGAGATGGTCCTGGCTGACGACAACTTCGCTTCCATCGTGGCTGCTGTTGAGGAGGGCAGAGCCATCTACAACAACATGAAGCAGTTCATCCGCTACCTCATCTCCTCCAACGTCGGTGAGGTCGTCTGGTGAGTGGTTTGCTCGACGTTTGGTGCACTCCGGACCGGACAGCTCCAGCCGCCCTTCTCAAACCCTCGGGCCCGTCCTTGTCGTGTCCTTTTCTCACTCTCTCAGTATCTTCCTGACCGCCGCTCTGGGTCTGCCCGAAGCTCTGATCCCCGTCCAGCTGCTGTGGGTCAACCTGGTTACTGACGGGTCTGCCCGCCACCGCTCTGGGCTTCAACCCCCCCGATCTGGACATCATGGGCAAACCCCCACGTTCCCCCAAGGAGCCCCTGGATTTTAGGGATGCTGTTCATTCAGATACACAGGTATCGGTGGTAAGTAGGACTTTGGACGTCATGTTTTGTGTGAAAATGCAGGAGAAAGCTCTTCTCCTCCCACCAACGCCGCCTTGTTTCTCTAACAGCATACGTCAGCGCTGCCACTGTTGGTGGTGCTGCCCTATTGGTTCATCTATGACCCAACTGGCCCCCGGTGTCTCCTACTACCAGCTTGTGAGTCTCTTTCATTGCGCCTCTAACGCACTGACGCAGGAACACACTTAATGACCCGACCTCTCCTCTGTGCAGTCCCACTTCATGCAGTGCCACGATGAGAACGAGGACTTTGCCGGTTATGAATGTGACATCTTCGAGGCTTCTACTCCCATGACCATGGCCCTGTCTGTGCTGGTCACCATTGAGATGTGCAACGCTCTCAACAGGTAATACCTCACACGTGGTGATGATGAGGATGATGATGATGATGACGTTTCTTTTCAGGTAGCATTTGTTTTATATAACTTATATCTTTTTTTCTTTTCAAGCTTGTCTGAGAACCAGTCTCTGATTCGCATGCCCCCATGGAGCAACTTCTGGCTGCTGTCTGCCATGACCCTCTCCATGTCCCTTCACTTCATGATCATCTATGTTGACCCTCTGCCCGTAAGTCAGACGCTGGTGCTCTCCACAGATTCATTGGACCACGTCGAAGTATCGTGAGGATTGGTATTTGTCGTGGATGCTCTCCGCTGTAGTTTCTCGGCCGTTCTGATTCCCCTCTTTGCATCCAGATGGTCTTCAAGTTGACCCATTTGAACATTGACCAGTGGATGGTCGTCCTGAAGCTTTCCTTCCCCGTCATCCTCATTGATGAGGTGCTGAAGTTCGTGGCCCGCAACTACGTTGAATGTAAGTAGCCTCACATTTCTCTACACTCACTTATATTAAATATATAATTTATAAAACTACCTTATTTTGTAAAATAACTAATATTTTTAATTATTAAATAACTATGCTGATCATTCATTAATATTAAAAAAAAAAAGTATTGTGTATGTGCAATTCTTTTTAATCGCTCTGCTATCATCTAATTATATCAACTCTTCATCTACAAATTCATCATACGTTTAATACTGTCTGTTTTAATCTGCCTAATTCCATCCCTCCCTCATCATTAACTCACCTAACCCCTTGTTGCTTTCCAGACTAAATTCAGTCAACCCACCACCTTTAGCCAAGGTATTCCACAGCTTGACCTGCTACTGGTTATCTCTGTGTATCTGCAGTGCACGTTTGTGTATTTCTGTTTTGTCGCGTACGCCGTTGCTCTCATGCAAACCGCTCCTCAGCAACGTCTTCTTTTTTAATCATGACGTTCATATAGAACACGAAATTACACAATTAGTAAAAACAACTGTAGTTAAATTGACATGGTTGACAAGATGACTCGTCTTTCTGTATCTGATGTCTGTGTTTAGCTAGAAGTTGAGTTCCAGTGTTACAGCTTGTTTGTATCTATGCGTCTGTATGTAAGAGTGACCAATGCCCGTTGTTAAGGTTTGCACCCCACAAGCCTTTGGTAACACTTTATTCCAAAAGGATTTATAAATATATAGTTAATAGCTTATAACACACTATAACATATCTGCAAACAGAGGTAAGGTCTTTTAAAGTTGTATTGTTGAATTCAATACTAGATTTAACCCAGGATGCTGGTGTATAAGCAGATGAATACTGGCATTATAATATTACACTGTTGTAAATACATATTATTTTTCTTAATAGGAGAATATATACCTGTTGATTATAATCTTACAAACACAAAGAATAATTTTAACTACATCATAATGTGTTATATAGTTTCTTATATGTTAACATACTGCTTATACATCATAAATTGGGTGTTACCAAACCTTTTGTGAAATATTTTGTATGCGATTGACATGCTTTTTGTGCATAATGAAAGACTGCTGCTTTGAAAGACACACTTTTCTGAAGTGAGGGGTAAGGTCATAGATGACGTCACTCTTCCTTAGATTAGTTGGATGTTGGGTTTCTTCCTGGGACTTTGACTCGTTTGTTTGCAAAGACTGTTGTCGTGTTGTTTCATTCGATTTGTTTCCAATGTTGAAATAACGTCATGTATCCAAAAACCACTTCCCTATCTGATTGATGTATTCTCTCTTTACCAGGTACAGAAGCTAGATAGAGATGTAGAAGAAGATCTTAAGGGTTGGAGAGAAAGAGGAGGGAGAGAGAAGAAGATCAAAACCAAAGAGGGGAGCCATAGTGAACCAACCATTAGAAGAAAGACGAGAAAATACAGGAAAACTTTTAAAAAAAACAATAAAACCTGTCAAAAAAAATCTACACAAACATAGCCTCCATTTAAAGGGAGGAGATTTGACTCAACCGAAAGGAAGTACCCATGGCGCAGTATTCAAATATTTAAAATTTTATTCTCAGAAAAAAAAGTATGTATTGAAAGTGATTTTTTTTTGTTAAACTTGGATATTCTCAGCTGTTGTGTTTCTGTGTCCTCTGTCCATTTTCATATGATTGACTTTCCAGCTCATTTCTTTTATTCTAGTCCTTCGTTGCTCGTGTCTCGTGCAGCCTCCCTCCTTTGGCTGGGCTTTGTACAGTGTGCTGTAGGGTTGCAAAATGACTTCATATGGGCAGAAAAGCCACGCGCCTTCGGGCGCCAGCACTCTACGGGCTCCATGCGGTTAGCGGACTCCGTTGGAGGTCTCGTGACGTCAAAAATGGGCACGTCCACTTAGTCACAACACTTGTGGTCTTATATATTGTTTACGTGATAAGCTGCAATAAAATGATGATTTCCAACTCATGTGCTTGTATTGTGGAGAGCATTTTTTATTGATCCTTAAAATACCCATACAGAGGATTTCCTTTCTATCTGCACGGCAGGCGGCACAGGGTCTCACATAAGCAACCTCAAACAAATCTTTTCTTTTGGTATCTAGCTTCTGACAGGATCTCTGCCTTTTGACTGCTGCACAGTGTCAAATATGTCTTTGGTTTGAAGAGTTTGGGGAAAAAAAACAAACCCGTTAGATAAGGTCTCTAAATGGTATGTTGACCCCCTTCATCTGCTTTTCATAATCTTCATCAAACATCTTGGATTGCTCGGGTGTAAAATGGTTTCTCCAATCACCTACTTCACCTGTTAAAGACACGAGATGCAGCACAGTGTTAGATACACGAATCAGACATTATTCATGCTGTAGGTGGAAAGAAATATCAGTGGAAAATATCCGGCGCTGATGCCTTTAAATAGTCCAAAACTTAAAGAAACTTTGACTAATAGACTACAGGAAGAAGACAAACATGGCTGATTAACCGATCAATTAATCAACAGATGCTTTAAGCTATATTGAGCATATATTTTCGTATTCTATGGAAAAGAAGAAAAAAACAAGCAATAGCAAGAAACCCTGGAGCCTCTAGGCGGCACCACAGTACCGTTCTGAGTCGATGAGATGCAAAACAATGACACGATTTCCTCCTCTGTGTGACGCTGCTGTTCATTTGTCCGGAACTGGTACATTTCCAGCTCTTTTTTTTCTGTTTGAATTACTTTAAATTAGGATCTTGCTTGTGGACGCACCTTTTCTCATGAAGGGAGAGATGGACTGATCAAAAACCGGCGGCGGGACGCAGGAGTAGTTGGTCATCGGGTTCTCCTTCATGTTCTTAAAGGACGTGAGCTCCACAATCCGGCTGATGACCTCATCAGAGACGGACAGGTCCAGGTACCTCATGATGCGCTCCACCTCACGCCGAGGATTCTGAGAGGATGGGGGGGGGGGGGGGGGGTTAAAGAAAAGGGTACGAGGATGTTGTGCGGCATGGTCGGTGATACTGAATCTGTTTATTCTCTGCACCTCTTTCATGTCCTCATAGAAAAGGTAAAGAATGTTCCTCTTCTCTCTCTCCGCCCAGTAACCTTTGACATGGTCGTACCAGGAGCCCCACGACACTGCAGAGACACAAGTGCTTCATGTCTTCCACGCACCAGTACTCCCACTTTAAAGGGTTACTTCAGTTAGGATAGTGTTAATAAATGTACTTATCATTATAGATCAACTATAGTTTATTGAGTTTTGGGTGACTTTTGGGCTCCATGGTTAAGGTTAAGACAATCATTGAGGCTTTTATTTTGAAATGATGGAATTGGGTGGTTGGGGTTGGAGACAGAATGTTTGTCCTTCAAACTATTACAGTAATAGGCCTCATCACAAACAATTCAGTAAGAATTCCTTCCACGGGGGTTGTATTTTGAAATGGCATCGGGAGAGGGGGGGTGGAAAGAGAGGAGGATGAAGGGAGAAATAGAGGGGAGGAAGGGAGAAAGAGGGGGAGAAAGAAAGAGGGTGAGGAAGGGAGGGAGGAAGGGAGAGAGAAAGAATAGCTGCGTTCTGTGACTCCACTAATCAACTATCATGGATTAGCTGTGTGACACAAACTGACACACTGCAGTGTGTGTGCTGGTATCCACGGTAACAGAGCACCTGCTCAAAGGACAGAGACAGAACAGCGAGTTACACAGAATCCACACCTCAAACAAGTGTCCTCTAGCACAAAACTATAACGGCTATCTAAAAAATAAGGTGATTTTGAGAGACCAAAGACTCTAACAAACGCGACCATGTGTTTTATATGTCTGTCCGGTAATAAATACGGCTCCTGTGGCAGTTTACAAAACGTGTACCTTCTGGATTTTTGAGAAATATGTGATATTTTATATTGGAGCCTATGGGGCTTTTGGCAGAGGTTGTGTCACTTTAACACTCCTGAAGCTAAAACTAAAGAACTCTGGGATTCCATGAACACATCAATCCAATCAGCGCAACCATGCCATCATTAATCCAAAGAAATGAAGCCTCAAAAGTGTATACTTTGGCTGTCAGGAGAGAAGTTCCATATTTTTTTAACCAGATTCTGACGCTGCCCCGCACTCTAAATCTTCAGCTCTCACTCTAACAAATGCGATACACACTCATGTAAAACTCAGAAACGGACCGGAGAACAAGTTAAAACATAATCAGTGATTATAAAAAAAGTAGAATAGATATCAACAAGCAGTTTTTTCATTAAATAGTTGAGACTTGTGTTAAAATTTGATTTAGTTGAGTTGAAATGGTGTCTGTAGCTGAAAGATTGACGAAGCTGAAAAATGTGAAAGTTGAAGAAGTTTTTTGAGGATTTGAAAACGAACTCCAATGGAAAACAATGTTAAAATATTAATGATTATTAATTTATATCAATTCAATTATAAGAGACTGAAAGCTGAAAAGTCATAGCAGAAATTTCCTGAAGGTGCTGAACATTTTAATATTCGAACGGTTTTATTAGCTGAAAGTGTGAAGAAGTTGAAAGGTGCGGGGGAAGAAATGGAATAAGTTGGAATAAAGATTCGAAGAACAATACTTGGAATTCTTAATGCATTTCAACAAAAAGAAAAAACAGTTTGAACCAATGAAAGAGGAGACTCAGGAATGTGATTTAATCTACTTACACTCTCCATGCATGAACTTGGAGATGTAGCCCTCCCAGGGCCCCGGCTCCGGCTGGGCCTTATTCATACAATCAAAGTGGAAGTAGCTGACCAGGTTGTCTTTGGCGTTGCGTGACACGTAGATAACCTTCACATACAACGAGTCACATCAAAAGGGATTTACAACTTAATGAAACGGTTTCATGTTCGTATTGTTGAAGATTTACTGCATTCATGTGCACCTCGTCAGGATTTTACCTTGCACCTGTTCTCCCAAAATCTTGTCGGCACCAACTGAAAAGGAAGATGTGTCTTGATGATCCTTGGAGGATCCGTATTTTTCAGATAATCAAGACCTGAGAAAACTAAAACGTAGATATGAAAGTTTAAACACACTTGTTACGCACTCAAATCCCAGACCCACAGAGATAACGACCTTGACATTGACTTAAAGCGGGAACAACATTAGTTACTCATTCGCCTTAGAACAAATATCGGTTAAACCGAGACGATGCCATTCAAAACCTTCTGTTGACACAGAATAGGACAAGAAGCGGGGCGCGTTTGCTGCTTCGGTGGTCAAATGCAGTGTTTTCATGGTGTAGAAACATGTTTGCATTGAATGCAGTCACCGACAGGAACTAAAGAACGGAAGGGAGCACCCACATTCAGACATGCCGAAAGGACCCACAGCTGGCAGATGAGACCAAGACGGTCAGCTGGCTGCGTCGATGGCACAGGTTCAAACACGGTAAGCTGAATACACACACCTGAGGAGGTGGGAGGGGGGGAGAACATCTCCAGGAAAGGACTGCGGACGGGGGTCGGGGCTCGTTTGCAGGCCTCGGCGTCTCCATTGTGAAGAAGCAGGTCGACTATCTCCTGCGTCCACGTGGTCCCTTGTGTCCCCAAAACATCAAATTGAGACTGGGTTTTATAAATAAGGTTATTTGCACTTTTTGAACAAAACCAGTGTGAGGAAAAATCCCATTTTACAGACACCAAAGTAATCATATGACTTGAGTGAAAATAGAGAAAACAAAGAAAGCTTTGGCTCAAGTCCACTTGGGGGCTTTTGTGATGCAGTATGAATACATGTGACCATTTTACACACATTTCCAACTCCAAAGATGCATGATATTTATTACTTGTCTGAAGAAATCCGCATCAATATGAATGTTAACCCTGAGGAATGGCCGCAGGTTTGCTTGAAATCATTTAGTTGTTGTACATTGTCTTCTGTACTTGACAACACTATGAAAGTACTCCATTGTGTTGAACCCATTGTCCTCTCTTAAATGGAAGAGTAAAGCTATAAAGCTTCAGGATATTCAAACACTCAACAAACAGTCAAGCTTGTTAACATTTCACCTTAGCTGCCAACTCACTAATAATACACCAAATATCACAAAGAACTGAATACTGTCAGGATCATCCATCTCACAATACACACACCTAGACCAGAACTAAAGTACCTGCTTTGGGGTAGGCGGCGATCAGGAGGTCCGAGGGGTCGGGACAGAAAGCCCAGATGGTGTCCCAATTGTTGGCGATGCTGCACATGAGCGGAACTCCTCTGACCGGGATGAGAGGGAAGCGAGAAATGGAGCCGCTTACCCTCAGAACAGCTTCACTGAAGGACACAAGCTCTTCTTTCTCCGACATGACGGACGCGGTCGGAAGTCGAGTCAGTCGAGGAGACCGAGCGCCAGGAGCCCACGTCGTTTTAATGGAACAACGGGTGCGGTCGGTGCCTCCTGGGGTCTCGTCTTCAGAGTGCCCGTGCTCCAATTGTCTGCAAATCTCTATTTGCTTGATTAGTATTTAATGAAGCGGTTTGTTCCTTTTGATGCCTTCTGGTCTCCAGCCGCGATCCTCTCCAACATCTAAATGAAGGAGGCCCCAGCTGGAAGTGCTTCAGTCATATGAGATGTGTTTAAAGTAACCAGACAAGCATCATATATACGAGGACATAATAACAGCTAACACCGGTCCCGCTGCTGTGAGGGCATGCCCTCTGTGAATCTTTTACAGAGTCAGGATGATCTGTTCTCTTCAGGTAATAATTAAAGAGAGATAGCAGCACACAACAAATATATGTTGAAAAGTACTTACTTTTCTTATATTTTATGTTCACTTGTTTCAATGTTTTTGTTGGACATATAATCTTCATTGAGTGACAAATGTTCACCTTCGGACAGCCGGTATTTGGTGTGAATATAAGTTTACACCTTTTTTTCAAAAGATTAGATCAAAGCAGATTCAAGGATTCAAGAAAGTCGCCCCATGTGAGAACAAAATGTTTATTTACATGACCTAATTAGTGAAGGATGCTTGAATGAAATGGTACATAATCGATTGTATCGATACTTAGAAACTGCACATTGGATTAAAGTACAAAAACGGTATGGATGTGTGTTTGTTTGTTCGTTTTTTAGCACTTTAGACACGTTAAACGTTACTCCATTCAGTCTGCCTGTCTGTGACGTCATCAGTACACAGCGGCAGCCGCGCGAAACTCTGAACAACAACAACACACAGCGTGGAGGAGACGACTGCGAGCAAGACTTTTACAAACTAACTTATCGATCCAGCGTGTGGAAACATTTTGGCTTTTGCAAACACGGAGGTGTTCTAAATAAGTCGGTCGCTGTTTGTAGAATATGTAGAAGCCAAATAAAAAACCACAGAAACACGACGAATCTTTCCAGCCATCTACTAAGGCGCCGTGGGATTAAACAACGCCGACAGTCAGGCCCCTCTAGCAGCGTCACCGCTGCAGCAGCAGCAGGGAACTCCAGCTCTGCAGACGCCTCAGGCCTCGCCAGCACCAAACTCAACATCACAGTAACAATTGCCAAGTTTAGCTGTAAAGACGTGCGACCCTACGATGTGGTTGAAAATCCGGGATTCTGTGAATTGATCCAAACATTGTGTAATTATTGTGTAATGTTTACATTGAAAATGGCACTTGATTCAAATAAAAGGTTAATACATTTGCCATTAATTGTTGTTTCCTTGTTTATAATATCCATAATTAATTTAAACCTGATTTCCTTACAAGAAACAACAGGGATGTCTTTGCCTGCACTGTCCAGTAAAGTTACTGAACCGATTTCAAGTCCATGAATCGAATCGGCAACCATGAATCGCGATTCGAATTGAATCGTTGTTAAAATGAATCTTTACACCCCTAGTAGACAGTGTAACAATAGACAACAAGACAGCAGTGCACAAGTAATAAAATAAAGTAAAATGAAACGCTAATGCAATGGGTTAGTAGAATAAGGCTATGGGTTAGTATAACACAAGGGAATAAAGTTAAAGTTAAAAATGTAAATTATTAAAAAAGTTAAAAAAAATATTAAGCATAAAGTGCACTAGCGAACAAGTAACAAAGTGACAAGTGACGATAAAGTGAAAAATTACAGTTAAAGTGACATGTGCAGTATGAAGCAGAGTGACCGGTGGAATGTCGTAGTCAGTCAGTGGGGGACCGGGCTCTGTTGATGAGCCCGACTGCCGACGGGAAGAAACTGTTCGTGTGGCGGTCTTAGTCCTGATGGACCTCAGCCTCCTGCCAGATGGAAGGGGCACAAACAGGTTTTGTCCAGGGTGAGAGGGGTCGGCTACGATCTTTTTAGCTCGCTTCAGAGACCTGGAAGCGAACAAGTCCTGCAGGGACGGCAGATTGCAGCCGATCACCGTCTCCGCAGAGCGGATGACGCGCTGCAGCCTGTCCTTGTCCTTGGCTGTGGCTGCAGCGTACCAGGCGTTGATGGAGGAGCAGAGGATGGACTCCATGATGGCCGTGTAGAAGTGGACCATCATCGTCTTTGGCAGGTTGAATTTCTTGAGCTGCCTCAGGAAGAACAACCTCTGCTGAGCCTTCTTTGTGATGGAGCTGATGTTCAGCTCCCACTTGAGGTCCTGGGTGATGATGGAGCCCAGGAAACGGAAGGGGTCCACAATAGTGACGGGGGAGTCACACAGGGTAATGGGGGAAGGTGGGGCTCTGTTCCTCCGGAAATCCACAACCATCTCCACTGTCTTTAGAGCGTTGAGCTCCAGGTTGTTCTGGCTGCACCACGACACCAGATGGTCAGACCCACCTGTAGGCGGACTCGTCCCCACCAGAGATCAGTCCAATGAGGGTGGTGTCATCCGCAAACTTCAGGAGCTTGACGGACTGGTGACTGGAGGTGCAGCTGTTGGTGTACAGGGAGAAGAGCAGAGGGGAAAGAACGCAGCCTTGGGGGGAACCGGTGCTGATCGTCCTGGAGGCTGAGACATGTTTCCCCAGCTTCACGTGCTGCTTCCTGTCAGACAGGAAGTCTGTGATCCACTTGCAGGTGGAGTCAGGCACGTGCAGCTGGGAGAGTTTGTCCTGCATCAGAGACGGGATGAGGTTGTTGAAGGCAGAGCTGAAGTCCACAAACAGGATCCTGGCGTAGGTTCCTGGGGAGTCCAGATGCTGGAGGATGTAGTGGAGGGCCATGTTGACAGAATCGTCCACAGACCTGTTGGCTCTGTAGGCGAACTGCAGGGGGTCCAGGAGGGGGTCGGTGAGGGACTTCAGGTGGGTCAGGACTAGCCGTTCAATAGACTTCATGACTACAGAGGTCAGGGCGACAGGCCTTTAGTCATTGAGTCCTGTGATCCTGGGCTTCTTGGGAACAGGGATGATGGTGGAGGCCTTGAAGCAGGCTGGTACGTGGCATGTCTCCAGGGAGGTGTTGAAGATGTCAGTGAACACCGGAGACAGCTGGTCAGCACAATGCTTCAGGGAGTGAGGGGAAACGGAGTCCGGTCCGGCTGCCTTACAGGGATTTTGTCTTTTAAAGAGCCGGTTAACGTCTCTCTCCAGAATAAAGAGGGTCGTTGCTGGTGGGGGAGGGGAAGGAGATGTAGATGTAGAGGCGTAAGCACCTGATGGGCTGGGGGGGGAGGGGTGGGGGACTGCGGCAGGTTGGTGGCGCTGTGGGGGATGGGATCAGGACATTGTCTTTCGAATCTGCAGTAGAACTCTAAACTAAATGCCTGATCCTTCTGCAGGCGTAGTGTTCTGAGTTCCGCTGTGAACCAGGGTTTGTCGTTGTTGTAACTCACCCTGGTGCATGATGGTACACAGCTGTCCTCACAGAAGCCGATGCAGGAAGTTACAGCCTCTGTGAACTCATCCAGACTGTCAGTAGCAGTCCTGAAAACATCCCAGTCTGTGCAGTCAAAGCACGCCCGAAGATCCTCCAGCGCCTCACTGGTCCAGTTCTTGAATTCCCTCACCACAGTAACACAAAGTTGTTAAATAATATGAATCTAAATCTAAATGTTAACCGTAAATCTAAATGTTAAATCTAAATCGAAATGTTAAATGTTATATCTAAATGTTAAATATAAATCTAAATGTTAAATCTAAATGTCAATACAATCTGTCGCGCAAACTCCCCTTGACCGGACCATCGCCGAGGATTTCTCTGCGCGCCCGTAGCCTTCGTTACAGAGTCCTTCGTTGCTCGTGTCTCGTGCAGCCTCCCTCCTTTGGCTGGGCTTTGTACAGTGTGCTGTAGGGTTGCAAAATGACTTCATATGGGCAGAAAAGCCACGCGCCTCCGGGCGCCAGCACTCTACGGGCTCCATGCGGTCAGCTGACTTCGTTGGAGGGCTCGTGACGTCAGAAATGGGCACGTCCACTTCGTCACAACACTTGTGGTCTTATATATTGTTTACGTGATAAGCTGCAATAAAATGATGATTTCCAACTCATGGGCTTGTATTGTGGAGAGCATTTTTTATTGATCCTTAAAATACCCATACAGAGGATTTCCTTTCTATCTGCACGGCAGGCGGCACAGGGTCTCACATAAGCAACCTCAAACAAATCTTTTGTTTTGGTATCTAGCTTCTGACAGGATCTCTGCCTTTTGACTGCTGCACAGTGTCAAATATGTCTTTGGTTTGAAGAGTTTGGAGGGAAAAAACAAACCCGTTAGATAAGGTCTCTAAATGGTATGTTGACCCCCTTCATCTGCTTTTCATAATCTTCATCAAACATCTTGGATTGCTCGGGTGTAAAATGGTTTCTCCAATCACCTACTTCACCTGTTAAAGACACGAGATGCAGCACAGTGTTAGATACACGAATCAGACATTATTCATGCTGTAGGTGGAAAGAAATATCAGTGGAAAATATCCGGCGCTGATGCCTTTAAATACAGGAAGAAGACAAACATGGCTGATTAACCGATCAATTAATCAACAGATGCTTTAAGCTATATTGAGCATATATTTTCGTATTCTATGGAAAAGAAGAAAAAAACAAGCAATAGCAAGAAACCCTGGAGCCTCTAGGCGGCACCACAGTACCGTTCTGAGTCGATGAGATGCAACACAATGACACGATTTCCTCCTCTGTGTGGCGCTGCTGTTCGTTTGTCCGGAACTGGTACATTTCCAGCTCTTTTTTTTCTGTTTGAATTACTTTAAATTAGGATCTTGCTTATGGACGCACCTTTTCTCATGAAGGGAGAGATGGACTGATCAAAAACCGGCGGCGGGACGCAGGAGTAGTTGGTCATCGGGTTCTCCTTCATGTTCTTAAAGGACGTGAGCTCCACAATCCGGCTGATGACCTCATCAGAGACGGACAGGTCCAGGTACCTCATGATGCGCTCCACCTCACGCCGAGGATTCTGGGAGGATGGGGGGGGTTAAAGAAAAGGGTAAGAGGATGTTGTGCGGCATGGTCGGTGATACTGAATCTGTTTATTCTCTGCACCTCTTTCATGTCCTCATAGAAAAGGTAAAGAATGTTCCTCTTCTCTCTCTCCGCCCAGTAACCTTTGACATGGTCGTACCAGGAGCCCCACGACACTGCAGAGACACAAGTGCTTCATGTCTTCCACGCACCAGTACTCCCAGTTTAAAGGGTTACTTCAGTTAGGATAGTATTAATAAATGTACTTATCATTATAGATCAACTATAGTTTATTGACTTTTGGGTTAAAAAGTTGTGAAAAATCCCTTTTTTGTGAGCTCATTAATCACTGCTGAACAGTTAATCCACTCACCTTTTGGGAAAAGGGCTGCAGGGAATCTGGACCAAAGTCCATTTATTAAAAAACTGAACGTATTAAAAGGTTTCTAAAAGGCATACTTAACTTTTAATTACAACACCTACATTTTTACAGAAGATCCAAAGATTAAAGAGCTGAAGAAGCACAATGTGTGCAGCAGGTTTAAAACCAGATTAAGGGATTTCTCACAATCGAGAAACCCAACTGAGTTTATTATTTGTGTCTCGCCACTGTTGTGTAAGGCGTCTGCAAACTTTGTTAACTTTTCCAAATTCCAATGGGTCCCAAAAGAACATTTAAAATGCGGCTACAAAGTAGCAGGCAGTGGTTTGCCAGCAATCGGACACCAAAGCAGAGAGTAATTATAAAATGAGACCAAATTATCTTCAGTCTGCAGCCTCGCAGGGCGCTGCTACTCCCGTCGTGGCCACTGAGGCCTGATAAGTGTCTCACAGGGAAAACCCCCGACCTTAGGAAACCTTTTGTAAGGTTTCATGGTATTCCGAAGTCACCAGACACGTTGACATTCCTAAATGTGTTCAAATAGCCCTCATGGCTGCAGTGGGTAAATGTACAAGTGTGGCGGTTATTTCTCAACTCAGCTCAAATCTCTGTGCAAACAGAGAGAAAAAAAAGAAAAAACAGTTTGAACCAATGAAAGAGGACACGCAGGAATGTGATTTAATCTACTTACACTCTCCATGCATGAACTTGGAGATGTAGCCCTCCCAGGGCCCCGGCTCCGGCTGGGTCATATTCATACAGTCAAAGTGGAAGTAGCTGACCAGGTTGTCTTTGGCGTTGCGTGACACGTAGATAACCTTCACACGCAACGAGTCACATCAAAGGGGATTTACAACTTAATGAGGTGGTTTCATGTTCGTATTGTTGAAGATTTACTGCATTCATGTGCACCTCGTCAGGATTTTACCTTGCACTTGTTCTCCCAAAATCCTGTCGGCACCAACTGAAAAGGAAGATGTGTCTTGATGATCCTTGGAGGATCCATGTTTTTCAGATAATCAAGACCTGAGAAAAACAAAACGTACATATGAAAGTTTAAACACACTTGTTACGCACTCAAATCCCAGACCCACTGAGATAACGACCTTGACATTGACTTAAAGAGGGAACAACATTAGTTACTCATTCGCCTTAGAACAAATAGCGGTTAAAGCGAGACGATGCTATTCAAAACCTTCTGTTGACACAAAATAGGACAAGACGCGGGGCGCGTTTGTATGGAATGCCGTTTTAGTCAAAATTAAATAAATGAATAAATACATCAATACATGAAATATGCATTTGAAATACATCATGAAATAAGTAAATGAGGCAATAAATAAATAAATATTATATACATTTAATTATTTCATGGTACCTTTATTTCATAATGCCACTTTTCATTTATGGTACTTTTATTTCATAATGCCACTTTTCATTTATGGTACTATTATTTCATAATGCCACTTTTCATTTCATGATATTTTTATTTCATAATGCCACTTTTCATTTCCAGAGTCTTTTATTTCATAATGCCGTTTTACATTTCACGTTCTTATATGAAATAAATTTGAAATAAAAGACTCTGGAAATGAAAAGTGGCATTATGAAATAAAAGTACCATGAAATGAAAAGTGGCATTATGAAATAATAGTACCATGAAATAATTAAATGTATTTAATATTTATGTATTTATTGCCTCATTTATTTATTTCATGATGTAATTCAAATGCATATTTCATGTATTTATTCATTTATTTAATTTTGACTAAAACGGCATTCCATACGTTTGCTGCTTCGGTGGTCAAATGCAGTGTTTTCATGGTGTAGAAACATGTTTGCATTGAATGCAGTCACAGACAGGAACTAAAGAACGGAAGGGAGCACCCACATTCAGACATGCCGAAAGGACCCACAGCTGGCAGGTGAGACCAAGACGGTCAGCTGGCTGCGTCGATGGCACAGGTTCAAACACGGTAAGCTGAATACACACACCTGAGGGGATGGGAGGGGGGGAGAATATCTCCAGGAAAGGACTGCGGACGGGGGTCGGGGCTCGTTTGCAGGCCTCAGCGTCTCCATTGTGAAGAAGCAGGTCGACTATCTCCTGCGTCCACGTGGTCCCTTGTGTCCCCAAAACATCAAATTGAGACTGTGTTTAATAAATAAGGTTATTTGCACTTTTTGAACAAAACCGGTGTGAGGAAAAATCCCATTTTACAGACACCAAAGTAATCATATGACTCGAGTGAAAATAGAGAAAAGAAAGAAAGCTTTGGCTCAAGTCCGCCTGGGGGCTTTTGTGATGCAGTATGAATACATGTGACCATTTTACACACATTTCCACCTTGAAAGATGCACATAAATTAGGATTTTAAGTAATTTTGGTTCCTATTTATTACTTTTCTGAAGAAATCCACCTCAATAGGAATGTTAACCCTGAGGAATGGCCGCAGGTTTGCTTGAAATCATTTAGTTGTTGTACATTGTCTTCTGTACTTGACAACACTATGAAAGTACTCCATTGTGTTTAACCCATTGTCCTCTCTTAAATGGACGACTAGAGCTATAAAGCTTCAGGATATTCAAACACTCAACAAACAGTCAAGCTTGTTAACATTTCACCTTAGCTGCCAAATCACTAATAATACACCAAATATCACAAAGAACTGCCCTGTCCACCTAGACCAGAACTAAAGTACCTGCTTTGGGGTAGGTGGCGATCAGGAGGTCCGCGGGGTCGGGACAGAAAGACCAGACGGAGTCCCAATTGTTGGCGATGCTGCACATGAGCGGAACTCCTCTGACCGGGATGAGAGGGAAGCGAGAAATGGAGCCGCTTGCCCTCAGAATGGCTTCGCTGAAGGACAGCTCTTCTTCCCCCGACATGACGGACGCGGTCGGAAGTCGAGTCAGTCGAGGAGACCGAGCGCCAGGAGCCAACGTCGTTTTAATGGAACAACGGGTGCGGTCGGTGCCTCCTCCCGTCTTCAGAGTGCCCCGTGCTCCAATTGTCTGCAAATCTCTATTTGCTTGATTAGTATTTAATGAAGCGGTTTGTTCCTTTTGATGCCTTCTGGTCTCCAGCCGCAATCCTCTCCAACATCTAAATGAAGGAGGCCCCAGCTGGAAGTGCTTCAGTCATATGAGATGTGTTTCCTTTTGCCCTCTTTCTATCTTTGCAACCTGGCTGGGTGCTCGTACCCGGTTCTCCTCTGTCTGCGCTCACTGCAACTTTCACAGGCAAGCCTATAAGCGCCCTTACGTAACATTCCCAGTTACGTATGAATTCCACTTTTTCAGAGCATATCTAAATGGCTTGTTCTGTAATGTGATCCGGGGACGAGGGAGGATCTTAGAAAAGCCCTAAAGAACACAAGGAGGCCGACTGCAGCCACACACAAGGAGTACAAAAGACTGTTTGAACAACAACACTCATGAAGCTGGAATTTGTGTCAGCGTTTGCAAAAAAAAAAAAAAATGTAAGAGACACGTTTAAAGTTTCCAGCTAAAAAAACAACCTTTGGACGCAAACTTTTACAGCGCTACCAAAAAAAATAAATCCAAGGCCGAACAAGTAGCTTGACAGAGGTCGGCCCTTATCATTCAAATAGTTCCTTAAAGCAAAGTTTGGTAACACAAAGCAACAATGTTGAATCTTGTCTTTTTAAAAGCAGAAACTCAAACACACTTTTGCACTTAATTAAATGAAAACTGTAGGTGTACGTTACTGTAACAATAAAGACAGTTAACAATGAAATGATTACAACACGGATACTCTTTGCAGGGGAGTGCGTACAATACAATAACTTTGTTTGTCATGTACACATCCTCTGGATCCGATCGCAGCGTAGATTAGTGGACACAGCTGGAGCTGCAGACAGGAAGGACAATAAGAGAGACAACAGAGGGAAAAACAGAAGGGTCTCACGCTGGGATTTTTCCAAAGACACACAAATACAAGTTGTTTTAGAAGCTAAAAAGTGACGTTCACACACACACACACACACACACACACACACACACATCAGTTTACCAGCTTTCACTAGTTGGTTGATTTGGTGTCTCCTTTGGAATCTCACTGTCCGGACAAAACAAACAGGGGGCCGATGTTGCAAAACCACAAGTCTGCGTGGATTTGGGACTAATATCTATCCCTTTCTAAGTTGCTCTGATGCCAAATCCTAGTAGTTCTGTTCCCTAATGACGAGTTACTCTTTCTTTAGATTTCATACAAATATGAGGACACGTTAGCAGAGGCAACTTGCTTGTGATTGGCTGAAACGGTGAGAGGATGGCGACGTCAGCGGCATGACAAGTTGTTAGTGGGGAAATAGGGCATCATAAAATACATATGTCCTTTTTTACTTTTAATTAATATTGAACGCTTTAGGCTTTTATACGCAATAATAAAAAAAGTAACCAGACAGGCATCATATATACAAAGATCCATAATAACAGCTAACACCGGTTCCGCTGCTGTGAGGGCATGCCCTCTGTGAATCTTTTACAGAGTCAGGATGATCTGTTCTTTTCAGGTAATAATTAAAGACCTTGGAGATAGCAGCACACAACAAATATATGTGGAAAAGTTCTTATTGCCTTAACTTTTATGTTCTCTTGTTTGATTTGTTGGACATATTATCTTTATTTAGTGACAGATGTTCACCTTCGGACAGCCGGTATTTGGTTTACACCTCTTTTTAAAAGATTAGATCAAAGCAGATTCAAGGATTCAAGAAAGTCGCCCCATGTGAGGCCAAAATTACATTTACATTACATTACATGTCATTTAGCGGACACTTTTATCCAAAGCGACGTACAATAAGTGCATTCAACCATAGGGTACAAACTCAGGAGAACAAGAAACAAGAAAGTGCAATTTCCTCAAATAAGCCAATTTACAATTTGGTATAGATGAGTGACGTTACAAGTACAATTGAAGTGCTACAATTTGTTAGTCTTTAGTCGAGGTAGAGTCTGAAGAGGTGTGTCTTTAGTTTGTGGTGGAAGATGTGAAGGCTCTCTGCGGTCCTGGTGTCTTCAGAGAGCTCGTTCCACCATTTCGGCGCAAGGACAGCGTGTGTTTTGCTCTCAGTGAGGGAAGGACGAGTAGTTTTGCAGATGCAGAGCGGAGAGTGCGGGTTGGGATGTCGGGTTTGACCATGTCCTGGATGTAAGCTGGACCCGATCCATTCACAGCATGGTACGTGAGCTCAGCTTTTCCCCCCCACTTGACTCATATGCAGCTCCACAAAACAGCTTTCTAATTGAAGTCATTTTTCAAATAACTTGGAAGCATTAAAGTCGACATGCAAACCCCACATTCAGCCAACTACATACTGTATGTATATATATATCAAATTATATACATTTTAGATTATTTCCATGTGTTTAGTCTATCTTTTTGTCTTTGTCTAATTTTCAAATAAATGAACTTCTTCACACATGCTTCTGACATCTATGGTTAGAAGAAAGGTTCCTCTCTTTTACAGGTTTTACGGCAGCGTCCTCGTAAGACCGGAAGTCCCATGACAGCTTCCTTAGCAACAAGGTGAAGCTCTCTAACGTGTGTGTAGTTACGTCAGCGTGTGTGTGCGGGAGCGAGATGCATCCACGGAAAATTGGATTGCTTATTTCATGTTTAACGCTGTATTTGTTTTATTATAAGCACTCGCACTTGTGATCGACGTAGCAGGAATAATTTCAGCTAAGCTAACGTTAGCTTGCTATCTGACCCGCTCACCGGGCTCACGGTGGACATCGAACGTTAGCTAACGTTAGCTGCTATTTCTCTTTGAGTAAATGCATTTCCGCCAGTGGTTTTGTTCCTTTCAGATATGCTTCTTCTCGTGTGGACGTTTAGTTCACGCGGCCACAGGTTCAGGGGTCACTTCGACCCTCATTCCGAGCTCCGTTGACGGGGAGCCTTTCAGCTCAGCGACCCCTGCTGCGGGGGCCCCGGCGGCCGTGGACGTCACCAGTGTCGGCCCCACTGAGGCGTCCACTGAGCACTCGACCCTCACCGCCAACCTGGACTCCACCCTGGGCTCCACCCTCACCTCCAACCTGGACTCCACCCTCACCTCCAACCTGGACTCCAGCCTCACCTCCAACCTGGACTCCACCCTCACCTCCAACCTGGACTCCAGCCTCACCTCCAACCTGGACTCCACTCTGAGCTCCATAGCAACCACGCCGCTGACTGCGTCCGTTGCCGCCTCTGAGGCGCCCCCCGCGACCCCCGTCCTGCCTCTGGTGACGTCAGAGGGTAATTTACAGAACACCTGTGTCTTTTTGGGATGTTTTGTGTTTCCATCCAGTCTTTCGGGTTGTGAGGCCGAGGGAGCCTCTGGATTCATGATGCTGTTGTTTTAAAGGTTGCCTCTGTGATTTAACGCCGGATTTCTGTGACATCGGTTGCTGCTGCGACACGGTTGATTGTGGGATTGCGAATTTGAGTGCTGTCTTCACTGGATGTCCACAAAAAGTCATGTAAGTCAGCTGCTCTAAAGTAAACCGCACACGAAGCTGTTTACAACACTTGGGTATTTTATTTGACAGGTTGGGCGTTTGCATTGAGAAATGGCTGATGTTCACGGCTAATGTGGATTCGTCCCTCGTCACCGTCACTGACTCCTTGTTTTGTGTCAGGCCCACGGGTAAGTAGAAGTAATCCTAATATAATCATTTGAAATCAATTAACCAATTATGTTTACCGTTACCAGGTAAATCACTAATTATGTCACAGTTCATTTTTATAACCGCAAAATTGAAGTATTCACAACTAATTCCATTGAACATCTGCATTACCCAACAGATAATGCAGCCCGGTCCCTCCGAGCTCCACCTCCGTATTTGGCTCTAGGGGACTCGTACCACTTCTCACCACCAGCGCCTACGAGCAGCAGCCACAGCAGAGGCTTCTACAGGGTACGGACCCTCTCCCGCCATTCAAAGGGAGGTTAAACTGAAGCGTACACTGTATCCGCGGTAGATTAAATGGGTAATAGAGTGGTTTTTGCAGGTCGATGACGTCATCCAGACATATTTCTCCAACTCCACCGTGCGGGGTCTCCTCCGCCAGCCGTCCCCGGGGGCTGCTGCGGCGTTCTGCACCAACGGCAACCCCGCAAGTGAGTTCCCACCAAATACAAATGTTCTTTTGTGTGTTTTTGCTGTTTGTGTTTTTTTCTTCTCTTCATAACAAACATTGTTATACTGTATGTGTAGTATATTGCATCTGTACGTGAAAACCAGATTAACCACTGTAACACCTTCGGTCTCCCTCTGCCTGCAGAGTTCTTGAGGTCCACCTCCCTGTCTTGTACCCGTGTGTTGACTCCTCAGTCGTGCGCTACAGATCCAAATCTCAACGCCGGTTCCTACTTCTCCGACATGAGCCTGATCAAGGTCCTAAAGCCTGCATGCGTGTATGACAACACATATCTCAGCGCAAAAAGGCTAACATCAATATCTTTGTTTACAGACTCCGATAGTGGAGACAGAACCGGTGTCAGACTTCCTGGTAAGTTAATGATTGTACATATTTAAAGCCATATATTATATAATGAGGAACACCTTTGTGTTACCACAAAACTTGCAAAACTCTTGTTTCAGATCCCAGTTTCTCCGTTGTCTGAATGGCCGGCACCAACTGAACAAAATGACTTGTGTGTCAATGTGGTTAAAAATGTAAGTTTATTACATCTATTTTATTTTGTCCTCTAAATGATTTACTATTCAGTCAAACTGACTTCTCCTTTTCCTTGATTCTCCCACAGGTGGAGTTTGTCATCAGATACACAGAAAGAGGGGATCTCACTTCTGTAACCGTGGACGTAGTCTTAGCTGATGTGGATCCAACTCAGTCGCTGTTGCAGACACACTCTGTTCAGTTTCAGGTAAGGCCACAGATTTGATCCCTGACTGAACCGATTCGAGCACGAAGATAAAGGCCATTTGTCTCCCCCAGCTGGCAGCACCCAGCTCGCCCTCGGGAGCCCCAATCCCCGCCGTTGGAATCCAAGTGGGATCCCCTGTGATCGGTCGCTTTGATGGAGCACCGCGGCCCGTATCCTTAGAAGCAACGTCGTGAACTTCGCTCGAAAGTCATCGTTTTGGTTTGACCAAGCTAGCTTGCGCCGCGGTTCCTTGACAGCGAGTCAGCTGAGCACACTGGGGGTGTCGCGGAGCGGGGAGTGTTCCTCTGAGCCCAGCGGACGAGCACCCGTCCTCTTTGCGCACAACGCCTTAGATGGCTGCACATTCAGGCGAGTACGCTACCCTGCGTCCCCTTTGTCATATAGTTATGACCATTGGTTTTACATGAAGAGTAGCTAATTAAAGCTTCCATCTGTCATTTCCCTTTTGCCCGCGTGCTGTTTAGCTCTGAATCCCGGAACTGCTCGGAGCTCCGGTCCCAGATCTACGGAGTCCTGCGGGGTCTCGCTGCTCCTGATGTCATCGCCATGAACTTTGGGTCCCAACCGGACTGGACGAGAGTCCTGACGCAGGAATGTCCGGTCAGCCTGCAGGTAAAGCTGAATCAGGGAGTTGCTTGTTAGGCTTTTTGAATGATCTGAAACGTTGAATTTATAAGCCTGTGTTACTTATTTGTTTCTCTCTCACAGGAAACATGTGAGTCCGGCTGCGTCCTTCCTAAATCTCTTTCTATCAGAGTACTGTGGGCCCGCCAGGGTCCCTTAGACCTCCCTCAGAACTACATCCTGGGTGCCAAATACCTATTCCGATGTCAAAGTCTCAAGGTAGACCGATAAAATACTTATTCAATATATTATTATTTTCAGTGCACCACACATCCTTTTATGAAAATGACCTAATCCTCTTTTTTTTTTTTTTTTCAGTGTCCTCTGTCGTCCCCTGTTCCCCTCACCACTGAGGTGACGTTTGTGGACATCACCCTCTACCCAGAACCCCCCCGGGGCTCGCCTCGGCCAGACTGGAGGTTTCCGTTTGGTTTCTTCTCTCGAGGCTCGGCGGAGCTGGACGGGCACGTTGTCGTTAGCGGCAGTGTCACTCAGGAGGTCACGTGGAGTTTCAAGCTGCTCGCAGCAATGTTACTAACAGGATTAGAATTCCTTATTAGTTAGTCGCATAGGAGGAGTTTTAAGGACTTCTTTTCTTGAGGAAATAGTTGTATATAAAAGCTGTTAATAAGTCATTTCTTTTGTTTTTTACAATATAAAGAGGTATTTTTCCCAAGTTAAAAAAAGATCCGTAATTTATTCTTTTGTACATACAGTTTTACAAGACATTGGACGGGTCGTATCGCTGAGGTTATGATGCATTCTTCGCCGACAGCTCGGCTCTTCTTGCCTCCATTTGGTTGTTTTTGTGTCTCAGCGCTCTCTTTCCTTTTTGTCCCGTGTGGCGTACGTAGTTGAAGAGATGGACGATTGCAGCTGGAGTTATTCCCTGCAAACGAGTAGCGGCACCCAGCTGGAAGAAAAGCAGGGTTATTTTTTTTTTTTTTTTGCAATAGCTCAAAAATGAAATGTATTCAAGAGTCCAAAAGAACAACATGTTATTTTTAAGCAACAAATACTCATTCTCACAGTGGTTGGTCGAACTTTGTCCAAAATCTCTCTGACCTCCTGAGACAGAGACACCGACAGGGAGAAATAGTCTATGTCCTGTGGGAGAGACATGTTCTCCTCCTTCTGGATTCTTTCAATTTCCTTCTTCTGTAGGTGGCAGTGAGGCCTGTACACAGCTGACAAACACAAGACACGTCTTACCGAGAAGGAAGGAACTATGTCAAACCAGCGTGAAATAACAATATTGAAGCAAAAGTTTTGAGGGTGCTTGGATCAGAAACCGTGTCTTCATCACTCAGTTGTCCCTCAAAATGCCCAAATATGTCATTTTACCTTCTATCTTGAGTCTTTGTGAGAATTCCACGTGAGGGGAAAGGATCTCTGGGAAGGCCGACGCCAGCGTCTCAAAGGACACGTCGTTGTACTGCAGCACCTCCATACCACTGGAAATGAAGGAGCATCGGGGTCAAAAGTCCACTCGGTTGGAACCGTCGCCGTGGCGATTCCACGTATTGGTCACTCACGTCAGCATGGTGTTCTTGGCCTCGCTCATACCCACGTCGGGCAGCCGTTTTCTCCAGTTGCGCGTGGACAGAGCGAGCGCCTGGAGGGCCGTCAGCGCGTCCTGCAAGCGGTCTCGAACTCGGACAGCCTCCTGGTAGCGCGAGGAGGAGACGCAGCCCACCTCCTCGAAGCCTGGCAGAGAAAACCATCCGTAAGAGGAGGAAGGATTAAAAAAAAAAAAACAAGCCAAAAGCAAAAGCAGACACTCCTTACCTTTCAGAGTCAGGCGGAGGTCGGCGTTGTCCGGCCGTAGGGAGGTTCGATACTCCGCCCGGCTGGTGAACATGCGGTACGGCTCTGTAACGCCGCGACTCACCAGATCGTCGATGAGAACTCCAATGTAGCTCTCCGTCCGAGACAAGGCCACCGTCGGCATGGAGAGCGCCAGGCGGGCAGCGTTCACCCCGGCCCACAGGCCCTGCAGACGGAAACAACAGCACGGCGGGGTCACAAAGCGGTTTAGTGTAACTTCTCTAAGTCATCAGGAAGCAGAAGGCTGCAGGTTGCGCCGCTAACAATACGTGCACGGTAAAAAAAGCTACCTGTGCAGCGGCCTCCTCGTACCCCGTTGTTCCGTTAATCTGACCGGCCAGGAACAGACCCTGGGTGCTCTTGACCTGCAGGGCGGGGCTTAGCTGAGTGGGGCACACAAAGTCGTACTGAACACCGTAGCCTGTGAAATGCAAGAACGCGGCACATTCAGAGCTGCCGTTTCCCCCGAAGCTCACTTATCTATGTACCGTAGATCAACTGTTGCTGTACCAGGCGTGTGGATCTCCGCTCTGTGCAAGGCGGGAATTTCTCTGATAAGACGGAGTTGCACGTCAGGGGGCATGGTCATAGACAGGCCCTGAGGGTACAAGAGGTCAGAGGTCACGCCCTCGGGCTCCAGCCACACCTGGTGCTGTCGGCCTGGGAAGCGAAGCACTCGCGACTCGATGGATGGGCAGTATCTGTGAGAGACCAGGACGGGTCATTTCTTTGGGGTTTCAGAACACACGGTCTGGTGTGTGTGTGTGTGTGCGTGCGTGTGCGTGCGTACCTGGGGCCCTTGGTGTCTTGCTGTATGTGACAGTTGAGGTGAAGACTCTCCCTCACTACTCTCTCCACACCAGGAGTAGTGTAGGTCAGGTAGCAAGGCAGCTGCTCTTCAGACTAAAAACAAGGAGGAATTAAAGTCAATTTGTAAAGTCCTTTTGTCGACCGAACAGAAAAATATCTCGACTGCGATTTCTAATTTCTTCCACGCGATTGAAACTAAGGCTGTTCCGTCGTTTCGAATGCAAACCCTACCTTGCAGTGCGTGCGTGTGTTGAGGAAGCTGAATGGAGTTGGATGGCTGTCGGGGGGATGGATTTTCGCCAGGGAAAAGTCCACCGACTCCTTCACAATCCTGGGAGGCGTTCCAGTCCGCAGTCGGCCTACCCGGAGCCCCAGCGTCTCCCTCAGGGTCTGTGATAGGCCGGGACTCGACGGAGCGTCGCCGATCCGGCCCCCGGGGGACTCGGTTTGGCCCATGAAGAGGGAGCCAGACAGGAAAGTACCGGTGGTGAGAACCACGGAGGCGGCTGAGATCGGGTGAACTTCATTTGCTGAAAAGTTGTCAAAAGAGGTGCAAAATCAACAAACGTCTAACGTGTTAAGGAAACAAAAACAAGATGCAAACCAGTTTGAGATGCTTTTTACTGGTTGGCACCTATTTTAATGGATCAAGTGTCACACGACAAACTCAAGCTTCTAGTCCTGATATTTAGTAGGAAATATACAGTGACTCAGTAGAAATATCAATGATCAGATTTACCAGATAAAGCTGCACAGAAAACAAAGTACAAAATAATTAATTACACGCGCGGCTTCATTTCAGCTGAGCGATAAGACGGGTAAAGACAAAGAAGCCATTATCTGTCAGAGCTAATAGACATCTTTATTTAAATCACAACCTTTGTTCCTTACCCAAACGTATCCCCGTGACTCTGTGCTGTCCAGACTCCTCTGGGTTCGGGTCGGACACCAGCAGCTCCTCCACGGAGCCCTCCAGCACCGTCAGCCCGGGAGTGGACAGCAGCTCGGACTAAAATGACAAAACCGCCGCCAGAAACACCGTTAACTCAAAAATCGAGGACAGAAAACACAGAAAAACAAACCACACCCGCGTTGAGGAAACCTGAATAAATTCCCGGTAGCGCTGCCGGTCCAGCTGGGCCCTGGGGCCCCACACAGCGGGGCCTTTACTACGATTCAGGATGGAGAAATGGATGCCAGCGTAGTCTCCTGCTCGACCGCACAGCCCGTCCAGCGCGTCGACCTCCTTCACCAGCTGGCCCTTCCCCACTCCGCCCAGAGACGGGTTACAGGACAGGGCCCCTGGAGGAGGAGGACAAAATGGGATTAGAATCTACATTGCACGAAGACAAATGTTTTCTTAAAGAGTAAACTGTCTTTCTCTCACCAATGGTTTGTATTTTCTGGGAGACCATGAGGGTCTTGGCGCCGACTCGGGCTGCTGCGGCCGCCGCCTCGGTCCCGGCGTGGCCCCCACCCACAACAATGACATCGTACCGCTGTCGGGCCAGGTGACTGGCACGTCTGGAAACCAGCGACAGAAAGCTCTGCAGGGCCGGAGGCTTCTTCGTCAACATGTGGCACGAGTACCTTTGGAGTCGGGGGGGTCAGGAATGTGGATTTTGGGAGTAATTAGAGCAGAACGCCGCAAAGCCGCTTTAATCTTCGGTCTGATTTAACAATTATTTTGATATTCAAACTGGTCTGAATGTTTTTTAACTACTGTAATTGACATGCATTAGAGACACGGTTCTTTAGGAAGGACGAACAATACTAAAAGCTGTAATGCCTTTAAGAGGGAGTGTTGCAATTAAATCAAAAAGCATAGTTTAACTTAAATTCAGTTCTACGGTTACTTTCCAGTGGCCAAACTGCATAACGTTTCTCCCATGTGTTGAACAGATATATTAATACCACATCATAAAAATACCATTTAGCAATAACATTACAAACGTCGTTTATTTTTGTTTAGGCTCAGAAGAATACAAGATGGACAGAATACTATATTTAATATATTATATATCAGTCAACACAACGGCTCCGTATTTCACGAAGGCACCTAACAAAAGTAACCAAATGAAGGTCTACTCACAACTTATTTAGAAGAGGACGAAGGAAACCTTAAATGCAATAAGCACATTGATCTAGGGCCAAACCGAGGTTCGAGGAGGGATGAAGATCCTTCGGACAGCAGATGCCGGCTATGTAACACAAACGCTCTCAACGGAGGCTGCCATGTTGTTTTCCGGCGTACAGCCGTAATGACTGGTGTACGGGCGCACTAGATCAGTTCGGTTTGCTTCGACTGTCCTTCAAAGTGCTGATGAATTCATGACTGAGATGAAAACACAAAGAAAGTAACAGAAACAGCCATATAAAGTCCGCGGGAGAAGCCGGAGGTCATGAAGTTAATAAATTAGTGCTTTTTAGGGAAAACCACATATGCGTCTTGTTTACCGACTGCCACGTGTGCAGTAAACATCACTCATTCTTGTTCATAACAGAGATCCCTCTGCCTGATAAAGTATCGATTTCAATGCACACATCCGTCCACGTACGCGCACTCACTAGTAGGTCAAATGCGCATGCGCACGTTAGCGCCCCCCTTGCACCGGGTTTCCAGTCAGCCGCGCGCGGACTGAGTCAAGTGAACCTACCGAGAGGTGGTGTTGACCGTCCGCAGCAGGTTTTCAGTAAGAAACCTGAGAAATCCAACTTCCTTAAGTAACTGACAGTAACGCCGAGGCCTTCATTTTCAACGGAAGGGTCAGCGGTGCCGCAGTCAAGGCGACGCGACAGAGAGAAGAAAGTAAATCCCGGAGGGAAAGCGACCGAAGTGAGCTTGAGGATCCAAGCTAATGCTAAGCTAGCTAGCCGTTGCTTAAGAATTAACACTCAAACTCGGGTCGTTTCACCCGTCGCTTGCTTCGACACAACGACTGTGGTTACAAGGTAGATAGTCAAGGCAAATTGTTAGCTTATATGTTACACTTAAACTAAATAGTGATGTGTTTTGCCTTCACGTTTTAGGCCACAAGCGACCCGTAGTCACTTAGCAAGAGTAGCGTTAGCTCAGTAGCCGGTCTTTTTGAGGTTAAACCGGCTCCGCGATCTACGGGACAGGTGATATTGCTAAAGATAGTTCGCTTTCAAAGCCACTTCACAGCGTGAAGTATCACTGCTTATAACTTAGCTTAACCTTACAATTGGTAGGGTCAACGCCTTTTGCTTTGCAATGCTGAAGCAGCAACCGGGCTCAGGCGGGAGAAAAGCGTCCAACGGAACATCGGGCCCCGTCGGTATGTCTCCCCCGGTCAGCGGCATCAACAGTGGCAACAGGGCACCGGCCGGGAGGTAAGCGGGCTGGGAGGGGGTTTAGTTCAGGATAGTCCGGGGATTGTCCTGTTACTTAAGAGGCCTACCGGTTAAGGCTCGGTGGGTGTGTCTCGGATGTAGCGTTCCCTCCAGGCCAATGGAACTAGTTCATGTTGGATTGATGGGGCCTGCGAACCAATAGGAATGCACACGTTGAAAAGTGAGGTTTATCCCGTCGGTGAAAGCGGTGAGACGCGAATCAGCATACATTGCTATTCAAAGTTTATCTGACCCCTTCGTGCCAGCGAAGACGCGTTGAGGATTGCATTTGCTTATAAGAAAGACTCATGCAAACAAAGTAACAACAACTATTGCGTTGTATTTATGTCCAGTAGCAGGTCGTGTGGTCAGAGATGTGTGTGAACTCTTGCCAGCTTAGCCCTAATCTTTGTTTTGTAACCGCTTGTGACGAGCACTGATAGCTTCCCTTTGGTGGCTTTTTAATTGGAGGGTGCACTTAGTATCGGGAGCGATCCCATCACGTTGACTCTAGTCAAATGATGAAAATATTGCTATGTGTTTGGAATATTGACCAATAGACGTTTTCTTTAAGATTGATGTAAAGTAGACATTCCTAGTTATTATACAGGCCAGCTCTGTATGTATACAGTACAGGCCTCAAACTAAGCGCGTCAACTTCTCTTGACTTGGCTATATATTTGTGTACATTTGCAGCGTGACGCTGCCGTGACAAGCTCTGAAAACATGTTGTACTGCTTTTGTGTCTAAGGAAAACAACATATTTGAACTGTTCTGTTTTCTGCAGGAATCGGACTTCTGTAAAGCCAACATTCCAGTCCCCTCCTGTGAGTATAGTGAGATCTACACTGTTTTACTTGGTAGTTAACAGATTAAACCTTGTGTTTTTTCTGGATGCATCACTGTGAGGTTGTTTTTATGTCATTGTGAAGCATCGCTTAATAGATACGTCCTACCCTTTCCCATCTGCAGGTGTTCGAGGGTGTGTACAACAATGCCAGAATGCTTCACTTCCTCACCGCTGTTGTCGTAAGTCATTCAATTTATCAATGTTGTACTCAGACCAAGATCTTTTCTCTTGATAATAAAAGCCGTACATGGTTAAAATGCCTTTTCTACATGCTGCTGCATTAATTAGTTGTTGTTGAGAGGCCGGCTCAGCATCCTGTGTCAAAGCAGCTACTGACAATAGGCAGTGTGCAACATATTTACAATCAATCTTTTTAACACTGTTGCTGTCTTCAGAGTATCTCTAATCTGCATAATTTATGACAAACCTTTCTGGTGACTTTCTCAGGGTTCCACCTGTGACATAAGAGTGAAGAACGGCAGTGTATTTGAAGGCATATTCAAGACACTCAGTTCTCGGGTAAGAAGCTTACATCATGTTTTTCCCTCCTTGCAATTTATTGAAGCACTACAAGTTGATTCTGTCACTGTAAAGGTAAACCCTTCAATGAAGACTACGTTGTTTTACGCCACCCCGTGTAGGCTCACATGTCCTCCAATGTCATCTTAATCGTTTGTTTGTAGTGCGAGTTGGCTGTGGACGCTGTGCACAGACGCAGCGAAGAGGAGAGCTCAACATCACTTCTGCCACGGAGAGAGGATATCACTGACACCATGATCTTCAACCCCTCAGACATTGTGACTATGATCTGCAAAGATGTTGACCTCAACTTTGCTACCAAAGGTTTGCGCACACACACACACACACACACAGACCTACACGTGACCTCGTAACCGGGGGCAGAGATCAAAAAGATGCAGACGTTTTTCACAGATCTCTAATGTATTTGAAGTTCCTCCTGGAAAAATTCATTGTGTTAAAGTTAACGTATGATTGTGTTCATCATTAGAGGGCCCCTTGATTGTAAATGCGTTTTGTTAGGTGAGTTTACTTTAACTGGCTCTTGAACTTAAGGGCCAACAATGGTACAGGAGAGCAAAATGATGCTGATCTGTAAACATCTGGCCAAATGAACACATACAAGAATTTTTATTTTTTTGTTTTGTCTTTCAGACACCTTCACGGACACAGCCATCAGCTCCACTCGCGTCAATGGTGAACACAAGGAGAAGGTTTTGCAGAGATGGGAGGGAGGAGACAGCAATGGAGAGAGTTACGATCTGGAAAACGATGCAGTGAGTCACTCAAGCAAAGCTAAACACCAACTAGTGGCCATGTCTGATTCTCAGCCATTTAATATGGAGAATGTCATTAACCTCTTTCTTATATTTCCAGTCCAATGGCTGGGATGCCAATGAGATGTTCCGTTTCAATGAAGTCAAATATGGAGTCACGTCAACATATGATGCCAGCCTTTCCATGTATACGTAAGTTTCCATAGAGCTTCATCGTGGAATGTTTCCTTTTTTAAACAACAGCGTCTAAATCTCATGTCTGAATATTCCTGACGACCTGATCATCAACATTTGTTCCCCGCTTCCTCCTGCTGTCTAGTGTGCCACTGGAGAAGGGCAACACCGACACGTTTCGTCAGAGGGAGGCGCGCGCCGCTCGCCTGGCCAACGAGATCGAGGCCAGCCCCCAGTATCGCCATCGCGTCGGCCTTGAAAATGATGAGGGCAAAAGCGAGGAGGACAAATACAGTGCCGTGGTGCGCGACGGCAACGACCGCGAGAGGGGTCGGGAGAGCCCCCGCGACCGAGAGCAGCGCGAAAGGGGCCGAGACAGCCCCGGGGCCAACACCAGGTGAGGGGGGAGGGGGTGTTTGTTTGTGCGGCCTGTAGAGAGGTACTGTCACACTGAGGAGATATCAGTGGGGTTGAACTGACCGTAATCTGTTTTCTGTCTCTCACAGGGATGGCAAATACATTCCATTACCTCAGCGACAGAGAGAGATGAACCGGGAGCGAGCCGAGCGAGGTCCCGGCGGGCCCCCGCCCCACAACCGTCTAAGCGGGGGTTATCGGTCCAACCCTGCGTCGTCCTCCTCCTCCTCCCCCAGAGCCCCACTGCCCTCCGCTGCTGGACCGCAGTCCGGCGCCTCCCCGTCAGAGAGAAACAGCCCCCTGTCGGGCCGAGGTGGAGCCTACCCGCCCCACCACCCCCAGGGGAGCCCGAGCCCCAACTCCGGCCCCGCCGGCCCGTACGCGCCGGCCCCTCAAGGAGGACCAGCGGCCTCGGCTTCCGCCGCTCCGTCGCCATCCAGCCCCCCTGCTCCCCACGGACACGGGGTCCCTCATTCCCACTCGCTGTCTGACACCGGGCGGCCCGTCAATGGAGGTACGTGTTAAACACGGTCAAAGTATTTCAACAGCATCCATGCGTGTTTTTAAGACGGAATTAATTGTGAAACATTTTTATTTCCTTTTAGTCTCTATGAGAACTTCTCCTAAAGCCCAAAGACCTCCACAGTCGGGCAGAACAGTCCGTACTTCGAACTCTCATGCTCAGTCCACAGGTACGTTCAGCCAGCTGCGGTTCCAAAGTCCTCTTCTATTTTATCTAATTGATTGTGCCTAAATTCTTTTTATTCTTCCCGGTCTTGTCCTCGCAGCTGCTCGTTCTCCTAAATCAGGTTCTTCCCAGGACACGCCTTATTTGGACACCTCGTCCGTCTCTATGCCTCCCATGAAGACGTCTGGCCCCGCCCCTCTCTTCCCTGTCGATGGTACGGTCCCACATCTCGCCGCCTGTTTTATAGCTCCGGTTTAATCAAAGTCGATACCCCCTTTTTCTACGATGAAGTGATCTTCGTCTGCCTTAATGAGACGTCACATTTTTACATTACGCACGGATATTGAAGGTGGAATCTGATGCTGAATTTTCACTACAACTAATTAGTTTACCGTCTCGTTTTTACAGTGAATGAGATTCTTGGTGCAGCTGCAAAGGAACGCGCCGCAGAGAGTCTGAACAGCACCGAGGACGGCAAGAACACTAAAGGTTTGTTTAAAAGACTGATTAGTTTTGAGAAATTAGACTTAATTTAACTTGACCGATAAATCCACTGTTATGCAATCCACTTGCGCGTGATTATATTCCTTGTGTTTCCCATTTTGATTAACGTTGATTACCTCTCCTCCCCCAGCCCCCTCTGTTCAGCAAAGGTCGCAGATTGAGGAGCTGCGTAAATTTGGCAAGGAATTCAGGGTAAGAGCTTATTTGCTTTTCTCTAAAGCGTGAAATTATTAAAATCTGTGACAAATCGAGAGGATGTGACCTACTACATCACTGATGTTAGACACTTTCTCTAAAACATCCCTCATGTTTGGTTCACGTGAGATTGACGGTATATTCATTTTCTAAGAAACACAACATCTCAGCGTAAAAATGACAGTGTAGTTTTTACAATAAGGTTGTGTGTTTTGTAATTTATGGTAATTTCTCCCATTTGTTTCAGTGGCAGATCAGTCCGGTTTCTCATGTGCCGTCTTTTTGACGATGAATCTGTTAAAATTAGTTTTATTGACACAAACCCGACCGGAAAGACATTTGCTTGCTCTCTGCTGGGCCGTTACTCGATTTGTTGATTTAAACTTTGTACTAATAAAAAGTTACCCAGATAAAAAGCTAAAGTTTTTCACATTCACGTACATACAGTAGATCCCATTCGCCTGTTTGCTAAATCATTTTTTAAAACATTTCCGCGTCCCTCTTTTTCAGCTCCAGCCGAGTGGAGGCAGCGGCAGTTCGCCCAGCTCCCCGGCGGCAGCGACTCCGCCTGCCGTCTGTGACGTCGCTACACCCGGCGGCGCCCAGCCCTCGCCATCGGACGCCCACCCCGCCTCGGAGCCCAAAACCCAGACTCCGGCTCACAGTCCTTCCCAGCACCCACCTCAACCTTCCCCGGGCGCCGCCGTGGACGCCGCAACTACACCCGGCGCCACGACAAGCGCCAGCCCGACACCCGCTTCAGACAGGCACTCGCCAGCCAACCCGCGGCCGGCCAGGACCCCAGGCAGCGAGGAGGCCAGGTCCGAGTTACCGGAGCGGACGGAGGGCGTGCCGGAGTGAGTTTCAAAGAGTTTTTCTGTGGTACATAACTTGATTTTGCTTAATGATGTCATTTGTAAACACTTTTTTTCCTCTGACATCTTTTAGCCAAGTGAAGAAATCGACCTTAAACCCCAACGCTAAAGAGTTCAACCCCATTAAACCTCTAATGCCGATGGTAAGTAATGTAGCAACTTGAGAAATTAAAGAATATGTTAACGTGCTCTAAAAAGAATAGAAATAATATTTATTAGATACAAATACTAGCTGTTTTTCAGTAGATCTGTGTCATGTTTGTATTTTGTTTTATTTCTAAGTCGGTAATCAGCAGCACTGACATGTACAAATATACTAATAATGTTTAATCCAATAAAACATTTAACTTCCTTCACACTACCCCCATTTAATTATAACTACTTAGCCGGGAAAAGGCATTTGTTACATCTCTAAATGTGTTGAACGCTTTGGATTGAGTGACGTTGAGTGACGTGCTGATGTTCTGTTGTCGTACAGGCGAAGCCCAACACTGCGCCAACCCCCCCTCGGCCAACTCCTCCCAGCCCGGTGGTCCTTCAGCACCCAGGCGGACAGGGACAACTGTACAACGCCCCCTACCTCTCCTACATCCACTCTGTGCAGGTACGTGAGCTCAAAGACTTGAACTGGAACTCTACAAATGTGTAACACAGTAGCAACAGAAACATTTAAATTCCTGAGGAGAAAACATCATTTAAAAATACATAAATGTAGGTTTAAAAAAAATGTTTGTTTAATTTGATGATGCTGACTTTTTAAATATTTAAATCTACAAAATGTCAAACTGGTATAAAATGAACACCATAGCTAAGCAGATCTGTGAGTCCTGCATCGCTTTATATAAGAGTTTTTTTTTTTTGACGGCTAAAACTAAGAGGTGCTTGTGGGTTTAATTGTGGACGTCAGTGAATAGACTATTGAAATTAAATGCATACAATAATAACTTTAAATCCTGATACATTTGTGTGTTTGCTGTTATTTCATAATGTTGCCTTGAGGCCACTTATATTTGCTGATCAGTGTCAAGGCTGTAAACTGTTCCATCCAAAAACAGGTCTGACTGATGTGATGCCTCTGTTATTCCAAAGTGTGTAGGTGGAGTCGGGTTTAGATGTTAGAAATAGAAGCTTATTGCATAACGGGTCAAATAGAATGAACAGCTCACAGTGTGTTTGTTTCCTTACCAAATGTGAGGACGGAGCGTTTTCTATTTATTGTAAAGTCCTCAGACAAATGTGGCTTTACGAATACAATGTAACTGAATTGAATCGTTTCTGTATTTCAGCCCCCACAAATGTACCAGTACACCATGTCTCCTGTCAGCCAGGGAAAATTCCCCAGGACCAAAGGTAACACTGCACTCACATTTGCGTTGCGAAAATAACAGATTCCAAACATGCCGCAATGTTTGTCCCTCCATTCTTCTGTCCTCTTGACGATGCTCTGCGTTCCCCCGCCCCCCCCACCCCCCAGGACCCGTCGTGGCGCAGCGCTCTGATCACGGCTCTGCAGGACAGCCCATGCTGCAGGCTGCAGCGTCAGCGACTGGGGCCCAGATGGTAGCGTCGCCCTACCCTCAGTCCTACCTTCAGTACAACCCACAGCAGTACAGCCAGCAGCAGGTCATCCAGGCCATGGCGCCGTACCCCGGACAGGTAGGAAGTCCTGCTGCCAGCGCCGGGTTCTCCAGCGCCGGCTTTAGGTGGTCCGCGGAGTGTTTGGAGGAGCGTGGAAGTACTCGGGGGTTCTAACAGCTGATGTCAATTTGAAGCTTTTTTCTCCCCCTCTTCAGCCGATGTACTCCATGCTGCAAGGTGGAGCGAGGATGATCAGTCAAGGTGGGGGTCCCCACCCGCAAGCCATGGGTCCACCCGGAGGCCCCCAGTTCTCTACGCAGGGAGACGGATCTCAGGGACCGCAGCAGGGAATCTACGGTGGGTGGGCGCAAACGTCTCTATGCAGACGGTACTGCCGTGTTATTAATGCCAAGTCGTCCAAAACGTAATCAAGCAATGAGAGAAACTTTCACAATGAGCAATTTCCGTAGTTGCATCAAGAGTCGTTATTGATATGAAACATTGGTACAAAGTCGTTTTGACACTAATTCTCTTTCTCCGTGTAGCTCCACAGTCCTTCGCCCACCACGCGGGACAAGTCCATCAGCCGCAGCCCTCCAGCACCCCGACAGGCAACCAGCAGCCTCCCCAGCACGCTGCGCCTAGTCCTGGTCAGGTAAGACTGCCAAAGATCACCGCTACTTTCTCCCCCCCTTTGCGAATCCAGCCTCTGGGAGACGCTTGTTGAGACCAATGATGTTTTTTTTCTCCTCCTCAGAATGCCCAGTCAGGCCCACAGCCCCAGTCCATGTACCACTCCGGTCCCCTTTCAGCACCCACCCCACCCAACATGCCGCAGGGCCACACGTCTCCACAAGGCTCTTTCCCCATTCAGGGCTACAGCATCCACAGCCACCAGGGAATCCCACAGACGTACCCCCTCGGACAGATAACGCAGGTAGGGTGTTGCACCACCGCAAGTTAAACCGCTAAAAGCAAATAGTGTCTTGAGCTTATCTTGGTTCGTGCGCCCCCCCCCCCAGGCCCACGTACAGGGAGCCATGCAGGGCCCCCACCACTCGGGGAGCCACGGTCAGCCCCAGTTGGTGATGTTGCAGCCGCCTCCTCAGCAGGGCCCCGGCTCGGTGCCCCAGCATCCCCAGCATGGGCCGCAGCAAGGAGCGCACCAACACTTCTACATCGGACACCCGCAAGGTAAGAAGCCCCGAACGCACCGGCCGTCCCTCCATCTTCTCCGTGGCTCGGAGCGTAGCATTGATAGCGTCTGCTGTTTTCTGTCGTCTCCCCCGCTCCCCTCCCCCACAGCAATGCAGCTACAAGCGCACCCCGCTCCCTTCCATCAGCCCGGAAACTAAACCCCCATCTGCCCTCCTCCCCACCCCCCAAACTGTTCTTAGGAATGAACCCCAACATCCCGGCCGCCTGCTGGGATGTTGGCCCAGACTGAACGCGACTCGTGAAAAACAAACTGAACTGATGGAGAAGTCTGAAGTCTTACAGCACCTTATTCTTCTACTGCAGCATTCATCAGTGAAAACACTTGGCGTCGCTGAGGACCCCTTTTTTTTTTTATGCTGACGGCGGCGTGTCTGCCCCCCCTCCGCCCCCCCCCGGCTGCTCTCCAGCTCTTCTCTCCAACTTCTTCCCAATGCAGAGACATGAGGCACCTTGCTGGGTGGACTAGTCGGAGAGGAAAACATACGGATGGAAACCTGCAGCAGACACCACCTTCCAGAAGTGTTTTTTTTAGCCTTGTGGGGTTTTTGTAGGGACAATGACACAAAAGGAAAACTGTTGTGGGATTCGCACCAATACAGCATGAAAGGACCGATTTCAAGAGGGGATTTTTAGCAAATTTACCTTTTTTTTTTTTTTTTTTTTTTTTTTTTTTAATGAAGCAGATCCAGTAGTCAAAACCACCTCTAGGAAAATACAAGTAAAAAAATGGACAAGACAAAAAAAATATTAAAACTACAATGGCCAAAAAATAAAGTTTTCAACTTAACTTCCAAGCTGTTTCAATTTATTCTTGTTCTTGTGCTGCCGTTACAGTTTTGCTTTGCTACGCGTGAAGCCGCTTACATCCGCAACGACACACCGAAAGATGTTTTTCATCAGACGATAACGAGCACATTCCATTAGAAGCTCATTAAAATGTCACGTCAAGCTGAAAAGTAAATCAAGTGATTACATCCCAGGGGGATTTTTGGATTGTTTTCCCCACCCTCATTAGCTTGAATCTGTTCCACTCGGCGGTGCAATTCTGTGTGAATTTAAAGCGGTCACTAGGGGGAACCGTCTTCTTTGGGTCAGTGGGGCGCTCGCTCCGATGTCCCGCCGGGCCTCGTTCCTCAGCGCGACAGGGCGTAGAGGTCCTCCGCGCTGCGCTCCAGCCGGTCTCGGTACTCCAGGTCGGAGTGGTTGCCCTCGGGGACCCCGCGGGTGCCGTGGAGGAGCCCCCAGCAGCAGCAGGCGATCGCGGCGGTGCCGCCGCCTAGAAGACGAGCGGGCAAAGAGGACTTGATGACACGTTCATCTCCTTCTCCAATATCGTTATAGTTGATGCACGTTCCGTTATGTCAACTTTTTTTTAATGAGAATTACGACCGAATACCAGTGCTTTTAGTTTGTATGCGAACCCCCTCCCCCCCACCCATATTCCTGATAGAATATCTGACCTCCGTGGAAGCTCGCTCTGCTCATCAGCTCCTCCCAGTCTGAACCCGCCCCCAGCAGGGCGTCCAGGGCGATCATCGGGGCGTCGTGCCCGCTGCGTCCCGCCCGGCCCGAGAGGCTGAAGCCCTCGTAGGCCTCGTCTCTCTCCGCCGGGCCGTAGGAGGAGGGCCAGATCACGGGCCCCACCCCGCAGGAGATGCCCCTCGAATCCAGGTACCTGCAGGAACAGACGCGAGAGATTTTCCTAAACGTGCCCGCTGGCCTCCGATGTAACCGTGGCGCCGGTGTAGGAAAACGTCGGTACCGCTGCCACTTGTCGCAGAAGTCGTCCCAGTCTCTCTCGGCCTCCTCCGCGGCGAAGCCCCGGCCCCGAACGAAGCTCCTGGCTATTGGACAGGCCTCGCTCAACAGGCCCAGGCCCCAGCTCGTGATCGGCCTGCGCTGGACGGCGTACGCCGTGAACAGGGCGGACGCCACGGCCCCCAGGAAGCCGGTGGGGTGAGGGTGGGTCATCCTACCCGTCTCCACGGCAACGGCCACCAACGACAGCAGCTGGTGGGGCTTTGGATACCTGATGGGGGGGAGAATCAAGTATTTAAATCCTTGTCAGCATTTATTTTCTTTCACAATTGTGATTTTGGGCGGAAGGTTTCACCGAAAAACCGAATGACGTCAATCAGGAGAGAAATGTTTCTCCTGTTATTTTCAGTTTGCAGTAATTACTTCTTTTCATGCTTTAAATGACTTTGGCTGAGAGCATAACCAACTCGTTGGAACATTGCTTCTGTTTATACCGTTTAAATTTTACAATTTATATAATAGTTAAATAATAGATACCATCCAGTTCCTGGTTAATTCCTCCCTACAACCAAATGCAATGATGACTGGAATTAATCTACATTATGTTAATCACTAATTTGTTCTCGACGGATTGTTTGAATCCCGTTTTGAGCAACAGGGTGAAACCACTCGGATCCTCCAATCCAAGGATCAGCTGGTTTTTAGGATCTGTGAAACTGGGATGGAAATGTTCTCCTACACTCTTATCAAATAATCATAAGAATATTTAAATAATCAAAGTACCCCTCAGCATTTCCTGAGAGAAGACGGAGATACGTTTTGTCCAACAGATGGAGGGAGGAAATGTGTGACACTCGAGTCAGGAGTTATTTTGGACTCTGACCTCAACTTTGAAGGTCAGGTCAGTAACATGAGAAGGCCACTCATTCTCAGTTAAACACGTCAGTCAAAGCCCCGCGATGCTCCCTGACCCCAAACTGGAGAATGAAGCTACGGTCCGTCCCAGAAGGCCGGTGTCAGCGAGCCAAATCTTTTGTATTGAATGTACTTCATGGCTAAAAAGTTCTTGCTTATTACTGCAAACGTCAATCTCACAAGCTGAAACCTACAGATTCAGGAGTCAGATGACAACTAGTCCGAACCCAACAGAGAGGCGCTTAGATCACCTGCCATTTAAAAGATATGAATTTATAATTTATTTATAATAAAAGTGCCACTAGAATCAAGATCAATTTGAAACATTTTCCCTTTTTTTCTCTCGCTTAGTCATTAAGTAGCACTCAAGCTCGAGATGGCAATAACCCAGTATAATTAACAATTAAAAAATGATAACCATGACGACTCAGGTGAAGAAAAGGGACATAACATTCAAACTGAAGCGCATGAGGATTAGACTCCTCCTGCATTTTTGTTGTAATCTAAAGTCTGAACAATTCACTCATCTCCCTCGACAGGACGTCCCTAAACAATCAGGCTGGAAAAATTAATATGATAATATTGCGTAAATTATTTAGCACGTCTTCATTTTATAGACAGCGTTGTGGGTACACACACTCTCCACCTCCCCACACTCATATTTTATTTAGAGAATCAATGTAAAAAAAAACCTGTGTGAAGTGAATCGGAATTTAAAAGTTTTAGATAGTCAATATGTGGCTTCCAGATGAGCTTTTCGTACATAAGAACATGTAAAAATTAAAGGGGGGCGGGGGGGCATCAGGGACAAAGGCAGGTGACGGGCCGAGCGTCTCACCTGAGCCCGATGCACATGGACCTCCTGGCCGCTCCGCAGCCCGTCCCCTCCGCGTTGTAGGGAACTCTGAAGCCTTCGTCCTCTCCGGGCTTCAGCTGGGAGACTCCTTCAAGGGTGCAAGACCGGAAGTCAGACGTCTGACCTCCTGCAGCGCCGAAAATAAATAAACGAACAAACGCGATACGGTTTTAAACTTTGCGTCACCCAAAGCGCTTGAAGGCCCCGGCGTCCTCCCGGCCATGTGCTTCATGCCCTCCACGTATCGAGCGGCCACCTCGTGCAGGAGTTCCTCCCCCGCCTTCCCTACGAGCCACACAACGCAGATGTTAAAGGATGTTGGCGCCTCGTCATCAACGCCGGCTGTTTGCCTTATCACAGCGAAAGGTCAAGTTGAATTTCTACCATTTCCATTCCACTCGTGCAGAGTCGTAATAGAGCAGCAAATCAAGGCCAGACAGGAAATTAGATTTGACCTTTGATTACTGGGAGGGTGTGTGTGTGTGTGTGTGTGTGTGTGTGTGTGTGTGTGTGTGTGTGTGTGTGTGTGTGTGTGTGTGTCCTTGTGAGGTCTCATCGGAACACCGATTATTAGATCAACCCGACAAGTCGGCCGTTTGAAACGAACAGAACCGACAAGGGGGGGGGAGCTGCATCGGAGCGAGCGTCATTTCAAGCCCACCGGTGGCGAGTCCTTCAGCCGTCGCCAGGTGCAGAACCGTGTCGGCGCTCAGCGGCCAGTCGGGGGGCTCGGCCTTGATGCTCGCCAGACCGCCGAGCGCTCTCAGCTCCTGCGGGAGGAGAAGGGACAAGGATGGATGTGGTTTTAGTTTCGTCGGTACCTTCCTCCCCTTCGTTGGCGCCGGTCCCGGACCGACCTGATGGATAGCTGGTCCCGACTCATTGTGCTCCCAGAGCCCATTCCTGCATCCCAGAGCGTCGCCGGCGCCACTCAGCAACATGGCCGCTTTGTAGTGCTCCACTGTGGCCGGCCTGGTGGGCGCGAGAGAGACCACGTTAACACGGTGAAGTGACCCAGAGGGAAACTAAGCGGCTCAAGCAAAACCACGAACGTGCAGATTCTTGCTTATTTCACGTTTTTTTTTTTTTTTTTTTACAAATTTTCATTTATTTCTTCTGAGTGATTTCAACTGAAGCAGTTTTGCACATTTCAACAGCACCGAGGTTAACTTTTTGTCTCCACTGACACCAGAGAACACTGTGCCGAAGCTGCTTCAAAATAACACAAATCCTAAAAAAACAACCACGCACGCACAGACAACCTGTTCCGACCTGTGGCGCGTGACCGCGCGTCCAGACATCACGTGGCTCTCTGGCTTTGTTTGGACGCAGGAAGCGGGTCGTCTCTCCGCGCGGCTCAGCGGCCCCTCGCGGCGCGTCCTTCCCTCCCGGGCGGCCACACACGCAGCTTAACGCCGCTCGCTCCTCTTTGCGTCGTCACTTGCTCGTGTGGGTTCAGTCGCTGCAGCGAACACGCGCCTTCCTCCGCTGAACTTTTTTTAAAGAGACGTTCGCGGCAAAAAAAAAAAAAAAGACGCAGCTGCGCGTCGGTTGTTGCGGAGGAATCGCACGCGGACAAGATGGCGAATCTTCCCAGATGTCCTTTAGACTTTTGCACTGCTGCACCGCACAGAGTGGGATGTAAAATAAAACCCTTCCACAGATAAACAATAAAGTCCACCAACGCTTTTTATGACGTATGGAATTAATTAAATTAACTGATCGTAAACTGTTTAATTAAAAAAGCCTGTTTCAAATTTAAAATTAATTAATTGATGTATTTAATTTACTAAATCTATTTTAGCATGTCAACCACTAGACAGAAAGCAGCGTAAGCTGATTGAGGTTTAGTTTTCCAGATATTTTTACCAGATGTTGAACAATATGTTCAATGTGTTCATTCATGAAAAAGTCATCAACCGGAACCTTGTTAAAGGAGTTCTTCACCATAATGTGTGAAGCCTGATATTCTCCGAGGCGAGGACGAGAGGGACTCCCTGTAAGCGCCATCACAGACGTAAAATGGAACGTTTTTCTTCTAGAACTCGTAGGTGTCATGACAGGAAGAACGAGTGGTTCCACAAAGTAATTCTGTTCCGTGGACGTTCCACATCAGCACAGATCCACACTCGAGACGTCTTTGTGAGACCGCAGGTATTATTGGTTTATTTGTTAAATTACAGACCACTTCTTTGGAAGTAAAGTATGTGTATGTAGCTTTTACTTTGTTTCAACTATTTAGCAGAAATGGGTGAAAGAGGAGACGGACGTCACAGCGGCAGAAACTGTAAGTAGCCGGCTTGGTTCCTCTGCAAGCTTTCCCAAAGCGAACTACTTGGGCCTAACTCAAATGAAGTGATCATCTCCCTCTGCTCTGTTAGCTGTCTGTTCCATTTACGCTGGGAAAGAAACATGATGTTCACAGAGAAAGTATTCAGACTGAGCCACCAAATAACTAGTAGAAGGTTGCATTCATTATTTCTGTGTGTCCTTGTGTGTCCAAACATCTCTGAAATAAGCCAGCGGGGTTTAGAAAAAATAATAATAAATTGGTTGTCAACATTATAAATGAAGCTTCAAACTATTCGGTTCCACTCGATGAGCCAGGGTACCTTAGTTCTTCTTCTTCCTCTTCAACAATTTTCCAGCAATGGAAATCCTCCGGAAGCATAAAGAAAAGGGGGTAAATCTGTGAGGGGGAATTTATTTGGTGGTTAAATCTTTTACCTATGAGGAAGGCAAATGTTCACTTTCATGCAATAATTGCCTATGATCACCTTGCAGGGCCTCAAGCCATCGTTCACTGGGTTTGCAGAGGAGATCAGCTCCACATCGCCGTGATCAATTTTCTTTTCAATTACGCACAAAGGCGCCGCGGCTTGGCGGGCGTTTTGGACTTGAACGAACCCGAGGACGAAGATGTAGACGATAACGACGACGAAATCGAGGACAACGGCGACCGGCAAGGCGAAAACCAGGAGGAGGAGAACCACGGAAACATTGCCCACGAGGACGACGATGACAAAACTCTCAACCACGACAACGGCGCCACGAAGGGCGACGATGGCGTCCACGTCGTCGACAGCAGCGAGGACGGAGAAGTGGCTGGTTGCAGTGCTTGGTTTGAGGTGGGAGTCAAGGAGGGGGATGAAGAAGACCCCCCGCCCGGAGCGCCGAGGAAGAGTTCGACGGAGGACGACCGAGAAGAGGACCTTGGCGAGAGACCGCGGAAGGATTTTGGCGAAAGCAGCAACGACACAGACGGCGCCGGTTTCAGCCGAGAAACTGGAAATGGTCAAATGAAACATGGCGAAGCTCCTCTGCCGGGTCCATCCAGGAGAAAGACCAACAGAGAAGAAGATGAGAGAAGCAATAAGTCAAGAGGGTGTGATGAGTTTTCAGGGAACGACTCTGAGGAAGAGAATAAAACAAAGAGCTAAATATTCAAACGTATAGATGAGACACCAGCGAAGAAGACAGATGCTCACATTAAGATATTAAGTATTTCACTTCATACGTACATATACTGTACATCTATATGAATATATATATATATATATATATATATAGAGATGCTAATATCAATAAAAACAGGTTAAGAAACATTACTCCCAATAAAGAATGAGATACGTCTATTTTCTTTACAGAGAGGCATCGCCATTCCTGTATCCAGAGGCAGTGCGTTACACAATTAAAATCTGAAAGCTGTACTATTAAAAAAGAAAAGCAACGGAGGCCCTTTGTGGGAACATAAAATGAAGCTCTTGGATGCAGGAAACCACAAGGTCATTTAAAGCGTCATGAACACGCACATACATTTATAACCAATTCTAAAACGCCATCGTGTGGCATTAAACAAAAATAGTCAAAACACCCCCAATCAACAGATCAGCTAACTTCCTGGTTACCAATTATCCCAAAGTCGAATATTTACCCCAATAGGTCTGCAAATACACACGCAGGGTACGTGAGGAAGCGGCCTCTTACAGAACAGACGGTTAAACCCACTCAGTCGCCTCGTGTGTGGAATAGTTCATCTGGATGTGTAGGTCGACGGCGGAAAGCCACGGTGTGAAGGACAATCTCTCAGCGGTGTTTGGTGTACGTCCGCATGGTGACCCTCGGCACGGTGGAGGTCCCACTGACGGACAGCGATCTTTAGACGCGGGGGACTTTGCACGCGGCCCCGTGCAGCTGGGCGGCAGCGCGAGTCGTGACAGGTCATGTCTCCGAGGTGTCAGCGAGCATCCGTCCCGCCGAGCGACACACGGCGGTTCTTTGCGTCTCGCGCCCTGCGGTTTCGTGGACCTGCGATCTGCTCAGCAGTCGGACGGGCCCTGAAGCGCTTCCCCCTCCTCCACAGGGTGGGGCGGTTTTCCCCGCATCGGACTCAAACAGTTGCCCCCAAAGCCCATCTGGTGATTGACGCCAGCAGCTGGTGGATCCCCACGCCGGACAGTGATTCCCCGTGGCCGATGCACGCGGCCCGTCTTCGTCAACGGGCGATTACCATCAAAGAGGAGGCATCGCCCGGGGAGGGGGGGGGCGTTGAGGTCGCCTGTAGCCTGTTTGTCACATGAGTCGTCAGGGGCTATAAAGGCTGATGGAGCCAAAGAGAGGCGCCGCGGTGCAATCAGAACAAATGGCCCGCGTGCAGACATGCCTCGGTGAACTTTGGCGTGTCTGCAGTTTCATACTTTGTCACTATATCGCTGTTGTTGTGAGGGACCTCGCTGCTGCGAGCATGGGTTTGTTTGCGTGTTAGTGCTCCAGAGGATAAAGCAGCTGGTGGACAGAAATAGAAAGCTTTATTAATCCTTTCCAGAGTGCAAGGAACTCACACATGAACGACGAAATAACACACAAATGACATCCGAGAGATTTAAGGGTTCATTAAAAAAAAATCCAACTCGTACCTTCAGAAGAACACTGAGGCGTCCTGAGCTGCTCACTCAGTGAGCTTCTGTCCAGCAGCAACACAGTGTGATGGATTCAGAATAAATTAATTCACTGTCTTGGCCGACTTGGCTGTCCATCGATCCGTAAGTGTCCTGGGGAAACCACCTCTTCTTTCCGTCTGAAATCAACAACCAGCATCCAACATTCGATTTTAGGGCATTTTCATCACGCCAGCTGAGAAAATATTCAACCTCACGTTTATGAGGCCACGTCATTGACCAAGTGGGGCCGTGTCATCTGAAAGCTTTGAGATTTTTATGGGTCACCTGCTGTTGTCAACAGTGCGAAGTAAGAATAAAAAGGGATTTAAAATCGTTCCCTGTGGTGCTCCGTTTCTTGTTAAGCTAGTTAGTGTCAGACAGTTTTTAACAAATAATCTAAGAAGTTAAGTTTATCATCCACTCCCACATCCTTTCTGTATGCAAACGGTAAAGGGCTCTTGGAAGACTGACGATAACCCTTTTCAAAACATTTAATTATGTGTGACGCCAGGGCTTTAAGTCCTGTTTGATTATTGGCTGTGGATTTAAAATCTCAATCCAGGTTCCTCGCGGCCTAATTGAGTTGAATGCACTCTGAATTAAAGTAATAGTTTGGCATTTTAGGGGAATAAACATGTTTACCTTTTTTTTCGAGACAGGGAGAGTTGAGAGGATGGAGACTATTCTCATATATTTTCAGTAAATACAGTATACAGCTCCATCTAGTCCTTACATTTTAAAATGCAAGTGCAATAATGGCTGCCACTCTAAAAGCTTCATGAATTATGAATGTCTTCCTCCTGAAAGTACATCGGATAATGAACAAGGAGATTACGCTCTTGCTTTTCAGCCAAACCAAACAGCACCAAAGATGGTCCCCGCTCACCACTGCTGATTATCAAGCCACAGACGGTTCTCCTCGTGTGATTAGGATTTTTATTTTATTTTTTATTTTTAAATATCCCCCTTCGGCGCAGTGGAGCTCCAGTGAGGCAGCACTCATTCTCCACCAGGGTGGTCACTTTAGAAGGTGCAGTAAGTCTGACAGTCCAACAATTTGTCTCCCGGGTTGCCTCTTGGGGACGAGGGACGGAGTATCTCACGCGTGTGCTGGATGACGTGTTGCCTGGAAGGAGGACGGGCAAAGCCCTTCTCCTAATCGCTTACTCACTGACCAGTTTTATTAAACGTGGAGGTGTTTCACCAGGAATATCTGGATATTTTGCATTTTTATCAACATACATTCATGGATTCACGGGTAGTTTCAGTATTTTTTTATTCAGCACAGTCATAATCATAAATCCAGTATCCAATGTGGGGGTTTAATGTTTTATTTGTCCCATGTGATACTAAAGTAAACTAAGGTAAAGAATGTTTTTGAAGTGGTGAAAACACCGCAATTCCATCTGGGAAATTATATTTGATTGATTAATTAAATTCATTCATTGAACAAACGCTCAATTAGGTAATGAAAAATAACCACCTGAATCAACAATTAAATGTATAATAATTGATATAGGACAAGACAATATTTACATTTTAATGCTGGAGCAAGGTTTTGCTTTTAAATATTATTAGAAGATACAGTCAGAGGAACTGTGCTGTCAATACGTTTTACTGTATTTTGTTGTTGTATCATGAGCACTACGGGTTTCAGATTGATATCCTCCGGTTATGTTTTAGGAAGTAAAAATGAAAGTTGCAGCCCTGGTTTGGTTTTAAAACATCTAATACCACTTTACATATTAGAACATGCTGGGAAAAGCAATGCAGAAGGTGTTTGGCCATCAGTCCCTGTGTGCCTGCCCCCCCCCCTGTGTAACATCGTAACCTCTCTCGCAGAACTGCTCTTGTCAGAAACAGTTTCCGTGCTGCCTGTTGAGTGACGGCGAGCTGCTTAAACGGACGGTTTTGTGGTCAACCGTCTTCGTTCTCCCCCCAAGAAGATCCCTCTGAAGAAAACCCATAAGGAACTGCAACCTCCTCACCCTGCATCCCCATCCACACCCTCACCCCACCCCATGATACCCGCGTGCTATTACATGTTCCAGTGTTGCCTAGCAACTGGCTGGCAGATTACAATTGGGGCCGTACATGGTGGAGATTTAACAGTTTAAGGGGGTGTCGAGATGTGCATACGTGTGTGTTTGTGTGGAGTGGGTAGTGTGTGTGTGTGTGTGTGTGTGCGCGCGTGCATGTGCTACGTGAATCTGTAATGGCTGACGTGAACGCCATGCGAGACACCGCCGCTGCTGGTGCTGCAGATGCTGCAGATGCATGAAGACAGGCAACACGTGGAAGCATCTAAAGCAAACGTGCACTTCTGCCGAGGCTCACGCTGCTTGTTAAATGCTGCTGAAGAACAGAAATAAATAGAAATATTGAGTTCAGTTCAGTTCTGTTTTCACTGTTTTTCACAGTGATATCTTTATTAAACTTGTTTTGTGTGGATTTAACCATCACGATTTAACGTGTTGATTAATGAGCCTCAGCGCTTTGGATGGAACCGGGCCGGCTGCATGCACACATTGGTCCTGAGAGCTCTGCGAGGAGAACACGAGTACTCGACTGGATAACTGAAGGTCACTCTTGCAGTTAATGTCCTGACGCACTAATTTATTCAGTATTTTGTTCAAGCTGTTACTCCTCAGACTGGAACTGCTGGATGTTTTAATTGTTATCGTCTCCTTCCCGCACACCTCTAAATGAGACACGCAATATATTTAATATTTGGTTAAGATTAAGATTTATCATTATTCGAATTACAGATTAAGATAATTAAGGCTTTTCAATGTTTGCAAAGAATTTTGTGGTTAAAAATATTTATGAATATTCTTCATGAATAAGACCTTTCCCTCCTCCACATATTTCTTTCCAATAACTCTTGAACCATACAGGCATTTCTGAAGCGTCGTAAGAGTGAACGAGGTGTCCTTGATATGCAAAATCAATTCTCAAAAGAGGCGGAATAACTTCAGTCTCTTCTGCGATGCATTTAGATTATTCGATTATTTGACTGTTTTCTAGCGAAGGCTTCTCTTATTCCTGTTTGCAGTCTTTCAGAGATTCCAGGTGATAAAAAAAAAACAATTATAGTGTCTGAAATCACGACGACGACAGCTCACCACTTCTTCCGTTGCCCTCACACGTTTTAATCTCTCCTTCTAGTCGGTTTCTTTCTCCCTCGTAAAAAACCCACGATGAAGCAGCGCTGCAGTTCTAACACTTCAACAGGCTCGTTGATTACGAAGCAGCCAACGGATTAGCAAAACACAGCACTGTCCAAAGAGCATTCGGTTAATGTTAATTAATTGGGTTTTTACATATTCTGGGCCTTGTTTAAGGCCGCCTGTCCATCAGCATTTAAAATGAACACGTGTCGGATGTTTCCATGTAAAATCCATCCAATGAAATCTGTTCACGTCCTCTGAGTCCTTACTGTCATTAATTCATGAAGGAAATCACGTAAAAGCTGTTTAAATGCAACATATTTAGGCAGAATACATGGTCGGCTGCGTGTTTTACTTCTGCTGTGAAGTTTTTAAAACCGTGATTTTGAATCAATTTCCGCTTTGTGAAACGGGGCTGAAGTGGCAGAAGTCCAGCAGAACGACACGTTCGGTTAAAAAAAAAGAAGAGAAAACCGTAACTTTTCTAATCTGGAAAAGCACAACTACTGTACAAAGACTTCACGAAGAGCGCAAACCAACACCGGACCAAAATAAACCTCCATTTCCAAATGGCCTTTCAAGCCTTTTTGCATATCAATGAAGGTTTGGGCGGCTGGGGGCTTCATGTCTGCATTTTAAGGGAACATTTCGTCACTTCAGACATCAGCCGAGGTTTAGACATTGCTGACAAAACAGGTTTTGTTATTAAATGAATGCAAATCTGTGTGAGATTTAAGTGATGTGTGAATATTATGACCGATCTGCAACTAAACATAATAATGGAACTAAATTAGATTTAAACAGAGAACCTTACTGACTCCTTCACAGCTGCAGCTTAGAGACATCTGTGATAAAATAATAATAATAATCAGCTTCCAACGTAAATAATATATGTTTTAATGTGTAGATGAGAGGATTGAACAGATGGTTGATTCATGTTTTTTTTCCATTCAGAATTGCAAATGTCACAAATGAACATTTAATGAGTTCAGAGAAAGTTCCTTTTGCCTTTTTCATCACTCCAGTGACACAACACACGATTTGACGGTTATCCGTATTTAACTTTAGCAAGCACATACTTTTCTATAAATTCTCCTCACGGATCTGACATGAACACAAAATGAACTTTCCTCCTCACGTTGTTTTGATTTGGTATATATATATATATTTTTTTCTCTGCACAGATTTGCCATCGAATGTGAGTCAGTGCTGACGTTAGCAAGCTACGCTCACTGACCTCCGCCCTCCTTCCAGATGTGGCATGTAAACATGCTGATGAAGCTGTCCCACTTGCTGCACACACACAGACACTTCATCACCAGCGAATGAAAGCATGCAGACACACAAACGCGCCATGGATGTGCACATTGAGCCGCAGGGCTCATAAGCTGCCGCACAGTCATCTGCACACGTCACATCTGGCCGTGCACCAACGCAGCCCCGGCGAACCAGAGAGGCCGCTCGCTGCGTCACTGTTCTTCCTCTCAAGGGAAAAAACTCACACGGAGTGTTTCAACGCATCCTTTCCGTCTAACTAAACGACTCGTGCACGAGCGGGGGCTAATAATATCGGCTGTAGTCAGAGATCTCTCGATGTGAGGCTCCGGAGGGGATGAGCCGAGGAGAATGGAAAGGTAACCGGGACAGAGGGCACGTGTGCAGTAAATAGCACAGAGCCCGTTTGGTTCAAAGAAGCGCTCGAGGCTGAAACGTCGTGCTGTTATTGTTTCACGCTACCTTGACTGGACTTAGGAAGTCGTGTAATAATAAACGTGTAGATCTTTTGCCTGAAGCGCGTGGATCCGTGTGGATCCAGTCATTAGACGAAAGGAACACACACCCTGCAGTGGGTTTCTGAGGCCAGTCGTGACTTTATTGTTAATCATCCGCCGTCTGTCCTTCAGCGTCTTACCTATTGATTGTCTCAAATGGCAGAAATTGTGTAGAGTGCTTTCTTGAATGGTATTAATCACCCCATTCAGGACAGAATACGACATTCTCCTGTATTTTTTGCTTTGGGAGAAAATGTCAGCAATCCACTTTTGCTACGAATAAACGAAATACTAACAGCTTTTTCAGACACTTCAACCGTTTGGATTCTGCAGTTCGGTCTCCCGTCTGCGATGACAACTTCTCCTGCATTTCTTCACCCAGTGTTGCCATC